GTTTATCAAGCTAGCAAAATAAATAGTAAACTAAATGCTAATACCCTGAAAATTTGCAATTTACCATAACTGTGCCTCAAATTAAACATGTTTTTTCTCCTCGGTCTTATACTTACATAGTCAAACAGCTTTATGTTAATGTAGCATGGCATTTCGAGGCCATTGGGTTTTTTCATGGTCAAAGTTTACCATAAATATACTTCAACCATATTATTTAATTGCAAGAAGGATGAATCAATTCATTGTTTAAATCCACCATAAGATGCACAGAATACCATGATTGGCCATAGTTTATGATGACCTATCTATGAGTATGAAATACCTTAAAAGATCATGTAGGTAAAAATCAAGTTAAATTGTACATTTCTCAAGGGACCCCCACACAAGGATCAGTTTTTGAACAATATGTTAATAGACGTACTTAATAGTAGTAGAAATCTCATGGTTGAAGCAATACAGTAGGTAATAATGCATGTGCATGTATGACTCATTATATTATTAAATCCCCCCATTGACACCGGGTTGATGGGGTGGAGTAATGTTTATATGAACTTATATGTTCATATTATCTGGATACATCACTGTTATAATTTCTGGATCTATAAAATGATATATCAATAATATTACAATGCAAGACATCTTAAACATGATGCATCAGTATAGCATTAAATGGCGCTTCAATTATCATCCGGACAAATGTAAGGCCATCATATTTAGTAATAGTCGTGCCACTCAACAGGCAGGAATAGACTTACAACTTGGAGGTCGTACAATAGATGTAGTCCAAACAACACAACATGTCGGCCTTCCAATGTCGAACTACAACAGTAATAGAGAACTGATAGAGTCTGCACTATCAAAAGGAAAGAGAGCAATGAATGCATATGTTGGGACAACAACACACACCCAGAACCCAACCAACCCCCTCACTGCGTCTAAGTTATATTGGTCTGTCAGTATGCCTTCTATGACGTATGGAATGGAACTTGTCCCCCTCAGTGAAACCGATTATAAGATGCTCGAGCAGGGACATAGAAGTATCTGCAAACAACTACAAGGCCTGCCAGTAACCACATCTGACCCAGCTGTCCTACCCCAACTAGGCTGGCATACTATGACGGCGACTATAGTAGTGGCTAAAATGATGTTCCTGCTACAACCTCTATCTCATGTATCAGGTTCGATCTTCCGTACCATAGCAATAAAGCGTATCACGAAGTTCAGATATGACAGTAACCCGCTACACAAAATGTCACCTATTGGTGACATAATGACACTCGCATCACGGTTTGGCATATCAAACGTGATATATGAAATGATGGACAGTGGTGAAGTTCCCCCCAAAACTACCTGGAAACGATATATTAGGAATATAGTAAGGACTTTTGAATACAACATGTGGAGAAGAGAACTTATTACATATCATAAATTAACATTATACCGAACTGTAGTCACTAGTACAAAACCGTTTGCCTGGTGGGAAATAGCTAGGCAGGACTGTAGATACATTAAGAGATGCACCCTGATGGTACGACTGCTCACGGGTCAAGGAGAACTCCGAGCTATTACCGGTGAGTGGGAAAATATTCCTGTGTATGATCGCATATGTGGAATATGTGACATGCAACGCATTGAAACTCTGAAGCACTTCATCTTGGAATGCCCAAGATACTGCTCATTAAGAACAAATACAACAAATATATTACATATAGGATACCCAATGGGAGACACATGACTTACATACTGAAGCTACGGTGCATATTTGGAGGAGATGAGACTCTAACAAACGAAGATCTTAAATGCATCTCAACAGCTGTGCAAAATATGTACATTCTAAGGATGGAGTGATACTGTAACACGAAACACCAATCAGGATGTCAACAAAGAGGCGTGATTGGCACTCCTGGTGATGTCCTAGACAACTGCTTTTGTATATAATTTCCTTCTCATTTTGAAATCGTAATGGATCGCAGAGTGGTGCAGTGGGACCCCCAGGGGAGAACATGGGCTAACCAGGGGGGTTCTGCTGTATCAATGCTTTCCGCTTGTCTTTGTATTTTTATAAATCTTTATTTTTATTACTTTTATTATATACTCTAATAATATATTATCTCCATAATTGGAGGGGCAATAAATATAATAATAATAATAATATATGAATTTTTCATTGGGTTCCAGTATGTACACAACAATGAATGTGGAGAGGGGGGGGGCTTAAAAAGATTTATATCACAAATAAATTCTAAATACCCTACAGAATACCTATAAAAAGTGAAGTTTACATGAACAGACCATCTAAGGCATGATAAAAAAAAGTTTGCACAAATACTAGAATTGTACTCACAAAATACTTTTTCATAATGACCCCTACCCCCTGTTGAAGAATGGGTTGGGATCTTGTGATTTTTTTCTCAGTATTGATCAAACAAATCACTGTCTTACTTTCTTGATCTATCAAATGATACGTGAGCAATGTTTTTGAAAACTATGATTGGATATTCTTGATAATAGGTATATTCAACACTGAATGGGGGGGGGGGTAGTATAAAGCTTGAAATCACAAGTAAATTCCAAATATCTTTCAAAATGTCTCATAAATAGCAAACTGTACATTAATTGGCCATTTCAAGCATGATAAAAAAGAGTTTGCAAATCATAATATAATCACTAGATAGTTTTTCATGTTGACCCCTACCCTCTGTTGAAGAAGGGGTGAGGCTGTTATGATTTTTTCTCAACATAAATAGGACAAATTACTGTCATACTTTCTGGATCTATGGAATGATTTTAGAACAATGCTGTGGAATTATTTCATATGCTTTAATGTACTATTGCAAAAGTTATGGGAGAATCCTCTTGAAATGAGGTACACTCAACATGGAATTAATGGTAGTAAAAGGCTTAAAATAACAAATTAATTTAAAATATCCTGCAAAATGTCTGATAAATAGTAAACTTAATATAAACTGACCACCTTAGGCAAGATAAAAAGATTTTGAACAAATAATGTACTCACAATTTTTTTTCATATTTACCCCCTCCCCACTGGTGAAGAAGGGGTGGGTTTGTTGGATTTATTCTCTCAACATTACATGGACACATCACTGTCAGACTAACTGGCTCTATCAAATGGTACTTGAGCAAAGTTGGTATCAATATGCTGAAACAAAAGTTATGAGGGAATATTCTTGAAAATAGATATACTCAAAATTGAATTGGGGTTAGTAAAATGCTTAAAATAATAACAAATAAATCTAAAATATCCTGCAATATTCCCAATAAATAGTGAACCTATATCAACTGACCATTTTGGGTATAGTTATGAGGAACTCAGGTTATATATAGTGCCCACAAAAAATATTTCATTTTGGCCCCCAAATAATTTGGGGGAGGGGGTCTACCCTAATTTTCTCTTGCAATACCCACCCTTCAACTTGCTCGGGCGGATAAAATTTATTGCAATATAGAGTTGTTTCACCATACAACAATTCACGATTTCTTCATCGTTTCGAACAAATCTTGTACTAAATGGCATTGATATGTTTATGTTTTATTGATACGGACAACACAAAGACAAGAGAAAATAATGCATCGACGATTACAGAAGCAATGATCTTGAAGTAATCTTGAATCATCTTGAAGTAATGTGAAATAATTATGAACTGGGAAATGGCTGTTCATTTCGTGTCACTTTCGATTAATAAGAAGTATTTGACTATTATTCTTTGTTAATGTATGTGGATGTCTTAGTTCATATACGCTATTTTTTATTTTTTTTTATTAAAAATATTTATTCTCTAAAATTAAAATCAAATACATAATAACACTTAACACTTTTAATAAGTGTATCAGCGTGAAAACATTTAAATATTAACCAAATGGAAATGAGAAAAAAAGAACAATTTAAAAATATTTACTCAGTTAAATTAGAATAAAATTGATAACAATATATAAAATCTACATATATGTTTGTCAGTAATTCAGTTCATGATAGGTTGATGTCATATGAATTTTAAAATTCTTTTTAAAACAGTTAATGGAAGGTAATGTTTTCAAAGAAGTTGGCAGATTATTCCAAAGCTGAGCACCTGAATATTTTATTGAGTTATGACCTATAGTTGTTCTAAATTTTTTCATGTGAAGACAATTTTGGAATCTTGTCTCATGTTCGTGAAATATCAAATTTGGAGTAAAATAATTTTCAAATATGTCAAAAGGAAAGCCATCGGGTTTTGTTGTGTATTGATAAAGAAATTTTGCAACTTCAAGCTTATGTATGTCAAAAATATCTAGAAAATTGAGTTGTTTAAAAAGAGGTGGGCTATGTGCTAAAAAGTCAGAATTAATCTTCGAATTTTACATCATTCAATATCCTACAAGCTTACCATAGTTTGGTGTACACATGTGCTAAATATCAGGGAGTATTCCCTCTAAAATGACAAAGATATGAGGTAGAATTCTATATTAGAGTGAAATAAAAAAGATGCTGTTATAGTAAATAGGTGTGACAATAGAGGTCAAAGGTCAAATATTTGGCTTGTTGGATTCCCCTTAACCTTGATATGTAGAGAATCAACCATACCACTTGTTTAGAATGGGTGTAATACTCTTTTGAAATTAACTATAGCATCAATAAGTACCCGAATGTACACACTATTTTCAAATATCATATCTCATTTCTACCGAAAACTAAAATTCAGACGCTTTTTTAGCATAATTGGGTCACTGAACTTAATTACCCCTCTCAGCCTATCTGGGTTCAAATCCTTAAAGATTCTCTATTTGACATTGAATTTGTTAATTCAAACCTAAAAATAATCCATTCTGGCCATATGGGTATTTGTCATTTTGAAATGGATTTTCATATAATTAATAAATGACCTTTATAGACGAAACGGTTAATATCTAATTTTGCATTCACTAAAAATTCAGTGAATACAAAATACAGAGGTCAGATTCTTACAGCTGACCCTTTTAGCTTTCCAATGGTGTATTGGAACCTTAGTGCAGTGGTGGTCATTAATAACACCCTAGTTTGTTCAACTATATAATATGGTATATAGCGTTGACAAATTAGTTTATCCTACTTTTTGACACGGAATGTAAAGTAATACGGAACAAACATAATGTGACAATTTTATATAATTTCATGTAATTAAATTTATATGCTTATAATTGTGATCATCAAAGTTGAGATGTGTCCTCGCAGCTTTTAGTGACGTTATCTGGAAAAGGGCAAAAGCCAGTTATCAAGGCAACAGATCGAATATTTTCTTTAGTTTCTATCTTCAATATATTTGTTACTGTTTATTTCAAAACATTAAAAGTGTTACGGACACTTTGATATTCTTATCCGTGAGGGGCTGGACCAAAGTTCCATTTTTCAAATTTGTCTAATAAGAAGACTCCAATTCCGTCAGGACCATTTCGTTTGGCATTTGTCACGTGACCTCCCATCTTCTTGACTATTTCGATCCTGTCGTTCAACAATCGTTCAATGTAACCAGTAGTCTGGAAAGTATATTGAAGGATATAATTAAATAACGCAGATGCAAGTAGGTAGTTACCAGTTTTACCACCAGGTGGCTCTTTCGGGTCAGATAGCACGGTGGGTATAGTACAAAATTCCCTTTAACTTAAATTACATCTGTTTTTAGTGTTCAATTTTCATATAACATGTATCTAATAGTTATGCAAATTAAACGTCCAGTAAAAGAAAATGTTATCTGTCCAATACAAGAAAAGATATTTCACTTTTTGTGATTTTGCATGGGGAATGAACCCGAACTAGAAGTCAAATTTTCAAAACAAATTAAATTTTCAAACAATTTTCGAAACCATATTTCGAGATGTACCTTAACAATCATGTAGGTTTCAAATATGACATCAATTACTAAGGGTGTCGAGTGCACACGTTTTGTACTTTACATTGTTATATTATGAAATAAACTATAAACTAACTATAAACTAACTAACTTTGACTGAATTTTGAATATTTAATGACGTAAATCAAGATTTTTTATTTATGATTGTTTTGATAGCAAGTCGTGCCTGCTAAATGAATGCATAGGGTATGTGATGAGAACGTAGTGTGTCTCGTTTCCTATTGTCATTTCTATAGTAAAGACCATAAATCGCTAAGAATGATAGGTTCTCCGTCAGCAGCCTAATGGGGGGGGGGGGGGCTATCGGTTGCGCCTCGGGTTGTGCCAAAATGTTATATAGTGTTCATTTAGTGGTGTGGGTTGTGCTCCATTACGCTATGTGATCGTGATCAAACTAGTATGCCAAATGGTACAAGTTATCCACTTGGGCCTTCTTCCCAGCTTCTTTAGAGGCCCATAAATGTCCAACAGTCCTTAATGGCCTAGCTCTGCTTGAGTCAATACAGTAGATTGCTTCCCGGTAAAAGGTCCTCGTAGATCATTGCTTTACACATTTTCAATACAATTCTTTTTCGCCTCCTCGGATTACCAAATATTCTCAAGTTGCTTTTTCTGCTATATCGACTATTGTGGTAGGTATGAATCGATGAGTGGTGTTTTTAAAGTCGAGATATGTCACTCTTCACTCTAAAGTTCTCAGTTGCCTTCATTTAACCTGAGATCTCTCCCTTTACGATTAGTTCCAACAGCTCTATTCTAAAGTCAGCGAGGCTCTGGCCGTCATCGCTGTTTTCGTTTGATGGTCGTATTTTTGCCAATAGCGTTGATATGTTTCATTCCAAATTGTAAATTGTAGCAATAAAATAATAAAAACTACAGCTTACGATTTAAACGTATCTAAATGCTTTGCATTACCCATTTGTGCTAGTGAGCTTTGAATCTTTCTTTGAAGTCGTATTGCATTGATTAATTTTAAATGAAAAGCAGATCCAATTGCAACCAAATTTTGTCAAACCAGTCAATGCCTTTAATTTTTACGTCACCTGCATTCTAATTAATAGATCAGATGGACATTGACTTACCCCTCCATCATTTGTTTCTTTCGCTTTGGTGTAGACATCATTGTAACACTGTAGTACTTCTTTGGCATTTGAAAGAGCTCTTTCAAGTGCAAAAAGAGGGTCTTGCCAATTGGTTGTCGAAGGTCCCTGAAATAATTGCATTATTGTTGTTTAATGTACATTTACTACATTATCTCATCGTCTTAAATTCATTTTCAAAACTAACAATTTGAGAGTGGTCAATCAGTCCATTTTAACATTTTTTTGAAAGCGTTGGCAATTGTAGAAAAGTAGGATAATATCAAAGTCTATGACAGAGTGACCCATTTTCAGAAGAATCGCGAAATAGATTAGCAAATCCTACCGAACAAGACTCATTCAATTCATTTTTTGAGTCCTTTGCCAATAAGGCATTGGCCATTTTTAGTCAAATGGTCATATTTGAAATTCCTTTTTGAGCAGATCTTTTTGCCAATGTGACTTTTACCAAAATGGTAGCCATCGAATTGAACAGCTATATCGGTCATTTAAATTGACAACTCATCTTGAAAATTCCTTTTTGAACTAAGTCTTATGTCCCTGGAGTATTAGCATATTAAATAACCAATCTGTCATCTGGTATTCGATTTATTGAACATTATATTTTTCATGACAAGTGGCGGCCATATTAAAATGAGTGGCCAGATTAAAATTGCCTTCTTGAGCAGAGGTTCCTTGCCCATTAGTTATTAGCATAATAAATTTGGTCCATATACCATAACTTGGTCCATAAAGGGTTATCAATATTAAAAATTACATTCTTAATGACAAATGGCGGTCATTTTGAAATTCAGTGGCAATCTTGAAAATTTCTTCTTGAGCAGAGTTCCTATATTTATGTCCCTATGTATCAGTGTACACATTTTTACAAACATGGCGGCCATTTAAAATTAAGCGGCCATATTGAAAATCCCTTCTCGAGCAGATGTTCTACACTCGTAAGACATAAGCCTGTACAATTTGGACCAAACCCGTCAACCTTTATTTGAGATGGTCATCTATATCCATATATCTATATCCATACGAACTTCGTTGGGATAATAACAGATCAGTGTGTTCAATGGATAAACAGTTATATAGTATACAAAAAGCATCAACAGTTTTGCTTTTTGAAAAGAAAGCAGTTTCCATCTAGACGTCCTCTCCCATCAAATACTTCAAAAATGCGGATTTTGGATTGCATTGATTCATCATTCCTTGCCATTATTGGTAAAATAATATAATCAAGTTATTTCTGAATTTCTTCAATTCACATTTCCTTGAAGGTCCCCATCATAATGATACTCCAAATACAATGCAGATTCAATGTAGTGTAATGGTGCTACACTAATTTTGTTCATTAAATACTGCATGTTTTGAAGTTAGACTAGTACTAGAATAGTACGCTGGCTCGACTTGTCATCAAATTAGGCTCATCTTGATATATCAAGGCATATTTCATAGGACTATAGGAATGGCGTAACAATATGCAGAGGCTTCCAGTTGCCAAATCTACAGGGAAGTGGATACCATTTAAACTGACCTGTATCGCAGGATAGCTCACACAGCCACCACGCTGAGTAATATAGGCTTGCAACGTCGCCGCATCTTTGGACTCTGTGCTTGATGCGTGGCTAAATTCAAATTCGAGGCCGGGTAGTGCAACGTCGGCTTGGTCGAAAAAGTTTTGCTGAAAACAAGTGTGAGTCTATGCTTGTCTCTCATTTGTTAATAACCGTATTATTCACAATTTCTTACTTTGGATTCGAGGTTTTAAAATTCATCAGTATCATTTAGCAAAATCGAGTAAAAAGTGAGCTTTTTTAAAATGCGTCAATGTTAAGATTACCATGATTTATGTTCTTTTTGGTTTCCGTGATATCTGAGACTAACATAACATTTTATGTTAGTCTCAGGTGATACTCTAGTCTCGTGTAAATAAGTGATTGGAGTTTAGCATTATTAAAGGTAAAAAGGTGATAATTGTATGTATACTTCAGAGCACTGGACTAAAATTACCAGTTAAACGAATAAACGAACCACCTACTATACTTCCATATTCATAGGAGTGAGTCAAGAGAAGCTTATAACACCTATTGAGTATCTTCTCCGTATCAATGTGGAAGCTTTGCCTTATTTCACTACTGCGATCCTCACATTCTTCAGTGACTACAAAATCATAACGTATCAAATCCATGGACAAATTGGAAAGTATCGTGTAGATATACACTCCCCTCCACACGTTTGGAAAACTTAGCCAATTTGTATACCTGTTACCGTTGGGAATGTCGATTTTGAACCACTCGTCAAAGTCATCAATTATTGACCTGTTGTAACTGAGGGGAAAGTGGGATTTTGAGGTATATGATATAAACTCAAGTTACATGTCCGCCTTTATTAGGTAATGAAATGAAAAAGTCAATCAAAAGAGAAGCTTAAAGACGAAAACCAATGGGGAACCAAACTTATGGAGGGGAGTGTATGAAGAGCGAAACCTGTGCAGTGTAAGTAGAACGCCTCTGGTACTAAATGTGATCCACTTTTCTTTGGGAGGGGGTGTTCCATTTACAGAGTTTACATTTACACTTACATTTAACATCAAGTTAGAATGTATCAAATTAATAATTAAACGTATTTACCAAATAACATGATTATTTTCTATTGTTATAATTGAAGAATTTGAAGATAAACGCCACCGTAATCCCGCCAATGAAACTTACTAGTAAAATCTGCTCCAGAGGCAACTGAAAGGACTGAAAATAAATAAAAAATGCTAGTTACAAGCATATAATTATAACAAGGCAAGGAACAATACGGCACCTGTTTCCTATATTGTACAAATTATCTTCAAGTTAGGCCAGATAGACCACGAATGCACAACTTCATCAATTACTTCCGTAGATAAGTGTACGATTCAAAATGGAGGACACAAAGTGCAAAGGGGATCTTAATCTCGTTTATCATCAAGAACCCTTTTCTACACATTGTAAAGATATATTTTGTAAAGTCTCCTGTCTCGTCTCTACTTACCTCCCGTTAGCCCAAGCAAGATGGTGTACATCTGTAAAAGAAAACTTATATTATAGTTCAATATACAGTATGAATTCTGGACCTCATAACAGTGTGAATGACAGTTACCATGAATGAAGTTACAGTAACATTCAATTTTTCATAATGGTGGAAAAGTTTTAACTTTTCGAATTATCCACTCTTATCCACTCTTCCAATCGTAACACCATAATCACTGAGCCATCAACGAGAATTGTGCGAGGGGATGACAAGTGTCAATCATTTTGTCAATAAGCTGACGGTAACAGATGACATTTGTCCGGTTCTTGGACTATAGACTGTTGTTCTAGAAGCGGATAGGGTAATATGTAGATACTATTGTCTTTAATGCAAATTATTTATCCTGACATCTAAATAAATAGATCAATGTTGCTAATCGTAATATTTGAGTATCGTACTTCATTTTATCAAAAAAAGAACTTGATACGCTTCATTTACTTGTCCTGTGATTTATCCTTTTGCGGATATCCTCATATTTATAAACATAAAACACTCATAACAAGTTGCAACAAGTACTCGTGATTAAGTACTATAAATTGTTGATTTTAAATATGGGTTGCAACATTGATCCTCAGTCAGTCGGTTCTTCTATCCGAATAAATGATTCCCGGGTTACACCAGCAAAGTGATCGATAAACGCTGCCATTTGCAAAATGCAAATATGTGAATTCAAATGTAAACATATTATATTTTATTACAAATTTATCAAACGTTAACCAAACAAACAATAACGATGTCCTTCTCTTGTTAATGATGCAAACAATGATAATACTGTCTACATATTTGATTTATTCGAAACTTATTTCTGTCGACGATTTCGTATTTTTGTATTTTCCGATGCCATATTTGTTTCCCCAACTGTAGCAGATCGGTAATCAATATCATATATTATAGTTATACATAATTAAAAGTTAATTTGTAATGAATATTGGTCAAAATCGTTTGGGATTTAATTGCTAAAAAGACAAAAATCAGAAGTCCATATTGACCTAATCTATCCAAAATGGCCGCACCCGGATTCTGAATTGTATTTAATATAGCTTATGATTCTCAAAATGATCCTAGAAAATGATGTGTAACATTTATGATCGAGAAAATGATGTTAAATTTTTTTTAATAATTTTGGCTTGTGTATTGTAATCTTACAAAATAACAAGCAAGAGCAAATATGAAATTTTTCAAATTTCAAATACCTTGGTTTTTGAACAACTTTGAAGTTTATTATCCTTTTTTGAAAAAATGAGGTTAATCACAAGACTGTGAAAATGCTATAAAGTGGAAAAACGTATGTGTAAACATGAATTTAGTGCTTCAAATATTGTGACATGTAATCAATATATTCTGTTTTGAGAAAACAATGCGTTTTACAATATTAATTTAATGTCTATTTATTTTTTGGTTTCTCTCATCAAATGTATAACGGGTGTAATTAGAAACTAATCAACTTAGCAATATATCATAAACAAAACATTGAATCATAAATTTATTTTTTTAAACTTTGCATATGGCCTTTAATTGAATAAGTCACTATTTATATTCAAGTTTTAGCAGGGAGGATGACTTTCTCCTTGTTTCCCATTTCAGTAAGATGATGATGCACTTGCGAAATACATCTAGTATGATTCATAAATCTTTTTATTGATTAACAGTCGATGATTGATGATTGATCGAGTGAATACTAAATGACGGGATGCACATTGAAATTCTCCTCCTAAAATTGTGTGATCACGACACCCATTATTTGGATAACTTGTAAAAACTCGTTTTCCAACCTCTTTCTTTCTGCTGTTTCTGTTTCTTGATTTTTATAAATCGCCAAGCATTGACATGCTTTAGCAGGATTTCCTATAGAGATTAGGTGTTACCAAAGAGAAAGTGGTGTTTTAAAAATTAGCCTTGCCGAATACCTGAAAAGTCGAAAAACATTTTTCCTCGGTTGGGTAACGTACGTCACTAAGCAACAAATTATCAATGCATACAAACAAAGAACAATATTGTACAGCAAACATATGTAATAAGTTCGCTTTATATTTTAGCTTGAACAGTTACGTCGCATCAACGAACAATGAACAATTAAAAGCTGTACTTCATGTTTTTTCTTGAAAAGTTTCATATATTATTTTAAACCTAAATACGAATTTGTATTCGAAAATATGTTGCATAACAGTGAAGTTATAATATAATCATAATCATTATACATACCTTTTGATTGAGTATGTGATCTTTCCGATATCACATATGACTGTCGCTCTGTAAAGAGCCGTCCTATTGTTTAGAAAATGGCGAAAGTACTAATAAAATATTGAAATAAATCACTAACTCAACTCAACCATGACGGTAAATATGTGAAATTGATGCACATAGAGATGCAAAGAAAATGGCGCCTATGTAAACGTTAATAGAACAACCTTGATCAACAGGAATTTTATATCGGTACAATCGAATTATCCTTGGATACTCCATCTTGAAAATAATGATTTTTTGTAAAAAAGACTTCAATCACTAGGAATCTACACACAGGTAAGCAATTTTAAAGTGGTGTAATAATAGATTACAAAATAGCGATGTCTAAATATCGTAATGATCCTATCTTTTAAGTGACCATTTATTATAAATAACTTTATGGAATTTTCTTTCTAATATCAAAAGTTTAAGCTACCCGTTTTTAAGACAACTTGTACGTAAAAATGTTTTATTATGAACCAATATCATAACTGTCCCACTCTATTCTATTTTCTTACTATCCTTATACGCAAATCGACAAATAAACGCTACGAGGGGGGAAATAGTCCTTGGATGACCATAATTCTACACGTTCACGTATAAGTTATCTTAAGAGCGTTTGCCTTCACTTAGATTTGTTTTTATGTTGGAGTGTATTGGATGATATGATTGACATTTGGAAGACTCAGATTGACCCGACCTCCCCTGACATGTGTTAAACTTTAATTGATTTTCCGAAATAACAGTTTATTTTATTGACCTGCCTAATACCATTCTCGTGCCCGTACTGAAATCGTATCTTCTTTTTCAATCTTATGATGAATGTCCAAATATACACAAAATATTGATAGGTGTCCTGGAGTTTTGCTTTGATATTTTGGTCTTATTTATGTTAAATTTCAAATACTCGTTCGAGAACGAACTTTTCTGCTTTATGATTTAACCTGGATATTATGGGTGAATAAATCTGTCAGAGCAGTATTGCCGAAGCAATTTGACTGTTTAAACCAGCGTTATGAATATAATCACCAACGTGCATTCAACTGGAACTACGAGTTAATAGTTATAAGTAATAACAGCTGAATTTCCTTTCTAGGGGAACTGGCCATGGTTGTGACGTCTAACGTAACAGGTATGCAAATGACCAAAATTAACAGAATTAATCATTCATTCCAAGGGCTTTATTTATTCCTCAAAGAAATGAAATATCCTTGGGCCAAGGCCGGAAATTAATACCATCTATTTTAATACGTAAAGTATATTTAGACATTGATGTATAAGGTATTCTTTTCTCCACTTACCCTACCATGTTACTGTACGTTAAAGGCCCCATATAAAGTTTAAACCACTTTGGCTTATATTGTAGTCTTACCCAATGTAATCAAAGTGTGATATGTGAAAGTTTTTGCTACCTTAGTGACATCACTAATGTTTCAAAATATTTTTGATATGCTAAAACATTGAAGTGGCCCATTAAATATGGCATTTTATTATTGAAATAGTGTTTCCTTTGTCCAATCTTTGCATTGGTGTTAAAAAGATGATCTTTTTTGAAATGCATTAAGAAATATTTGTTGATTAAAAAATTTCCACTTTTTTTGAAAAATGGCGGGAAATTTGAATATTTGAGAAATGAAATGCTCACAACTTTTTTTCAAAAAACGTTTTTTCTGAAGTCTCTAAAATAACTTTTTAAGTCATGACAAATAGTAGATGAATGATAAAAAAATATTTTCAAACTTTAGACGGGGACTTTAGCAGAGAAATTTGAAGGAGTTTAGGGTTTATCCAAGATTTATTACATAATCTTGATCGCATGATTTAATCATTCCGCACCTTATTGCCAAATTATGAAAAATCTGTGTATGGTATATGTCTCGATATACCTTTGTGGTCAACTAGGTCAGTAGGTCACCACTGTCAATTGCAATGATCAAATATTACAATCCATACTCGTTCAAAGTGAATATTAATCGCAAATACTTGCAATATTGATTGATGATGACAGTGACTTGAAATCAGTAATGATGAAGTATGTTGATGTAAGTGATAAATTACCATATGATTGATTCATATCAATAGAGAAAAAAGACACGCATTGATACACTTTACTATACCTTGCATTTGGTGTTCATGAGCAACCCATTGGGCTTATTAGTAATGATTATGTATTTGTTTATATTTGTCTGTTCCTTATTAATGGTTTATCGGTTGAATGTTAGATGTTACTAAGGCACTTTCAAAAATATACTAAACAATACAATTAGACAAATAAAGTAGCTTATGCATTTCTAGGTGTTAGGTATAGTAGAGTGATATCATGCCTTGAGGAGCAGAACAGCCAGCTTGTAATTTACCTTGCGTGCGCATAACCTAATCAGATCTTGGCTATAGTCTACTCTTGCATCTTCAAAAATTTGAAAGTTGAACAGATGAAGAGTTCTCCTGGAATTTTGAACAATATAGTATATATGTGTCGCTAACCCACTCGCGTACCCACCTTGCATATTGCCAATGTGACAATATTCATGAAGATCGTCAACGTAACAAAAGCGAAGGACTAAATATGTCAATTGTGTCTTCGTTAATGTACCAAACATAGAACCGCCTGCATATTCTCAAACTAAGCTATCTTCCTTAACATTGAGCCAAAGTATTGTCCACAACTTAACTTATAAGTGGTGAAGAATCGAGAAATAAAAATATCTTACCGAAAACGAAGCCCGGAAGTTCTTCCATCTTGTTACGCTGACGTATCGTCAGCGTAACTAGGTTAGTAGCAGTGATAACGCACGCTATTATGAACATCGATTTACTGTATATCATATTGATTTATGAACCATTGATTCGACTTGATATTTGCTCGTAACCTTAATGTGCAATATAACATGGTATGGTTTGTTTTATAAACTTATAATAAAAAACCGTGAACACCAATTAACATTGCACATTACGCATACGCATGTAATCTGCTAAAAGGTTTTACTAACTTCAAATTTATTGCTCATATTTTTGCAAAATTATATTTGTTGAGTATTCCTTTCTGGATAATGCATTAATTGTCAAACGCATATGAATTTTATTAGTCAAGCTACAATTGCAAGCCCTTGTTACCCCCCCCCCCTAAACACCTCCCCACAGAGAGAAGGTGTCTAGTATAGGGGAGGGTCACAGTGTCGGAGTTAGACTAGAATTTTATCCTATTAGATAAGATGTATTGAATTTAAACTGGTGTAATTAATACTTTGATGAATATGAGGTGAATTTAAGGACAGTGAGAAAAAATTGCGGGGTTTGCATCCATTAATCTTAGCTTTCTTGCTACTTTGACTTTCCTTCATGAAATGACAGCCACTACTTCAGACGAATGTGCCAAAATTATTAACATTTACCTAATATCCTTTTGAATGACTTATACGTTTCCTCATGCATGGAAACGAATGATTACATCAAATTTTATTTCCATATATAATTTCAGATAGTATTTACAAATTTCATTTTTTAGTTTTTATTGTCGTGCTGTGCTTTGCTGGATACGTTGCCCAAGATGCAAAGAAGAAACGAAAGGGTAATATTATATCAATATCTTATTCAATTATTGAAGTGAATACTATTACTTATAATTTAATTGCGTGACCATATAAAATATAAACCTGAAATTCCTATAAAGGAAAATGGTATGCAAATATCATTAACCATGTAATTTAGGTGATATTTCGGTGTTCAATGTGTCCCTTATTGCAAATAAAATTTCAAGGTCGCTAGCTTTCTTGGTAAACGCGTTCTGAACTGTTAAGGCGGACACAATGCATCAATACACTTCTCATTTTTAAGATAGAAGATATATCAGGCAGTTTTGGCAAATTCGATGTAACCTCGATACTAGGATAACTTCTACTCATAATTGCTGAGGAATACCAGTCTGGCAGAAACATGAGCATCAATTGTTCTATTCTTAGTCCATGGTATAAAATCTCTAGAACGTCTAATAAAGGAGGTGGTAGCATATTACACGGGTTACTAGAGTATCCGCGTATATTGAGTATGACCGGTTCTAAGCTTACGAGTGTGACCGTATTTCTGTTCCTATAAACAGACGAGGTGACTACTTGCTTTTTATGAACACTTTTGAACGTTTTCTATTTATCCTACTTGGTCAATGAATGATACTTGGTATACTTATAATGCCAGGCATATCACAAGGGGCCTTAATCAAGAGAAAACGTATTAATATTAGATTGAAGCCGTAAAATCCTAGTTTCCAGCATCTTTGATCAGTTTTTGTGTAACACAACGCAACTCCGAAGAGGATGACACATCTTATGTATAATATATAGCTAGATCTACGAATTAGTCATGAATATTTTAAATAATTTAGCCTGCTCTGTCCAAATATGATACAGGGTGGTCAAAAAAATGGCAACCCTAATTTTTCCTCATATCTTTGTCATTTTTGGAAATTTTGCCCTGATATTTGGCACACATGTACATCATTCAATTTCATACTAGACCGTGTTATTTCATGAAAATTGGACAGATAATCGCAATGTAACAGCACTTTAAACAAGATGCCCCAGTTCTCCAATATCGTGCTGTAGGCAAACCTGCACATGTTTTCCAAACCTGTCAGTGACATAACAGCATCCCTCAGCAAGTATGGCCTGAATGACACATGTGATCTTTATTTTGAGGTCAAATGTCTTTCTGGAGTTATTACCCTACACTCTATCTTTTGGGTTTCCCCACTGGTAAAGATTAAATGGGGCCATATCTGGACTATGGGGTGCCCATTCATTGTCTGTTGTACTGCTGATTATGTGGTCATTGAAGTGGTCCCAAAGCCAATATTGTGCATCATTTGGTGTATGGGGTATGGTTCTGGCTTGTTGGAACCACTGTTGCTGCCTTTCAACCACCCTGGGTTCACCTAAAGTCCCCAAAAACTCCATGGGAATCATAGACTTTGACTTTGATGTTGACAGTTATTGCATATCTGTTAGCATCATCAAAGGTAAAGGACCCAATCTTCTGAGAACACACTAAACTTTGCATCTGTCTGTGTGAAAGTGCCTCTCCACTACTTCATAAAGTGCTTGGCTCCCCAAGAATACATAATTGTTACAGATCACCAGTGCATCAAGTTGAAAATGGAGTTCATTTGGATAACAGACCAGCTCAGACAGCCCGAAAGTGGCCATCTGGGGTATGTTGCTTAAAATGCAGTAATATTGTGACTATCAGTCCGATGGTCATGAAATATGGTAGGTTGGTAGGAAATTGAATGATGTACAAATGTGTAAAATATCAGGGAGTTATTCCTTAGAATGACAAAGATATTAGGAAAAACTAGGGTTGCCGTTTTTTTGACCACCCTGTACATCTTTGAATTTTTGAGAATACGAATGTCACTGGTGCCCCATTATTGGAGAATACGGTTGTGAAACAATCAGTGGGCCGTGTTACACGGAGTTAGATATTGCTCAGTTGCTTATAAAACAACCATCACGTGACTTATGAATGGGGAATCCAAATCAAATTTAAGGAAGGATGATATTTTTCTTCTGTTTATATCGTGGGCCAGTGAAGGTCTTATAGATTAGTTAAACCTTTGTTTGTTTTGTTTTTACCACCATAGTGGTAAGTCGGTATTTCACCTTGGTAAGTGATTTTAATCAACATTTACATATTTTATATGACTTTGAAGAAGCTTGCGTTAATTTGACATATAATTCGCAAATATGCTTCTGAAATAAAAAAAAAGATATCATCTAAATATATATGTTACATCTCTTTAGATCAGCATAGATCATCAAAAATTGCTCCATCGGTCTCAGATGCAATTTGCATGACAGAATGCAAATGAAATGCTATCTTAGAAAAACTTCACAAGCCTTTAAGACCAGAAATAGAGAAAGCAGCCTAGCACAATCTTTCATTCCAATGCCAACTTGCAAGTAACCACTATGCATTTCGAAATCTCGTGAATATACAGTTGTTCCTTACTCTGAAGGAATAACTTATTTGGTCAATTTGACACTTTACCCATTGTCTCTAAATCCACGTGACTCTGATAGTATTGCCAAATCTGGTTCCCATCTTGCGAAGTCATCATCTTAACTTTGATAAGCTTCGACTTTCTTAGGAAATGCAAGGACAACGACAGATACCTACAGAGAATGGAATACTAACATTAACTTCGTGATTCACCTTAATATTTCCAATTTTCAGGTGTATCATATTCTTAGTCACTCTTAAAAAATATTACTTGGATTTCCTTATATTGAGAACTTGTACTACTCATTTTAAGTAAAAAATTACTTAAATAATCTTGAACTACTGAATAATTTTTAAGTAATTACAAGTAATTATAAGTAATTTAAAACAATGATATATATATTAATTTAAAAAAATTAAAATGACTTCACAGGCACTCCGAATTTATGGTGAATTTACTAATGCAACGAGAGAAATTGAAATACTTACTGTAGTAATTGTAATACTCATTTACATAATTAAGCAATTAAAAAACTCAAAATGACAATATAAGTAAAACCTAAGTAAAATGAAGTAAAACTAAGTATTTAACTTTAAGTAATTTCTATACTTGGGAAATACTCAAGTAATTCATTTTAAGAGTGGTCTCATTCACGATGACACACTTAATACAATATAATCATATCGATATTAATCATATGTTTAAGTATTAACAGTTCTGATAATATATTAAATAGCTCAACATCATTTACTTCAGAGTATAATAGTTATTTTAGTATAATAGTCATTTTGAAGGTAATCTTGATAAAGCTAGTTGGATGACTGGGGAAACTTAGAAAATAAACCATTATACTCTGAAGTAAATGGACTTGAGTTATTTATCATATCAATAGTGTGTAATCATGGAATGAGACTAGAAACATTAATGATGACAACGCGTATTCTCCATCATAATTAAAATGTGAGCTATGTCTATATAGATGTGATAAAATGCTATGATTGTGATGGTTTAACTGGACTACTTTCCCCCTGCTACAACAAGAAGAGGTGTGATAAATCTGAATATGTGAGTAATTTCATAATTAGACATTTTAGTTTCTAGAGTAGTATGTCATCTTTGAATTCCAAGGCGAAGATAATTACGTCATAGTTCAGCAATACAAGATAATAGCGGAACGAACTTGTACGCGAACGCGTAGAATTATGGTAATCTAGTTGTTGGCCTCCCCTTCGTAGTATTACTTACCTGACTCAGTATGAAAGATAAAGGAAGACTGTTGCAATTAGGTGCATGGGAAAACCAATAGAGATGGGAGTCGGTAACCACTATAGTTACATGTATAAAATAGTACACGTCTACATACACGTTTGTACACATTCTCTTAATACGTGTAGCTGATCCTCCTTAATATGCCAAAGAAGAAGTCATTAAAAAAACATTTATCTAATATATTTGTAGTTTTGTGGTATAACTTATCAGTTCACCCCGTCTGAAGGCATACGGGTGAAACAAGGATGTTCTAGTAAATCAAAATGCCCATCTGTACTGGACGAAATAGCATGTCAAGGAGTACCAAAGGCACAGTGTAAACTATGTTGCGACAAAAACCTGTGCAATAAGCGTACGTCATCCTTATTCATTATACAGTATAAAATGACCAATGCAAAATGATTGATCTTACTTTGGTTTCGAGCTTTTGTTTAAGACTAAAACATGATGTTTACTATGAATCGTTTGACGAATATCTCTGTAATGCCTAGCAAGGGCAATTGGCGTTATAGTACTTATGATCAAATATTTTGTTTATTTCAGTAAATAGTTAAATACATGAAAAAATTGAATTAAGAATACAGTGCCTGAATTCAGTCATGACAAACACTAAATTCTCTACTTTCACCACGTATGAAAATATGAATGAAGAAAGTTCCCTTCATTACAGCTGATCTAGATATAGGTATAACAACTCCGGTGCAGCCGTCCACCCCTGTGCCAAACACAACACCCGCACCGACGACTACCCAAAGATTCAAAAGTACATTCGCTCCCGTATCACAATGTGCGGTGGTACTTCAGGTACCGACAACAGACTTGATAGGACATTTATATGAGGCGTGGTATACTTATTATAGCATGGTTAGTATACTTGTTTTCCAACGGAAATGCTTTTTAGTAATTTTATTAATCGTAACGTAATGGTTATCATGCTTTTTGTGATGTATTAGTCTTCTGTGGGAGGTGTCTAGTCAAGTAGATGGGGGTGGGTCACAGAGGCTTGTAGATACAGACGCGTGATATATCATCACGAGTAGGTTTTACCTCTGATTTCTGGATTTAGGCGGTGGCGTTTAACCAGTGGTACGTTGCACTGCCCGCAGCGTCTAAATATTTTGCCGTATCAAGTTTCGTCGGGAAGATGAACGACATCATTAAACTACGGACTATACAAAATATGTACAACATCCCTCAAAAATATCCACGAATAAAAGTAAGTGTGATATATTATCTATCTGGATGAACTATTCATGGGTAAACTCCAAATGAGTGTTGTACTAGATATAAGATATTTGAGTAAAACATTAACATTTTTACTAAGTTGCGTTAGTGATGGCATTTTTGTGTCTTAAAGATTTGCAGCTATGTAATGAAACAACAATTTTGACATCAATCTAAAAATAATTTTTCTTCATTATTTCATTTTCCTCAATTTCGCAAGACATACAACATTCAAAAACAAGGAACTGTTCTTCATTTTGAATAGATTGAAAAGATTCTCTCTCTGTGTACATCTCCTTCCCGATATAATGGGAAGTACATGAAGTACATGGGTGGAGGGTGTACACAGCGTTCCTATGAATTTGAAAAAACACTTATTTTATATCTTCATATATTTTTACACGTATGTTTAATTTCCACAAGCCACCGAATCTCCAATGGGGCAGCTTACTGGAAGCTCTTGAAACGGCGTTAAGAATCGAATTAGGCGTTGCTGATTCATATCAAATCCTTGCGCAAGCCTCCGAAGCTTGCGCTGCTGCAACGGTAAGTGAATTATACAGTAGAAGGACCGAGAAATGTTTTTTTTGTTTAGTTTTATCATTCCAATATTACTCCTCATGACTTGAAAAACTATATGAGACATTTATTGAAATTGTGACCTTTGAAAAAAGTTTTTTATTTCTCAAATATTCAATTTTCCCGCCATTTTCAAATAAAAGTTGAATTAATTTTATGATGAATTTATTATTTTATTATTCCACTATACAGTGCAAAAACTATATTTCTAACACCAATGCAAAGATTGAACAAAGAACACACTATTTCGATAATAAAATTTCATATCTAATGTGCAACTTCAATGTTTTACCATGTTAAATCTCAGGTGGCAAAAACTTTGTGAAAATTGAAATTTTTTCCATGTCAGTCTTTTATAAATTTTCTTAAAGTTCAAAAATAAAACAATTTTGATTGTATAACCGGGTTAAAAGGAAGAATATAATATTATTTAAGAAATATAGACCGAAGAGCAGGTGTTATATCGACGAATACATCCTGCGGGGCTAGGTTCGAAAGCCTTTGTGCCAGCCCCAGAACAAATTTTAAGGGCCCCAAAAACTTCGCTGGGCCTCAAAAATAGGCCTTTTTGGGCAAAACTTGTCCAGATTGTCAAAAAATTGGCCTCAAATTTTAGCCCAATTTTGGGTTTTAGGAGCCCAAGATTTTAGTTAATTTATTATATGTGCTTTATGCTTTTTTCTGAACCACTTTTCTTATTTTTTCAACACAAAATGGGTTAGAATTTACTTGTATGTTACACGTTTGTGTAAATTATCGCTTAACACTGATGTAATGTGACTTTTATACTTTTATCATAGCTCAGATATTGATTTCAAGTATTCAATAACTATTTCAACCATGTCAAGAAATTAAATATAATATATTCAAAACAAATTGCTTATTACCCATACTTGGACATGATCCAATGAACACTGTAACCTGTTAACATAAATTATATGATATATATTTATCCTAAAGCCTTAATATTTCATTTTCAATTGAATATCGTTTCTCAGTTGTCGTTGGTCCTCGATCCAATTATTTTACTACTATTCCCTCAATCGTCAATGCTAGACGGCTTAGCCTAAATGTTCAATTGATTGAGAGATAAAATGACTCAAGGTAACCAATAAAATCTTGCAATAAACATATTTCTAAATTGACGGTCGAGAATTGAATAGGCATCATCATATAGTATAGTTTTTGAGGCCAGGTGATCTAGGACTTACTATGAATCATGGTCATTATTAAACCCCCTGTTAAATGTCGATGCAACAATCATATCAAATGGAATCTGTTGATATTATCGATAGAATGTTTCACTTTCTATATGATAGATATATAGATGTCACGCTTGTTGTTCATGGTTTCCATGAAAGCAGCATCCCCGGGCAGGATCCAATCCAATTATCATGAAGATTTTATTTTTTCATCTATCTATATAATAGAGGCTATATAATTACCACTGTCAGTCCGTCTAACCTTAAGTTAATTCATAATGTTTTACTTTTCCGACTATAGGTGTCGCAGAGTGTCCAGGAAAATCTCTCCGTCTCGAATACGGTTATCAAAGAACTCGCTGGCCTGATCACGTCTCTAGCCCGTGTAGGCGGTCCAAGAGGGGACTATTTGCTCGATCGAGTAGTGTTAAATCATCCGAACTTCACACAGGTGTATGCTGCAACGGCACCTAAGACTCAATTTCTTACCTCGCTGGGGAACAAGGAGGCGCTTGTGTGGTTACCAAAGCAAGCGATTTCAATGATTCAACCTGGCTATAGTTATTGAATCCAATTTTTTGTTAATGTACCAGTGAAACTATAAATAAAAAAATAAAATAAAAATTAAACCACTGTGAGTCTCATTTTGTTGTTAATTGTTCATCATGAGTTTTTACATAAACATAGTATGGATTTCGAGAAATTGTGAGGCTAAGATACAATAGAAATGCAAATATATAATCTAATATAACAAGGGACGGACCTTAATTCAGAATGAAAATCACAGAGCGGAGTCTATATTATGGTTATTTCATATACTTCGATCTGCTCAATTACATTCGTAGGGAGAGAGGGTTCGGAGAGCTCGTGCGACCCTCCCCCCCAAAAAAAGAAATCTTGACTAAAAAATCGAACCCACCTTTTCCGGCAACTATGCGAACCCCCCAAATTCTGAGTTAATTTTTTGAAGTATTTCAGTAATTTAACGGTTTTTGGTTGCCTTAGATATTCGAGGTACAAATGTTTATGTAAGATTTATAACTTTATCTTGGGTAAAAAAGACTTCAAGGATACAGAAAAAACGATGGGCGATAACAGGTTTCTACTTCGCATTTTAGGCATGAAATACTGATCTAATACCATCTAAAGGAATCCAATTGTACAAATGAAGCATACTTACCGAGTATAAATTGTCAGATTGGGATAAAACGTCAAAATGGTCCCTAATTTATGATATAAATCAGAGAATTTTGAACATGTGAAAGTTCAGTGATGCGATGCACGTGATGCACCAAAGTTCTGAGCGCTAGAAAATTCTATTTTTGGTCAGGAGTCACTTTCAAAATTGTTTTCTTTCATTGGAACTCACATTTTTGCTAATACTAATGTTTTGTCTCCTATTTATTTGAAGAGACATTGTGCAAGTAATGGAAAATACAAGACAATTGAATTACACAACCTATGCTTGGATTAAATTGGGGGGGGTCTATGTCTGATAATGTCCTTGAGCTATTTATTTTGGATTAAATTTTCTGACGTATCCAGAAAGTGGCAAAAACTTAAAATGTAAAGGGATTTTAACAGGCCTTTGTTGAAAAAAGGTTCTAGATTTCTGCCTTTAACTGTTCCAAATGAACGAAATTGGTAAAAACATTGTGATATTTCACTTTGATTTTGCTCTTGCAAATGTTTTGCAAAGGTATACTTTTAATTCCAGCAAACAAAAAAAGTATTCAAAAAATTAAAACAAACAACCCAAAATAGATAAAAATTAAGATAGACCTTTTATTTCATTAACAAGATACTTTTTTAATTCAACCAAAATTTCGTTTGTACAATTTCAATATTGAGAGACCTAAATACGTTGTGTTTATGTCATTTTGTTCCAATGAGGTTCGGATAGATGTTTCATTTCATTCCGAACGATACCAGGAACAAAAGAAGTGTCTAATGTGTTTTCTAAAACAATATAGAGAAATGTATATATTTATTTCAAATTGTAGTGTTACCATTCAAAAGATGATCATTAAATTGACAATGTGTAAATTTTTTAGATTTTTTGGATGACTGGTTTAAGAGAAACGTGTGTTCAAATTTAAGCTAAATTGGCATTAAGCAAATTAAGCAGAGATTAAGCAAAGTTTCAGGTAGGTTATCGCAAACAATTACAGACCAGACAGTTATATCTTGGATTATGACTATTTTCTGACCTTGAAGACAGGCCATTCACTATCTCAAAGAAAATTATATACAATAATTAAAAAGTCAAATGGACTTGGAATATTTAACTAGCAATGTTACAATGTTTAATGCATTACATTTCTTTATCAAATAGTTCTTGAAAGATAAACTCTAAATTGCTCAAAGATTAGTGTTCCCCATGTTATTCCTCCATTGAATAATCTCATGTTATCCATTGGTTTCAGTATATTTTGGTCATCCAAATTCAGTATCTTTAAAGTCCCTGGAGCAATCAACTTTTCCTTTTAGGAAGGAGGTTGTGTATGATATGGATTATAGTAAAGATGCCCTCGGACGGTCGCACATGCATCGTTCGCTACCCGGGGTTCGCTATGCCCTGATTAAAAGTACTGTATTACTTTTTGTTCAATACGAGAATATTAATTGGATTCTAATTCATGTCAAATATGCTACCTGTCATTTAGTAATTACTAAACACTCCAATAGAAAGTGTGACGTTTTGTTGGCCTCGTGCGTCTATCAAGCTGTGACCGCTACTTCACTAACTGACGTGTGCTTGTATTATACGCGTACAACATCCATCTCATCCGCTCCACCTTCGTATGCACGTGCACGCTTTACAAACGCTCTCAGAAAACATGGAGGTTGAGGAAATAAACTAAAAGCGTATGATGTCTTTTTTCATCGAGTTTTTGTTTGTTTAGCAAAAACGTGTGCTGTGATTAGATGAGCACGATATTAAGATCGTTTCCCAGGGCTTTGTTTTATCAAACGGAAGTCAGGCCATCCCTCTTTGCCATGCGTATGCATGCCACCGTCGAAACTGATGCACGTCACTAAACACCCCTAGATGAGAATACGTTCGCTGAATGTATTATAACATGTTAACTAATAGCTAAATGTTGTCTCTTCACAAGGTGTATGCGTGAGAATGGGGTCAGATTGCTCCTTTCAATAATTTGGTTTTGCTTCTTTAAAGAGGAACTAGGTTCTGACCCTCGGTGGTAGTAGGGTGAAATCAATTTTGGGATGAAAGTCCCGAATCATTGGATCATGATGTGGGGCAATCGTTTTTTAATCCGTTAATGCATTCCATGATAAACATTCGTCATTCGGAACATTTTCTCCCATTTTACTTAGGTATTTTCTTTGATATAATTAGAGGCAGAATTTAGACAAATATGACATTGTATATATTGGTATATGATGACGTATAATAAAAGTAGAAATGTTTAATATGAAATTATGCATGTCTGTGTATACGTTTACTCCAAAATTTTAACTAATTAATTTGGCAAATTCAAGTTGAAATGTATCAAAATAACAAAAATATAGTGAAATGTGTTTATTAATTTTGACATTTTGATACGAGAGCGCCCCTTGGCTGAGTGGGTACCCAGTAATGAAAATTACAAATCGTGCCGAGATAATTTCTAACTCAGAATTTGCAAATGTCTAATAAACATAACCCTTTCGAATACATTTTCTAGAGTCGCAATATTGTTTGGAAAGGACAGGAGTCAATAAATATGATGATTAGCCTAGATATAGCTATATACAATTTATTTAAACACGATATACATACAATTACATCCTTTTAGCAAAAATAAACATCAATATTTACAGAAACAATTACAAAATGAAATAATAAATTATTTGCTTTCTGTTTTGATAAAATATTTGTTCACATTGCACAGCTCCCGGCGTTAAGTCAAGCGATATTTTGCACGCCATCGCAAAATATTGCGTGCGATAAAAATGATCGCAGTTAGTGTTTCTCCTTTGTAGTAGCTATATACACATGAATATTACAATAAGCACATTGCAGTATTTACATTTGAAGTGGTATTTACAACTTATTAAATAATGACTACGTACACTCATCACAATAGCAGATTTATATAAAACTGCCTGTTATAATCTCCGAATACAGATAATAGGGAGTTTAAGCTTGCATATAGAATCGAAACGCCAACCTATACATATGACCAATCGCCCATACAAATGCATTGCTTCAAAATTTTCCGTTCGCGTTTAGGTTGTGAAAAACATTGCAAGCTTAAACTCCCTAATGTTGGAACCGATCATCCTTCAAGATCGGGTGGCTTTACTGCTTAGCAGTTATGGAAAGAATTGGAATACCCTTGGACCAAGGGTGCTACCGATGCATGCCCAAAGGTCTGCTGAATGCAGAAATGTGCATTTCCTTTGTATTTCCACTCGGAAGTCTAGATGATCCATGTTCATAATTTGAAAGACTGTCTGGGAATAAGCCTGGTTTCATTAAAGGGTGGGGTCCCCCTAATGGCGTTGTCCCTAAACCATATCCACCGGGGGTTATGGGTGACACTATCTCAGGTAGTAGCTGGGGGAGTTTGGTGTGGGGTTGTGACATCCTTGGAACGACGATATGTGGCGCCACTGTCTGAGATTGCGCACGTGATACGGAGTAAGGTGAAAATCTTATTGGTTGACGAGAAGTCGCAACAGTGGTTCCGGCATACGGAAGCCTCCCAGTGGGCGGTGGCACATGTGACTCATTATGTAGAAGACTAACGGTGCTTGTGACACTAGAGGGATGGTCAGTTACTGTTTGGGTGGTGGATAGAGCCGGTGTGCTTGTTACTGGACTGCCTTTTTTGTTGCGATACATATTACCGCCACTAACCGACGCATCTGGTCGGAAACGGGTCCGTAGGTAACTGACGATGCGCACGCATCGTGTATTGTTAACATCGATACCTTCAACATCAGACATGTAGTTAATGATTTGCCGCATGCAATCACTGTATCCAGTTTGGTAGTGATGCATGAAATCCGTCCACACGTCTGAACTATACCAATCACCTGTAACAAAATTAAAAGTGCCTTAACTTTTTTTCTTTTTTATTGAAATCAATGTAACATATTAATATTTACAGTTTGCAGTGGCTATGACACCCAAGAGGGAGTATTAGGTGCCACAGTGTGTGTTTACAATGATTTGTGATATATTATAAAAAGTGTACATGAAATCGCGTAAAGTATGATATTGTACATAAGTGAGAAAATAAACTGATTTGGTGAAAATGGTATACAATATGTATAGCATACTACCCTGCGTGCAAAGTCTAGTTAAACTACACGACGGAGCTCTCTTTTAAGAAGTGAAGTCCAACGAATGCAAAGGGTAATAGCATACTATAATGCGGTGCATATAAATAGTACGGGAACCTGGTGCGTGGCAAGATGGTCACCTAAGCAAGACATGTACAAAGTCTCGTCGAATTCACTCATGATAACAAATCCAAATCATTCACCAATTTTGGCTCACAACACACATGGGGTTTCTCCTTTTCAACGAGATTAGTTAATGTTATAATTGGGAGACAACTGTCATGAACCATTCTAGGTCCACACGACCATTTTGCCCAAGGTCGCCCTATATTAGTCCCAAAAGTAAAAACGTACCATTTTCGAATCTGGTCCCAATCTCGGTAGACTGTATTGCTCTTAAGTATTCGACTGTCATCTCAAGAATTTCAGCCTTTTCTAGTTTTCCCGAAGACTGGAAAATAAATATTATACGCTATATATACCAAGCCCTATATTTAAGTTTTGTGGTACTAGAGATAACATCATGTAATTAGTTAGTTACAATTAGAGTGTCTAACGTTACAAATGTATGTACAAATTTAAAACGATTTAAGACAAAGTGAGGTCCTAATTTATCATTAAAGACATAATAAATGTGACATCTTTTACTGAAGTTCACGAGGCACGCTATTTTTGATGAGTTTTTTCCCTATTAAAAATTCACCCTTTGTAATTTATTTAATGATTTAGAAGTAATTAACAAGTTGTCAATGGGCATGGTGGTTTTAGATGTGGCTGGGGGAGAAGTAAAGTCGGATAAAACATACGTTTTTTCAGATTATCTTTGGGATTGGCGCGTGTGCGGCGTGCGCGTCACAATCGTGCGCAAATTGTACATGCGCGTGTCAGATACTACACTCGTGTGAGCATATACATTGGAGTGTCCCTATACACCTGAATAATTATGATAGCGACAGAATACAAGGGAATCCATTGTCTCTTTGGTATAATGACCCATATATAGTCTTTTGATACTGCTTTGTCTGTGTTGTATGGTTTCCTGCGAAAAAAACTTTCTTCCGTACACTTCTTTAGAATTTGAACCAATTGGGTTTGTAGAACCAGATTTCTTGGACTCTGTGGAAGAACTAACTTATGAACAGTAATGAACCAAGACCTACTAGTATAAAGATAACCCATTTGAAAGATAATAAATAAACTACATGTACTTGTCGTACCAAATAAATCTGATCTGTTTACAGTGTGTGTTGTTGTTGTGTTGTTGTTGTTCTGAGGATAGAAATAAATAAGGAAACAATAACATGTTTATTTCATCTCGTTTGTAGTGCGTTAACATCCCAATAAAGTCTTAGTGAGAAACATTAGTCGGGATAACATATTGACGTCAGGCCCTGGAACGTTGTTGTTGGACGTTGTTATCTGATTTTATTAAAAGAATCAGATGAAAGGGCGTTTTCTTTTTTGTTTTACTCAAAATTCAAACGCTAATTACACATCGGGTCAAATTAAAATATCCGAGCAAAATTCTGTATTTCGGGTTATTGGATTTTTTTCATTTTAACTGCGAATGTTATTATAAAAAAGCCTTTTCACCTGGTGCTTTTAAAAAGAAAACAATAAATAAAAGATTGACCTTTTAGGGGACTACTATTTACATTAACTTCACTTTATCTTAATAAAACCTGTTACGTCCCCGCATAAATTATCATGTCGGTGGTAACGTTTTTTTTTATTTCTGAAAAGAGAATTATGAAAAATATGCCAAGATGTGACGTACATTAAAAAAGTATGAAATCAGAATCTTGTGATTTTAGAAAAGAATGAAGTCTGTAATCGATTTTACAAGAAAGTGTCACGGAAGAAACAAGACATTGGCCTCATTTTATATTGAGGTAATATAAAAAGTAGGCCGACATTATTGTGATTAATGTGCATATTATGAACGTATTGCTCATTCACTGAACGAAACGGCACTTCCCGCTGAAATCACCGGGTATTGATTTTTCCCTTGATTTACGGATCAAAATTACATTTATTGTTGATGTTGTTAAATACTTTGTGTAGTTAAGATGAATCGAAAGATGGAAGGACTAGTATTGCAATTAGTTTTTCACGCAATTATTGTACCAGCTGTAATTTTTGAATATGAACAATTTCTGGAATTTCTTTAAGACAGATGCAGACGATGTTAGAAAAATTTGAAAGTAGATCTAGTCACCTGTTTTGCGAATGCCGCGGGGACAGTTTGGCTCAGTTCCGCAAGGCAATTGTTTATCCTGTCTCTTCGACGTTTCTCGATGACTTTATGTGACGTCTGTTCCTGTAAGGTGAAGGCTAACACATTTTAAAATTTGTAAAATAAAATTTGATTGTCATGCTATCATCAAAAACCCAAATTGCAAACTTTTGAAGATTGCAAACAAACCGGAAATCAGATCTTCACGATCGAATGTCACTAATCCACCCGACCATGTCACCAATGAATAGTTTACATAGGTCTATACATTAGACATTTCATTTATGTTTTTGTAATATTAATGTTTTGAAACACTATTTATATGTACAGGTGATAAATTGAATTTTAAATTATTGAGGAAGTTTGTAGTAATTTATCAACCTGAGTATAATCAAATGTGCGATTCATATAAAATATTATTTTACATTATCAGTAGACTGATAGTGTCCTAACTGAGGATTACATAATCATAAAATTAATCTTTGAAGTCTGCTTTCTATATATCCGATTCTCTTATTCATTGTGAATACAATTTTTAGTTGAAAAAAACGTATATATAGGCCTATAAAGTTAACATAATTTGAAAACTAGCTAACAAACAGATTGTGTTAAATAATTTCAATATTTATACTTACTTTGACTTTTTGTGAATCTATTTTTACTAGCATCCATCAATAAAGAAATAAAAAATAAATTAATTTACAAACCTGCTTCTCCGGCATTTCTTCGCTCATTTCTCTTGTCACCATCGACGTCTCTTTTTGGTTTTCCACTTTTCCCAAGCCTCCGCAGTATCTTTTTAATAAACTTTTGTGGAATACTTTTAACAGATTGAATAATCTTGAAAAAGTCTTAATTTGGCTTGATGATTTAATATATCTTATTCTCTCTCTCTTTCCTAGTTCATTATTTCCAGTGATTTTCGCGTGAACAATGATCGAACCTAGTGCAAATTAAAATAAAATTTCAAAGAGATAATTTCCTTTATATGGGAAGGCTGGCTATCGCATGCTGGTATCATGGTATCATGTGTTTTGTTTCTAATTGGACGACACTTTCGGTTAAGATGTGGACAATATGCCAGGGATCATACTAGACCCATCCTAGCGTAATGGAAGCTTGTACGGTCGTGTGACTGCTTATTTAATCAGCACGGTTGCATTGTAAACCTACCTAAATGAGCGGCGTTCGCACACGCGCAATGCATAATGGACTCGTGTGAGTGGCACGCGCCGCACGACGCAAGTAAATTATGGGCGTGTAGTACGCCCTTTGAATCGTGAGAAATAGCTTATCCATAGTCTATCTAAAACCAGTAAATTATAAGTTATTTCAATTACACAACCAGACAGTTTTTCTGACCGGATTAAAATAATATATAGGCCTCTTATTATGCGATCAATAGTAGTGTTCTAATAACATACACAAACACCAGGAATGTAGAATGCGAAAATATCATTCCACGTGTATCTTCTATCACTGCCGTTTAATTGCTGTTCGTAAGATAATACCATCAATTAAAACCGGGTATTGTTTCACTTTTCTTATCCAGTCTCAACGCAAGTGGACAGTTTATGTCCACACGAGGAGAAACGGGGGCGAAACATCTGCCGAAAGGACATGTCTCGTGAAGCGCCATTGCATTGGCGAAATTTATCGTTACAGGTGCCATATCCACTGCCGATCACTATAATACAACCGGGTTTTCTGTACTTCAGACCCTCAGTGTATCGCCTCTTGGGTGACACATGCAGGGCTTTCTTTTTTCTTATGAATTTAAGTCAACGACACTTGTCGGAGATGTTTATGCGAAGTCTTGCTCAAGAAATACCCTCATTCCTTAAGGAGAAACCGCCATCCCTCATTTCTTCATACTTTTGAGAACATCGATCCTTACGTATGATGTGTTAAATTGAGTGATTTAAATCTGCACAAAATATATTCATGAAATCAAACAAAGCTGAAAACTGTATACCCATACACGCGTTGACCAAAGTGCTTTCGACCTGTATATCTAATATACACTCCACTCAATAAGTGTAGCAATAGCAATTGTTAACATTTGACTCTTTATTTTGTTCAATTATTACGACGCTTCCGAAGTCGATAACTTTGATGATTTTTTCAAATCGCCAAATCTAAACTGGCGTTATAGACACACGATTCAGAAAGGGACTTCTGGTATGCCATACTTATGGAGGGAGTGTACAGTCAAAATTATACAATAAATAAAGTATTGTTACTTTGCAGGTGATATTGATTAATTCTTCATGACTCGTGCCTGCTAATAGAAGAGTTTATAGCCTATCCTAATCCTAGATACCATTCCACTAGCCACGCTAGGAAGTCACGAGCTGTTTAATCTTTAAAAACTGCATTCAAATAAAAAAAACTCCGTTTTTGCATTATTTATTGGAACATTCCGCGTAATTTTATTTGATCGAAATTTCTGACTCATTAAATAATATTACAAGAAAAATCAGTTCCGGTGACTTTGTAATATAAAAGTTATTTTCTCATGTTTCTGAATTGTTCCGTTTGCAATAAAGCATATAAATCCATTTACTAGAGCCTGAGACCATCATCTCGGGCCAAGAAATACGTTTGAGCGTTGATATTTGAAGAAGAGGGGGGGGGGGTATTTTGGTATTTTCAGTAAGGGGGTGCGACCATGGCATAAGCAACACCAAAAATAAATAATACATAAAAAACAATAATAATGAAAGGTATATGTGAAAAAATCACAAAATGAGAGCATTTTTATCAGAACATATGGATCGCCCCTTGTATAATATGATTTGTTTTGAATTTTACAAAAATTAATGAGCTAGAAGATTCAAATAAAAAGCATCTTATACGCCCATGTTGATGGTGGAGTTACAGATCTAGATCGGTATGATTTAAATAATTGGGTACATATAGTTACAGGGTTGAGGTATTTAATATTAAAATTAATTGTTCAGTTATTTCCTGTTACACTGACAAATGTTTATTTTATTACAGTCTGTTACAAGTGAGTGACTATGTTTTTATTCACAATCTCTGCGTTATCGATCAACGGGCACTAGTGATTGGCTTTTGATATAATTTTTGTTACAAATTAATTGCATTTCTCGTGACTTTGGAAAATAACATTTAACATTCTTTTGTAGTCAGTGCAAATTAAATTGGAATTTAAAACATGGCCTAACGATTCAATCAATGAACCAGATTTTAGACTCCCGTTACTCTCGACTCTGTCCCTGCGCAGAGTCTAATCGTGGGCTTTCATAATTGAAAGCCCATGGTCTAATTAACAATCTACAATCTCAGTCACTCAAAGATGTCACTAGTCATAAAGAGAATTTGGGAATATAGTTTGCATTGATAAATTTATAGTATTATTAATACTTTGATTTAGTGTCCTCTATTTTATAATTTTGAAAAAAATAATAGCACATCGACCTTAATGTACATGAATTTCGGATGATCTTGTTATTAATAAGTGACATCCTAAAACCGGTGTGAAACATGAGAAATGATGGTCCCCCGGGGATTATGGTCCCCTTTCTTAACGGCCCTTCTGGCCCTGATTGCGTATAAGATAATGAGGGAAAGAGTTGTATTTAGGTCACCATATAAATCAATGGAGAGTAGAACCATAATTTGATAGAACCTCCTACCCTTGTTTTACACGGTACACCGGGATATAAAAGTTGAAGGTCGCTATAGCGGCTTTTGTTATAGCGAACAGGTGTGTTCGTCTTCACAAATTGAGCTCTCCTGCAGAGGAGGAAAAATACGCCCCTAAAAACTAGGCAGGTGAGAATCCGTGTTTATTCTTTGATTTTAATGTGTAATAAAAACTTATATCTAAATGAAACTCATGTTACTTCCTCAGGTGATTGTCTGAGATGATTTGGAAACGTGTTTTTCTCTTCCGAAATTCCTATTTACTCTATACTCATCTGAAATTATTTTTTAATAAATTTATTTCTGACTTGAAGTTGAATTGAACTTTCAAAAACATGAAAATTGAATCTGAATCTTGAGTGACCCACCCATTCAAAGAGGTCAAATGAATTCTCTGAACATAATTTTTGCTATTCCCTGAATTCTAAGGTTCTGACATTTTGTTACTGAAGTTGAAAAATATAGTTCATAATATCAAATCATGGGCTATTGCCCCCTCCCCTCACCAGTAAAGTTGGCCAAAAGTGGTGTTAATTAGAAACAATATATTTAGATATGAAGGTTTTATATGATCTTTTTGTTTATTTGTAACATGTTTTTGTACATTTATATTGTATTCGTGTAAAGTTGAAACATGTTTAGGGTCATTCCGATTTATCCTGAGAATGACTCAATCTTTTGCCTGTACGACTCCAACATGGGAGAATTTTCTACACCTCTTACACTTAGATACCTACTTCGATAGATTCCTGGGTATTTTAGCATTCTACCGTGTAGTTGAATACACAATTATCTGGGTTTATCGGCAGAACAGGAACATTTTTCTTTCTCATCAAGAGAGATTCCATCACTTTTCAAGATGGTGGTTGAATTTAAAAAGGGATTCCCCATTTGACTGGCCTGGAAGTACCAATAAATGGAGGAATTTGATGGTTGAAATAAGTTAAATATTACACGCTAATATTGCGATCAAAAATAAAAATTTCTTCATTCTGCCAATAAACCCAGATAATTGTGGATTTAATTACATGAAAAGAATGCTTAAATACCAAGGAATCTATTGAAGTAGGTATCTTAAGTGTAAGAGGCGTAGAAAATTCTCCCATGTTGTAATCGTACAGGCAAAAGATTGAGACGTTCTAAGGACTATAGTCCTGGCACAGGATAAATTCTGATAATCTTTCAAATGATACCACATCGTATTTCGAATATGTAAATATACTTTATGTTCTTTAGAATATTTCAGCATGACAAAATTTGGTATAATCAATTAAATAGGATGAGGAGAGATTTTCAAGAGCTTCAGTCTATTTCTGTAAGACCATATTTCCACAGTGAGCACTATTTTGAACACTGCTATAAAACTGAAAGTGAAGTAAAAAATTAACATGAAAAAAATCAAAATGTTGTGTTTTTCTAAATTACCAGACTTTAATATAAGCTTGTATAAAGCATGGGTAGTGCTTTCTCTGGTTAATTCCAGCAATATATTCAATCAAAATCAGAAAATCTTAATAACAGTATTTATGATTTCAGATTTACCTTATAAGATTAGGACCACTATCTTTTTGTGCTACATAAGCGGGCAACGATGGGTGAGTTGTTCCGCAGTGAGGAGATGAGCCTCTGTCAGCTTTACCTGCAGACAGAGGCAGCTTACGCATGTGTCTCAGAGCTTGGAGAATTAGGGCTTGTCCAGTTTAAAGATGTAAGTTGTTTTTCCTCTTCCAGCAAGTTTTGTTTAACTAGGTAATGCACAGGCAGGCCCGTAGCCAGGGGGGGGGGTTCTTTCAAAATCATGCAGTTTTTCACCATTCTGAGCACTTTTTAAGTGATTTTGGCCATATTTGGACCAAAATTGTCAGAAGTGAACCCCATTGGAATTTTTCAAAAAGTGACCCCCCTCCCTTTGGCAAATGCTGGCTACGGGGAGGATAAGTGTAGCCAGGTTTGAGGTTTGTGGGGTTTGAGGTTTGTGGGACACCAAGATATTAGTTCCTATTTTTCAATTTTACTTAGACTAATTATCAATATATCCTCACCTATTTTTAATTAGAATATCTAAATTCCTTCAGAAAAATGAATACATGAAACCACATTTACCTGTAAAATAGCTAAAAGATGAAATTCATGGACCTTTTATATATTCCCCCCTCTCCCCTGGCACCAGTAAAGTTGGCCAAAAGTGGTGTTTAATTTAGAAACAATATAATATATTACTTAGATATGCAGGTTTTATATAATCTTTTTGTTTATGTATAACATGTTTTTTGTACATTTAAAACACAGATCATGTTTGATATTAAATTAACTATTGTATTCCTGTAAATGTTTCTAGCTGAACCCAGAGGTAAATGCTTTCCAACGAAAGTTTGTGGCTGAAGTTAGACGCTGCGATGAAATGGAGAGGCAACTACGTAAGTTGACTTTTCAAAAGCCTATCAGTTATTGATTTCTGTGGACAAGTGGGATAAAATTGATTTCTGTGTTTTTAAATAATTACAAGACAATGTTTGCTCTCCTTAAAATTCTTCATGTTCAGTGTAACCATACTTATGTAATATATTAGGTGAGATCCTTTTGGATGGTAATACCAGGTCCTGTTTATATTGATCGATTTAAAGCTTAGTCAATAGTGTAGGTCACAAGAATATGTAGCACAGGCACATATACAGTGAACCTTGTTTTAGTGAAACCTGTGTCTTGTGGACACCCTTGTCAGCACATACCTCATTGACTTTTGAATAAAATCACCTATCTATAGTGACCCCTAGGCTACCTACAGTGAACACATTTTTGTGGCTCCATAGGTGTTCACTAACACACAGGTTTTATTGTATGATGTAATTTCAGGTTTCTTTGAGGGTGAGATTAAAAAGGAAGAGATAAAATATGAACTGTCTTACCCCAACCCAGAGGCACCCTTCCCCAGGGACATGGTCGATCTGGAGGTAAGAATTTTAGTCATTGAGATGTACAGCGTTTGTGAATAAATGATTATGCCTCAGTTACATTTGATCTACGGCAACCGTATGGTTTCCCAAAATGGACATTTACTCTATCAGTAATCATTTGTTCAGTGTAAAAATGTGACTTTGAATTTCCAGGAACATTTTTTCATGGGACGCATTTTTTTTTTTGGACAAACCTACTGAAAGCACTGTCTATGTATGTCTGTATTTGCAATGAAGGCTAACAACCATAATGCATTGCAAAGACTCTTTAAGTAGAGTTTCTGGGTGTTTCATACTGTGTTAAGCAATAAAGAATGAAAATAGCAAACTTACAAAGAGTTACTCTAGTAAGTTAACCTTTCAGCTATACTGTATATACAAATATTTTCAGGCTACATTTGACAAACTGGAGAATGAGCTGAAGGAAATCCACAGTAATGCAGAGACGATTCACAAGAATTATAATGAGCTCACTGAATTGAAATATGTGCTTCGAAAAACTGCTGATTTCTTCGAAGAGGTGAGGGATATTTAAAGTGTGTTAGAATTTTAACATTTACATATACATGTATGTCACTTCATTCACAAGCAACTTTTGTCACATTATTCACAAGAATTTATTATTTTCTCATATATTTTACCTCATTGTATATATCTCAGTGAATCTGAGCATTTATTTATCGTAAGTTAGGGTAATTCATGCATTGAATATTTTAGGTCTCGAAATATTTTTATATGAACATACCTGAAAGTCAAGTTTATAATTGCTTTCACACATCACATACATGCAATCAATTTATGAGGAAAGATGATAAATATTTTTTGTCCACTTTTTGTGTAATTTATATATCTGGTTGTGTTAAAATATTGCTTCATCAGACTTAAATTTTGCAATCACTTGCTCAGTGTGTAAATCAAACATTTGCATGTGCAAATCAAACACCCAGTGTGTAAATCAAACATCTTAGTCTGTAAATCAAACATCCAGTGTGTAAATCAAACATCTTGGCGTGTAAATCAGACATCCAATGTGTAAACCAACCATCTCCGCCTGTAAACTAAATATCAGTTGTGTAAATCAAACATCTCTGTTTGTAAATCAAACATCCAGTGTGTAAATCAAACATCTCTGTCTGTAAATCAAACATCCAGTGTGTAAATCAAACATCTCGGCATGTAAATCAGACATCCAATGTGTAAACCAAACATCTCCGCCTGTAAATTAAAAATCAATTGTGTAAATCAAATATCCAGTGTGTAAATCAAACATCTATGTCTGTAAATCAAATATCCAGTATGTGAATACATGAAAAGATATTTCGCTTTTCATGATTTACAACAGAAGTCACATTATCAAGTCATATTTTCAAAGAAAACTAAAATTTCAAAGTCAATAAACAATTTTTTAAACCACATTTCTAGGGATAATTTTAAATGTAGATTTCTTGAATATTTGATGACGTAAATCAAGATATTTCCCCTCGCATCTAGTCTATGGAGTTAAATTTTTACTCTCTAATAGTCAGCATCTAGTAGGGCCAACTAATAGGGACACGGAGTAATGTTTTAACAATTATGGGGCACCCGGCATATTTCCCCATATAAATGCAGCAAAGTTAATACTAGTTCCCATTTGTAGTCTATGGGGAGCTTTTCAAATCCTATGGCCCCATTTAGAGACTTAATGGTTAAAATGTTGGACGTATTTGCTTGTAGCGCCCAAGAACAGGGAGTATTCTAGAAGAAGCAAAAGATGCATTGCAGCAAGACTATCAGCTTAAAGATATGTCTGATCGGGACAATCCCTTGCGACTTGGGTAGGTCTACCAGTAGATCCCCCACCCTACCCCCTTCAAGATACCTCCTATCACATAGTGGCCATGGAAAAAAATGTTTTTTTTTCTATTTTGAAGATTTAAACTTAAGAAGTGCTTGTTTTAAGCCAGTGAACATTAACTAAATTGAGGATATTCTGTGGCCAATATGTTGATTTAAAATCTGGATTTCCCAGAAAGCATGTACCCTCCTCTCACTTGACCTTGACCTTTACACAGCTGGTAGCCTCAATAAATCACTTGACCTTGACCTTTACACTATCCATTGAATTGCCCCAATAAATCATTTGTATACATTTGGAAGCTGTATTCTTCAAAAAATTGAATCCTTGTTTCAAGAACCCTTAACTAAAACCGAACAAGGTTGGTTGAAATAAGGCCAAGCAAAATAATGCTTAAAATCAAATAAATTTTCAAAGCTTATTATATTTAATTAACCATGAAGAGAATGGTCTTTTTTTCTTTTTACCTTAGTAATATTTATTACAATACAAAACTTGAAAAATAATATATAATTATAATTTGTGTAAAGAAATTTATTTCTGATGAAACAAATATTTAACACTGCTTTGCCTAAATAAACACAAAATTCTAATGAATTGATTGCATACCGTGTGAAAAAATAATTAAATTGTAAAAATTCTCAAGACATTACTACTATGGTGATCTTTTGATTGAGTATAATTTGAAGATGACACAAGGAACCTTAGAGATACTGATTCACATGTACATGAGTTATGATAAATGTTTAAATTATTGGGACAAGGCTGACAACAATGATACACACTTACAATAAGTGATATCTTATCAGTGGTCTAGTGTTGTCAAATATTTATAACAACTGCTATGAGTTCAAAGGTTCAGCACTGAGTTTGATATTACATGTCATTTGTATTTGTATTTTCTGTGTGAACTATATTGTATTTTAAAATCAAGTTCTATTGAATTTTTCTCCTTTTGAGGATATTTACTTGAAATATTTCTAGGAATAATTATTGTATAGAAAAATATTTTATAAACTACTAAAGAGAAACATGTTCTTTAACATTATATATATTCAGGTTTCATATGTTCGGCTTTGAAAAACCTTTTTTGAAAGTTTTATTTGAAAACCCCATCTTTGAAAATTATTGAAATATTTGAAATACTCAACTTTTATTTTTTAATACTCAACTTTGAATTACTTTGAAATATTCAATAATGACTTAAATTAGCTTAAATTAAATTGTGTTGAAATGTTTAACATTTAATTACTTTGAAATAGTCAGCTGTGAATCACTTCAAAACACTCAACTTTCATAACTTTGAAATCTTCAACTTCAAATTATTTTGAAATATTTCAATTTTAATTTGAAATACTGAACTTTGAATTGCTTTGAAATACTCAAAGAATGGGTATTGATATGGCGAACTTTTTGAACACATGTTTCTCTTAAACCAGTCATCAAAAATATCTGAAAATCTTACAATTTGTCAATGTAATGGCCATCTTTTGAATGGTAACAATATAATTTGAAATAGATATACATACTTTCATCTATATTGTTTTAAAAAACACATCAAACACTTGTTATGTTCTTGGTATCATGTTTCCAGAGTGAAATGAAACATCTTTCTGAACCTCATTGGAACAAAACAACATAAACAACATGTTTAGGTCTCTCAATATTGTAATTTTACAAAGGAAATTTTGGTTGATTTTAAAAAAGTATCTTGTTAATGAAATAAAAGGTTTTTCTTGATTTTTATCTATTTTGGGGGGATTTTGTTTTAATGTTTTGAATACTTTTTTAAAATCAACCAAAAATTCCATTGTATAACTTTAATATTGAGAGGTCTAAAAACATGTTGTATATGCTATTTTGTTCCAACAAGGTTCGGAAAGACGTTTTATTTCATTCTCAAGAATTGGTAGAAAGGAGTAAAAACAATTGCACTAAAAAAACAAAAAATGTTAACAAAAACAGTTATATAAAATATTTCTAAATAATTTTCGCATTAAATTGTTGTCAATCAGTCAACATTACATAAAATACCATGTTTTTTACAGAATGTTTTCAATGATTGGTTTAAGAGAAAAACATTGTTGAATTCAGTTCTCCATATCGATACCTATCCTTTGAATTACTTTGAAAACTCAACTTTAAATCACTTTGAAACATTCAACTTCAAATGACTTTGAAATACTCAACTTTGAATTTGAATTACTGAACATTGAGTTACTTTGAAATGTTTAACTTTGAATTACTTCATCAATACTCAGCATTGAATAACATTGAAATACTCAATTTTGAATTACTTTGAAATACTCAACTTTGAACCTGCTAGGGTCATGTTAGAGAGGATGCTCCTAAGAGACTTGCAGATCAGGCCCCTGCCAGTGGCATCCAATCATCATCAGAGAGGACCCCTCTACTCAAAGGCCGCCCTGCCCAAACGCAGGCCATAGAGACCGTCTCCACCATGGGGTATACGCTAATGTTAAGATTTATGCATAATATATGTTCTGTGTTAGCACTTAGGTTGAGTGTAACATTGGCCATGTCTCTTTAAAATTGAATGGATAAAAATAATATCCCTCAAATATCATATTCTATGTGTCTCCTATTAAGTGAATAAAGGACAAATAAAAGCCCTTGATGAGGTTCAATTTCTTGGGCAATCTTATCATAATAAGTTTGTTTAAATAAGAATGAATTTAAGTACTGTTCAAAATTTGAATTAAAGACACATGACTAGTGTAATATTTAACATAGGACACTGGATGGAACCATTTATACAAAAAGAAATTTGTTCAGAGTTAAGGAAATGATTAAGTAAATAACTAAATAATATTTGAACTAATTGTGTTTTTGTATAATGGTTCTCTACAGTATAGTGCTTAAGGTAACTAAGAGGTGTCTGTTTGAAAAATTAATTTCTATTTAGGCAACGGAGAAAACCCCATTGGTCCAAAATGATTCAACGGGTACAATCCATCTGGGGTAAGCCCCTTAGCTGTGCTCCAGGCTTGCCCCACCTCTCCCACATGCCTTATCACACTGCTCATCTTTTTTTCCTACTTTTTCTGCTCACCTATCCTTTGCTCACTTTATTCTGCTCACCCTCTCTATCTTCTACAGAATTGAGCCATGGACTCATATTAACATAGGTTTATCACTATTCACATTTAGTTTAAAATTTTAACATAGAATTCACCATTTTATATGCAGAAGAGAAGATTACATGCAACAATCCCAATTTGGTATATAAGATATGATATCTTCCTCCATGCACTCCCTACCTGCATGGAATATACTTCATATCTCATACTCCCAGAAACACTCCATAAATATTTTAATGCATGGGGCTCCTCAGTTTGAAATCTATTACTTGTAATTTATATTTAAACTTTCATAGAGCAGTTGCAGTTTTGTATCTTCAAGAATATTTATATTTCAGTTACAGTAAAACATGTAAAGGTCGATCTAAGTGGAACTCAGGAAGCATCCCGCTTTCTCATAATTGTACCATTTTGCATTGAAGATATCTGTCAATCATATAGAATGGTTTTGAGACTGCCATCTGCATCGATCACTATTACCACCCCAAAACCACAAGTTTTTACACAGGGATTTAACAATATTTTTTTGGCACATGATAAGACTGGGTATCCAAATATTGAATTTTCAAATTTTCTTACAGGTTGGAGTGCAATGATGTTTTTTTTCTTTTTAGTAGAAACTGTAGCTGTTGTATAAAATAATAACATGTCAACTGGTTCTTATTATTTTGACTGGTACATTAAAAATTCTTATATCGCACCCCATTGACCTATGTCTTTTTCCTAACGGCACCAAGGAACATGGACTTGATGAAGTCTCAGATATGTTAACGCATCCTACGTCAGACAGGCGCCATCTGGTGAGCCCTGTGGCATCACGGTATGAGACAGAGACTCATTTGGGGTAAGAGAGTTGGTGTGAATCCCCGCAACATTTTAATTGGTGCATGGATAACATTTTTATTTTGCGATCTAACTTTCTAGTCTAGAATACTATATGTTGGTATTTTGTGTATTGTTTTCCCGTCATTACCAAGAAAAGGTAACATGTTGTCATAGCAACAGTCCTTTGTTATCAGCATTTAGTATTGGCACTTGGCATTTGTAACACATTGTTTTTTAAAACCATTTGCAGTAGGCCTGGCATGGGACAGAATGGATTTCTGCACTTGCCTTTAGAATTTCAAACTTCTATTTTAAATATGTTGCATATACAACTCCAGATTTCTTTTACTTCTGATCATTATGGCGAATGTTCTTTATGGAATATAATAAATTCTGAAAACATCAGAAAGTAAGAAGGCAGTTCCAAAAGTCCATTTACAAAGGTAAAATAGGTCATATCGAACAATGATTCTGTTCCGCACCAGCCCTAATTTGCTATATTTTGCCACATTTTGTCATGTTAATGCCATATTTTGCCATGCTAATACCATGTTTTGCCATGTTAATGCTATATTTATCATGTTAATGCCACATTTTGCCATGTTAATGCCTTGTTTTGTTTCTTACTTGCATGTTTCACAGGCCCGTAGCCAGGATTTGCCAAGGGGGGGTTCAGTTTTCAAAAATTTCCAGGGGGGGTTCACATTTGACAATTTTGGCCCAAATATGACTAAAATCACTTGAAAAGTGCTCAAAATGGTAAAAAACTGCATGATTTTGAAGGAATTTTTGGCCTGCGAACCCCCCCCTGGCTACGGGCCTGTTTCATACATTAATGTTTGAGATAACATGCATGTCTTCTCCTTTCTGCATGTATTTATCAATACCCAATTTCCATCTGTTATGCAATTTTATTACAGGATATTTATAATTTGTATTTTAGTTTATGCATTTTAGTCTGTGTTTGATACACACTGTGTTCATGATTTGAAGCTTTTGTATATTTTTGTAGCATGTAAAAGCGCTCTTTTTTAGATAGTGTATTGATAGCTTGGTTTTGCTATTCAGCTTAAATATTAATACTGTACTTGTATGTAAAGTGCAGTTATAGGTAATAAAAATGGCTGACTTACTTGTTGAAATTATCATTATGGAAGGACTACTTTGTGAACAAAATTTATATTTTAAACTCTTTGATTTTTATGTCACCACCAAAAGTGGTGACATATTGTTATGGTCTCCGTTTTTTTTGCGACGGCGTCCGGCGGTTGGTGGTTGGTGGTTGGCGTCCGGCGGTTGGCGTCTGTAACAATTTCTTACAACTTCCTATAACTTAACAAATACTGTTTAGACTGACTTCAATTTTTTTCTAAATCATCTACATGTTCTCAGAAGTTCAAATCTGACTTTAGATTTGACATTTGACCTTCAATGACCTTCTCAAGGTCAAAAAGGTCTTTTTTCAACTTGCTTCACATTGACTAAATTTTTTTTCAAAATCATCTACATGTTCTCAGAAATTCAAATCTGACTTTAGATTTGACATTTGACCTTCAAATCTGACTTTAGATTTGACATTTGACCTTCAATGACCTTCTCTAGGTCAAAAAAGGTCAAAAAGGTCTGTTTTCAACTTGCTTCAAATTGACTAAATTTTTTTTTCAAAATCATCTACGTGTTCTCAGAAATTCAAATCTGACTTAAGATTTGACATTTGACCTTCTCAAGGTCAAAAAAGGTCAAAAAGGTCTGTTTTCAACTTGCTTCAAATTGACTAAAAAAAAATTTCAAAATCATCTACGTGTTCTCAGAAATTCAAATCTGACTTTAGATTTGACTTAAGATTTGACATTTGACCTTCAATGACCTTCTCAAAGTCAAAAAAGGTCAAAAAGGTCTTTTTTCAACTTGCTTCAAATTGACTAAATTTTTTTTTCAAAATCATCTACATGTTCTCAGAAATTCAAATCTGACTTTAGATTTGACATTTGACCTTCAATGACCTTCTCAAGGTCAAAAAAGGTCTGTTTTCAACTTGCTTCAAATTGACTAAATTTTTTTTTCAAAATCATCTACGTGTTCTCAGAAATTCAAATCTGACTTAAGATTTGACTTAAGATTTGACATTTGACCTTCAATGACCTTCTCAAGGTCAAAAAGGTCTGTTTTCAACTTGCTTCAAATTGACTAAAAAAAAATTTCAAAATCATCTTCGTGTTCTCAGAAATTCAAATCTGACTTTAGATTTGACTTAAGATTTGACATTTGACCTTCAATGACCTTCTCAAAGTCAAAAAAGGTCAAAAAGGTCTTTTTTCAACTTGCTTCAAATTGACTAAAAAAAATTTTCAAAATCATCTACATGTTCTCAGAAATTCAAATCTGACTTTAGATTTGACATTTGACCTTCTCAAGGTCAAAAAAGGTCTGTTTTCAACTTGCTTCAAATTGACTAAAATTTTTTTTCAAAATCATCTACATGTTCTCAGAAATTCAAATCTGACTTTAGATTTGACATTTGACCTTCAATGACCTTCTCAATGTCAAAAAAGGTCAAAAAGGTATTTTTTCATCTTGCTTCAAATTGACTAAATTTTTTTTCAAAATCATCTACATTCTACATGTTCTCAGAAATTCAAATATGACTTTAGATTTGACTTTAGATTTGACATTTGACCTTCTCAAGGTCAAAAAAGGTCAAAAAGGTCTTTTTTCAACTTGCTTCAAATTGACTAATTTTTTTTTCAAAATCATCTACATGTTCTCAGAAATTCAAATCTGACTTTAGATTTGACATTTGACCTTTAATGACCTTCTCAAGGTCAAAAAAGGTCAAAAAGGTCTGTTTTCAACTTGCTTCAAATTGACTAAATTTTTTTTTCAAAATCATCTACATGTTCTCAGAAATTCAAATCTGACTTTACAAGTTCTCAGAAATTCAAATCTGACTTATATTAAGTTTGAACTCATAATATTGTGAGCAACTAGGTGGTGACATTTTGTCATGTTAATGCCTTGTTTGTTAATGCCAGCTGTTGAAGTGATTAGAAATTAACTGTGAACTATTGATGGTCTAGAGAATTGTTGGGTTTAGATAAATCTTCCAGAAAAAAGCTTTGTTTTATTTTATTTTTTTTATTATTTCATTGTACAGTATTATTTCAAGGGTGGGTAGATGTTGATATGTATGCAGTAAAAATGTAAACTCAGCAGCTGGGAAAGAAAACAACTGATAAAAACACAATATTTAATAATTATTATTTTCTTCACTTTATACATGTAAGATCTAAAGTTGTAGAATTATCTCGAAGCCATTATTGAAATGTAAACTAACAGTTATTTAGTGAATGTGAACATTATTCCACATCCTATTTTCTATATTCCATACATGTATTTTAATGGTTGATCATTTTTTCTCTGGACTACAGGTTTGTTGCTGGGGTCGTATTGAGGGAAAGAATGGCGGCTTTTGAGCGTTTGTTGTGGTTTGCGTGTCGCGGCAATGTCTACATCAAGACAGCTGAGATTGAGGAGCTTATTGATGACCTTGGCACGGTATGTTGATGTCACCCTTATAGGAGCCTTTAGTGACACACATAATTCCCATCTTGTTATGGGTTAAATCAGGCAAAGGAGTGGTATCGATATGGAGAACTTTTTGAACACACGTTTCTCTTAAAACAGTCATGAAAAAAATCTAAAAATTTAACACATCATCAATGTTATGATCATCTTTTGAATGGTAACAATATAATTTGAAAAATATATATATATACTTCCATCTACATTGTATATTGTTTTAGAAAACACATCAAACACTTGTTTTGTTCTTGGTATCATGTTTCCAGAGTGAAATGAAACATCTTTCCGAACCTCATTGGATCAAAACGACATATTAAACACAACATGTTGTACAAAGGAAATTTTGGTTGATTTTAAAAAAGTATCTTTATTTATCTTGATTTTTATCTATTTTGGGGGGATTTTGTTTTAATTTTTTGAATACTTTTTTAAAATCAACTAAAAATTCCTTTGTATAACTATAATATTGAGAAATCTAAAAACATGTTGTATTTGCTATTTTGTTCCAACAAAGTTCGGAAAGACATTTTATTTTATTCTCAAGAATTGGTAGTAAGGAGCAAAAACAATTGCACTAAAAAAACAAAAAATGTTAACAAAAACAGTTATATAAAATATTTCTAAATAATTTTCGCATTAAATTGTTGTCAATCAGTCAACATAACATAAAATACCGTGTTTTTTTACAGAATCTTTTCAATGATTGGTTTAAGAGAAAAAGTTGAATTCAGTTCTCCATATCGATACCACTCCTTTCCCTATAATTTGGGATAATTTTTAAATTCCTAAGTTTTTATTATTTAGATATTCAGGTGAGACCATGATTAGCCCTTGTTTTATTTCTTAAAGGTAACATTAAATGATCAAGCAGAAATTATTCTATCCAGGAAAGTGTTTTCATTTGGGGCCAATGAACTCTCTATAAAGCTTTTAAAATGATTCAGCCTCAAAATAACTGGGACGAACCTTTTCCCTAAGAACTCAAAGATTAAGATGCATAATAGTTTCAAAACAGATTTGTTCACATACCATATTCCTCCTATAGCTGGTCCATGCATTGTTTTAATAAGACTGGTTCTACTTAAACAAGTATCTGAATTCCTGATGTGTTATCACCCCACCCCCCCCCCCCCACCCTCATTTTCCCCCATGCAGAGTGAGACATTTTATATGAAACATGAATTTTTTTAAACTACAGGGTGAACCAGTGCAGAAGTCTGTGTTTGTTGTGTTCTTCCAAGGGGAGCATCTCAAGACTAAGGTCATGAAAATATGTGAAGGGTAAGTGCATATGAACAGTCAAATCGATCTGTTGAATATAGACTCTAAAAGGGACATATCTTACATCAAACTGCTCCTTGTCACTTTAACTCAGGGAATGTGAAAAGGTGATCTTTGTACATATCATATTACACCAAATTAAAAAACATTTATGTAGGGGAGTTTGGTGGGTTGCAGGTCAAATCAAGGATGGTCAGGTCATAGGTGAATTGAATAATCACATTCAATCTGATGATACATTGGTCATCTGTGAGCGAAATTTACCTGCTACTATATCTGAGTATTGATGATGCATTATGGGTATATGTGACCAGTATTTACTCCATATATAATGAGTATACAGTAAAACCTGTCCGAGGGAACAACTCTCTGTAAGGAACAACTTTTTTTCTTTTTTTTTTTAAATAAGTTAATATTTTATCAATATTCTAACTTGATACTTATGCTTCATATGAACTTCAACTTGAAAAGACAATGTTTTAAAGAGTGTAATGTTGTTTTTAACATAGGTTCCGCGCCACCCTGTACCCTTGTCCAGAGTCATTGGCTGAAAGAAAGGAGATGGGTGTCGGTGTTATGCAGAGACTGGAAGATATGAAGACAGTAAGTACACTCATGACTGAGTACAGAGACCAATGGCATATAGTTGCCGACATCTATTAAATACAACTGTTGTATTTTATTTTGACAAAATGTTCAATTGTATTGAAAATCAACATTCAGATACGTTTATTGTATTGTATATTAATATAAACAGACATGTATTGTATTGTAAATCAACATTCAGATACATTTATTGTATTGTATATTGATATAAAAAGACATGTATTGTATTGTACATTGTATTATATATTAACAGAACAAAAAAATCATCTACTGTGTATACCACTTTTAGAAAAGTGGGACCAAAAGAATAAATTAAGAAATAAAAGGATAACATTGGAATGTTTAACCCTTAGGTTCTTAACCAGTCAAAAGAGATGCGTGTACGTGTGCTGACATCTATCTCCCAGAACCTAGAGTCATGGTTTGTGAAGGCGCAGAAGATCAAGGCCATTTACCATACCATGAACATGTTCCGAACAGACAACAAGACGTACATTGCCGAATGCTTCTGCCCTACCAAGGATCTGGATCTTGTCCAGGTCGCCCTGAGAAGAGGCGGGGTAAGTTATCTTTTTACCAGCAAAAGTGATACCATTTTACAAAAGCTCAGCATTTTTATTGTTTAAATAATTTATTTCATTAAAACATCATATCTTACTGAGTACATATATGTGTTACCTACTCTTTTGATTCATTGATCTATATTTAATAAAATATTCAGCCAGAAAATTGTGAAATTACATTTTCTGCCCATTTAAATAGGTAACATTCACTTCGAATTCAAATTTCTATAATTATAAATGCCATGACAATTACATTTGAAATTAATAAGTTTAGATCAAATCCACAATAGAGGGAAAAAATGAAGACTTCAGACTTTAGGGAGTTGTTTACTTGTATTACAGCAGTAAACCTATTCATTTACATGATAATCAAAGAGGTTCCTTTCATGTTGAATCATTTTGAAAATGAAATCATGGAATTATTTAGTCCAAAGTACTAGTACATAATACAAGTTTATTTTGAGTAGAAATAAAAAAGAATTTAGTACAAGTAACAAGACAATACAAGTCACTTCATGTATAGAGTACACATAAGTACAAGTAAATACAAAGTTCAAGTAAATGTTTGTTACAAGTAACTGTTTACTACAAGTACATGGTAAATGCCTTTTTCAGGAGAAGAGTGGTAGCACAGTGCCATCTATCGTGAACACCATTCCAGCCACGTCCTACCCCACATATTTCCGTACCAACAGATTTACACTAGCTTTCCAGGCAATTGTAGATGCGTATGGTATAGCATCATATAGGGAGGTGAACCCAAGTAGGTGTTCAGTAATTATGTGCAGGCCTCTAGCCAGTTTTTGTCACTTTTATAAAATTCCAGGGGGGGCTCACGATGACAACTTTTGCCAAAAATCACTTGAAAAGTGCTCAGAATGGTGAAAAACTTCATGATTTTGAAAGATTTTTTCCCCCCACTGGCTTCGGGACTAATATCTTAATAAGCTAGTGTAAAAACAGGGATTCCATTTTTTGTAAATTAAACTTCTTTTATTTAACCTCCTTAATAAAAGTGAATTGCATTCATATAAGGTTCAGAAAGTTAAACTTATTGTTCCTCCACACAACGTATTTTGATGTATTTCAGCACCCTACACAATCATCACATTCCCCTTCCTGTTTGCCATCATGTTTGGTGACTCGGGGCATGGTCTCATCATGTTCGCCTTTGGTCTCTGGATGGTGGTCTACGAGAGAAAGCTCAGCAAGGGCAGAAGTGATAATGAGGTAAAGTGATATTGAGGTTATGATAATGAGGTAATATGATATTGAGGTTATGATAATGAGGTAAAGTGATATTGAGGTTATAATAATGAGGTAAAATGATATTGAGATTTTAATAATGAGGTAAAATGATATTGAGGCTATGATAATGAGGTAAAGTGATATTGAGGCTATGATAATGAGGTAATATAAGAATGAGGTTGTGTAGCCTAATAATGAAGTAATGCACTTATGAGATGTAGATTTAATGATATATAACTTTCCTATGTAGATTTCAAATATCTTTTCGACTTAATTTAGAACATTTGATATTGTAAATCAGAATTATTTCAACACAACTTCAATGTTGTCTATATTATATATGTTTTCAATATTTTCTTTTTATGCATGCTTTGGTGTATTTCAGATATGGACCACGATCTTTGGAGGCCGCTATGTCGTATTCCTGATGGGATTGTTCTCTATATACACTGGATTTATATACAATGATTGCTTTTCCAAATCATTGAATATATTTGGATCATCTTGGAGAGCCAATGCTTATGAGTGAGTCTTTGCATGTAATAACATGAATATGCTTATGAGTGAGTCTTTGTAATAACATGAATATGCTTATGAGTGAGTCTTTGCATGTAATAACATGAACCTTAAAACATGATATTTATATGAATCACTAAACCTATTCAAAGCAATATATTTTATGTATCCTTATACGCATTTTACTGATATTAAAACTTATTAATTGAATAAAATAGAAGTACAGTAAAACCTGTAAAGTGGAACACCTATGTACATGAAAAACCTCTATTAGTGGAACACTCTTTAAAATCATGTTACTCATGTAATAGGTCTAATTTAAAATGATTCTCTGTACAGGGTATATCCACTCCTTCCTCTAGAAAATTGTTTTGGGGTACCAGTGGCATTCCACTACGAGTTTTACTGTTAGTCCATCTCATCGTATTTAATGTTAATTCCATAGGTTTTGGGCCGATATAAAGATGGCAGCACCAGAATTCACTGTTATAAATAAACACAGATCGATTACTATGCCATCTTTATTTAAAAATTATTTCTATCGACCTTAGCCTATGGTTATTTCCCTCAGAATCTTTAAAATAACTTGAAATCAAAAGCTATTGCCTAAGTCTAATAATATTATATCATCATCCTGAAATTGTGAAATGGTTTTGTTATTTCAGTGAATCGACAATTGAGCACAACAAAGTACTACAACTCGATCCTGGCGATCCTAACGCTTGGATAGGACGACCATATCCCTTTGGAATGGACCCCGTAAGTGACTTAATATTTGAGTTAAAGCTCTCGTAGAATTCTCCTCTGACAAATATCGGGGTCAGTTGTCTAAATACTAGGGTTGTCTAAAAGGTCTTGGATTTTTTGCTCTAATTTCATCAAAGTTTATCCTTTTGACTTCATATTTTACCTAAATAATATTCAAACATTCAATGTCAAAGTGTTTTAAGTTGGGATAAATTTAACACAAGAGTTTTACTTTTTTGACAACCATCGAACTCCCACAATTAGCCTTTCATTTGTGTGATAATTTCAATCTTCTCTTCTAAACACATTAGTAATTAAAGGAAGTGGTGACATATTGTTATAATTTCCAACTTTTTGTGGATGGTGTTTGTCGGTTGCCATTCAGTGGTCAGCATGTGTAAAAATGGCAGGTAGTGACATTTTGCATGTTAATGGCTTGTTGTTTGATGTTAGAATGACACATTGAACGTTAGTAATGAGGTTTGTCCATGTATATTGTATTTTATTTTGTTGTATTGCTGTATTGTATTGTTGCATTGTATTGTTATATTGTATTGTATCATAGGTGTGGACACTGACCAAGAACAAGATCACATTTCTGAACTCATTCAAGATGAAGCTATCTGTCATTCTGGGCGTCCTGCAGATGACATTTGGTGTTATACTAGGAGTTTTCAATCATAGGTGAGTTTTCCATGAAAAAAAATCAAAAAATATCACATCAATTTGCTCTAAATTTTACATGTCACAACAATTAAACACTTGTTGTTTGTTGATGATTGCATGAACATACATGTATGTATAAAATCTAGAATCATCGTTTAAATTATTTAATTTATTCATAATTAGTAACTATTACATTGTTGTACTGTTTTGCATTTCCAGGCACTTTAGACGTCCCTTGAACATCATTTCCGAGTTCTTGCCAATGATTATCTTCCTTATGGCCATTTTCGGGTACCTCTGTGCTGTCATCGTGGTCAAGTGGGTTAAATACAATGTGGCAACTGGACACTGCGCTCCTAGTCTTCTCATTGGTAATTAGAATATGTGATGTAATTGTCGGTCCCCCCCAGTACTTTAATTACCATTATTAAAATTGAGACTGCATGGGATATCTTGCTTATTTTGTCTTCAAATTTTCAAGACTGATGGATAATTGAATGAAGCATCACTGGTGGAAAAAGCATTTAGATAAGTCGATAAGAAACATCTGTGTAAAAAAGCGTTCATAACTTATTGATCACCCCTCGTATAATAGGGTGGTTGTAATAAAGCCCTTGCTAATAATAAGGGTCCACCATGTAATGATTAACCATAAGAGCTCATTTCTCCTCAGCCATCAGACTTATGCCAGTTGTAACTCATACCATATCAGATGAGCTAATATCAAAGAATATGTCTCTCTTTTCGTGTCATCTAACATTTTTGATAAATATGTCTCATAATATCAGAGCTTGTTGTTGAGTATCAGAATTATAATGTATTTCTTTCCTATCTTTCCTACTGCCAGATTTAATTTACTTGATTGGTTTATTCTCTATTTTAAAGAGTATTAGACTAAGACAAAGTACTTAAGTTGAAACTAAAATCAAAAATTAATGATGGGTTTAAATTGCATGGGATATTAATAAAGTTATTGTTCACATACAATACTTAAATAATTGTTGTAAGGTAGATGACCTATAACTTTTGGATCTACCCTCGTAAAATGTTATTTTATTTTTCAGGTTTAATCAACATGTTCCTGTTCAAGGACCCAGTGGTCGGTAAGGACCCTTGTAATACATACTTCTGGTACCCTGGTCAACATTCCTTCCAGTTGTTCCTAGTGGCCACAGCAGGTATCTGTGTCCCATGGTTGCTGCTCTCTAAACCTCTCTACCTACTATGGAGGCATAAGAGAGAAACACAGGTAAGGAGGGTGACTATGTATGATTTCAGTATAACCCCAACCCGATCCATTGCGAAATGCATGTGAAAACAATGTGGATTACCGTGGGTCCTCAATGATTGCAACACGTTTCCATGTGGATATTTTGCATGGATTCTATGAGGATCAATGTGGAAAACCTCTCCGTGTGCCTAAAATTCACATGGATTTCGAGTGGGTTCTCAATGATTCCGTACAGATTTTCACAGCATGGGTTCCATGTGGACTGGCTGTGTATACAGTAGAACTATCCAGACATCTCTCTGATCAGAACATCTCTCGATGTTAACACTTTCTCTGTCCCACTTTTTAATCTCCCATAGACTTCTATGTGAAAATGTGAACACATACCAGTACGAACACGTTTGGCCAGTCAAGGTGTTGTTAAGATTAGACAGGTTCTACATTTTACTGCACTGTTATTAAGGGGGCCACTGTTCAAAATGTCAATTTTATTTCCTCTGTTGAAGCTGATGGACAGAGAAATGAATTTCATTTGAATGTAAAAAATAACTTAATTAAAGCAGATCTTAAAGCTTAGATATTCAAAGTGTTTGCCGCTGTTGTGGAAATGATATTAAATGAATAAAAAGTTGTAATAACATTTTTCATTTCAGGCCATGATTCACCAGCCAATGGTAAATGAGTCTGATGAACAAGTTGCCAATGGAAAGCCCACCACATCAAGTGATGCTGGGGGACATGGACATGGGGAAAAGGTGGGAAATAAGTTTGATTTAGTCATTCTGGATATTTATGATGGCATTAACTGTATAATGATAAAAATATTTTCATATAGCCTACACAATAAAATTATCATTTTAAAAAATATGAGGTGAATCTTTTATGATCACATTTTCAATTTTTAAATAAAACTTACCTCCAAATAATTGTGAACACCAAATATTTCAGTTTGAGTTTGGAGAAATCTTCATTCACCAAGTAATCCACACGATAGAATACTGTCTCGGTTGTATCTCAAACACAGCTTCCTACCTTCGACTCTGGGCCCTTAGTCTTGCTCACGGACGTAAGTACATGTTCTGTTGCCCAGCAACCAGTTTTTTATTATCTTTATTTTTATTTAGATTTTTTCTTACAATAGAACAATATGTTACAGTGATTTAAGACAAATCTCAACATAGGATAAGTGATATTATTCAGGTCTTCCCATTGTTTTGTACTTCAATTTCAGAGCTGTCAGAGGTGCTGTGGAATATGGTGCTAAAGATAGGGCTAGGGATGAACGGTTGGGCAGGGGCACCTCTTGTGTTTGTAGTGTTTGTGCCCTGGGCTGTCCTCACCATTGCTGTACTGCTCATCATGGAGGGCCTCTCTGCCTTCCTGCATGCTCTACGTCTTCATTGGTGAGTAAAAGAGCTCTGGAGATATGGGCGTTCAGTCAGTATGCTTAGTTAATATATTTTTGTAATGAGGTTCTACGTCTTCATTGGTGAGTAAAAGAGCTATGCAGATATGGGCGTTCAGTCAGTATGCTTAGTTAATATCTTTTTGTAATGAGGTTCTACGTCTTCATTGGTCAGTAAAAGAGCTCTGGGCGTTCAGTCAGTATGCTTAGTTAATATCTTTTTGTAATGAGGTTCTACGTCTTCATTGGTGAGTAAAAGAGCTCTGGAGATACTGTAAAAGCCCACATTTTCAAGGTGCCCTAATTTTCACTATATTCACTGAAGAGGCTAGACAGTGAAATTAAAGGCACAGTGAATATTTGATTTAATTGAATTCATTTGGATATTTCTTCAAACATAAAGTTAATAAGAATTAACTGGGTGATAGTGTAAAGGTGTAAAATTGATCAGAGGAGAGTAATGGGAATATCACATTGTACATATTAATGGTTTCTTTGCTAGTGAATGTGACTTTATACATGTATTTTATTTTATTTCTTGCAGGGTGGAGTTCCAGAATAAATTTTATGAGGGTACAGGGGAGCCATTCGAACCCTTCTTGTTCCAGAATATTGCCGAGAACACTGCAATACAATAGGCTGTTGCAATACAATAGAGGATATTGTAATGCATGTTGCAGTACAATAAAGGACATTGTAGGAAATATTACAATACAAATGTCATTATAGGGAATATACATCACATTGTACAATAAAGGTTATGAATATTGCAGTACAATCAGGGACGTTGTTGGGAATATTGCGATACAATGAAATTTTGAAAAATGTTACAATTCAGTCTCAAATTGTTTAAAATGAGAATTGATTCAATATTTACAGATCAGTAGCCATATTTTTGAGAATTGGTATTTTTGAGAATTCAGTATTTTGAGAATTGGTATTTGTATGTCATGTGGAACTTATACAAACTGAATCAATATTGCTTTATTTAGATTGCTATCGATATCTTGTATTTTATATTGCTATGACATGTTATTAAAAATGCTACAAGTATCACCGTAACTACAGTTATATCATTAGGGTAAATGGAGATTTGTAAATCAAAGAATCATTCGCAAATATGAGGATCAATTTTTCAAATCTAACAGATAAAATGACAATTTTTGGGATGATTCTGCATATGTACATTACGATTGTAAAGCCTGCAAGTGAGTCTCTTGATTGATACCTAGTATCTATAATGACACATTATAATATCTAACACTTAGACATGCACAAGCTACCCCATTGGTCAGATTGGGTTATTCAGTAGTTTTATGAAAGCACCGTATTAACGTCCAGTTAACATATAATAAGAAAAAACATGTGTGAAAACAATTGAGAAAATTCTGAATGATTAGCCTAATGGCATACTCATGAACACTTAATGCAAGGTGTTGTAGCATAATGACATTACATGGTATGATATGGTATAATATGGGATAATAGATGGCTCTGTTAGTTTATAACCTAATAAATGTCTCAGTCAAATCTGATCTACGGCAACCATACGGCAACTGTAGCTTCAAAAAAAATTGAGAGAAATATGCAGCTTAAATATAGCGATTAGCAGTACAATTTTCTATATCGATTTTATGAAGCTGTGGCCACCTTAGAGCAAATGTGACTGAGGCTTTACTCGCAATGTGCAATGTTCATTATGTATCATAATATGTTCAAATCACAATTCTTCTTTGATCTCTACAATTTGAATACAAATGGTCTCATTAAAAAAATACACACCAAAATTGGGATTAATAATTCGGAGATTGAAGCATCAAATAAAATAAATGTATTTGCTTCCAACATCAGGGTGGCCAAAAAAATAGTGACTTACGACACACAACTGAGATTGCAGTTCAATCTAATAATAACATTACACGTTGCATTGTGATCAATTCAACTAAAACACTGTACTGAGATGTACCATGTTTTTGAGTCGGATATAAGACCTGAGTAAAGCTCAATAAAATGTATTTTTCTAACATAATAAAAACATTAATCAACAAATCAAATTTTACTTGTGTTCAGTGTTTTCTTCATATATTTTTCATCATATTTTATTCTTAATATGTACAGGTTATGTCCGGTTAGTTGGCAATTTACCATGGTGATAAACAACCATCTTTATCAACAATTTTGCAATCTTCTCTCAGCAATAGTTCACTTTTGAAGTGATATCAATGTTGCTTTTTAACACATGTGTTACTTTGATATTGTTGAAGTTTGTCCTTTATCAAAATCGAATAGATTTTACATCCTTGAAAAATAACATGTTTTGATTCCATAGTTTTCTTGACATTTATGTCTATAATATTTAACGAGGAATGGCCTTAGCGTTAAAGCGCTGAATTTCCGAAATCACAAAAGATGATGTTGGCGAAAGTGTAAAATTAACTTCCAGTCATAACATCCTAATTTTGTTTTCGTACTTGAAACATAAATACTTCATTGTTTACAAATTCTGACATCAGAAGATGTGGAAGCTGTGACATAGCATAAACCAGTAATGCTTTAGAAAAACTAACTATCCTTGGCTGTGGATAAATTTCTCAGTTTTTAGCCATTTAGCCAGACTATTTGCTTCTCTGGATTCTGTAGTTCTGAGCATTAGTAGTTCAGATTTTAGCGTTTATGTTGGCAATATGAAACTTGACTCTCAGTTCCTGGCACTAGATGCTGTCCCTGGGGCAATTGACATCTCTCCCCCTTGGCTACCATCCCTCTGGGGCATCTGGAAAATAAAGAAACAAATGCATCAAAGTATTCAAAGTCTTGAATTATATTCATACAGCTTCAACTATCCCATATGAAAATTAGATTTTTTATTGCACCAAAAAAGGCTATGGTAAGATATCATAGACAGCTTGGAAGCTACTTGGTGGGATGCCTAACTTTTCAAATCTGTGCATTTCAGGCATCCATTCCAAATTCATCATTTACTATAGACACAAGATTTTTTACACTGACCATTTTGAACGAATACATAGTGATTTTTGGAGTTGACATATTAAGACTAAAGATGCAGAGTGAGAAGTATAAGCTGAAAATCATGCTATGTTTAAAACTTGCATACCTTAAGATGTATGTTTAGAACTTGCATACTTAAAAGTTGCATACCTAACATGTATGTTTAAAACTTGCATACCTAACGTGTATGTTTAAAACTTGCATACCTAACATGTATGTTTAAAACTTGCATAGCCTAACATGTATGTTTAAAACCTGCATACCTTAACATGTATGTTTAAAACTTACATCCCTTAACATGTATGTTTTAAAGTTGCAAACCTTAACATATATGTTTAAACTTGCATACCTTAACATACATGTTTAAAACTTGCATACCTTAACACATATGTTTAAAACTTGCATACCTTAACATGTATCTGATTCTTCAACATGGCAGACCTCAAGATGAGAGCTTTAGTTCTACGCTGATACTCCTTGCCAATGTTCAAGGACTTCTCAAATGTTGTACTGCGCTGGTCAATGTCCTTGGCATACAATATCTAAACAAATAAAATCAAAATATGGCAAAAATGCAAAAAAACAACTCAAAACAAATTCGAGACTGATGAATGTTCTCTGAGGACTACTGTGTGATTTTTTACTGGGTGTTTAATGTACTTTTACCTATTTTGTAAGATATTCAATTTTTCTTGTTTCTCAAAAATCTATACTGCCCGAGGACACCTCCCAATCTACAGGGTGGCCCAAAAAATCTAAATGAAGAAAATCTTTTCTGATATTGAATAAATTTCAGGATCCGAAATTAAGTAACTTTTCTCTATTTTTCATTTTAACTTTTCCAAAGTTTGGGTCATACTTAAAGTACCTGCATGGTCTTTCATTTCAGTTCCTACTGTTTCTTCACAAAAGTGCATTACATTTTGGTTCTATAGATTACCTTGTTATGTGAGTCTATAGATCATTTACCTTATTATGTGAGTCAATACGAGCGTTAATCTGGCCATCTAATATAAGTTGCATCAATTCATCTTCTAATGCAGCTACTGTTGTGTTAAAGGCAGATGCCATTTTGTTCATATCTGCTGACATATATGGGCTAAAATACTAAAAATAACAACATATACTCAATAAGAGTGGTTTATTCAAAATATTTTTCAATTCTTTACGAAATAACCTTAAAAAGCAAAGGAAGGTCCTGAAAGTCAAAATAGTAGTATTTTTATAAATAAATTAGGTATTTCATGCAATGATGAAAGCAAAAGGTATTGTAAAATTGTGACAATTTTTTGTAACTTACTCCAAAATCATTTCTTATCTATTGTCTCATCTTTAATGGCACAAAGTGTACCTTTGAGTATATTCAATTGATTCAACCAATCAGAATGCAAGATATTAATTATGCACATATTTAACTGCTTACCTGGCAAAGGGCTCTGTTCCTAATCTGTACATACAGGGTGTTCACATGGGCAGATAAGTACATGTCTAACAACAGGTTATCCTGAAATGAGGTCATAAGAATCTATTATTTTATCATGTATGAAAAACTTTGTTGACTGTGTATCAAAGCTGAATATTGAGATTAACTGTAAAAATATTTGAGTCTCTATATCGACAAACTCATTTTGAATTTTCTCTTGCTTTTGAGACAATTTCTAGTTTACACTCCATCAGTTTTATTATCAATATCCTTCATATAAATAGTACCAACTTCTATACCTATTATTTAGTTGTATGAAAACAAGAAAACATAGAGCCACACATACCTTAATCTCTTCCAGTAATTTGAGACAGGATGCGTATTTAGAGTCGTAAAACTTGTGTATGATATCTCTAAGTGGAGGCTCTAGCTCTAAGAACAGCTTGAAAGAACTGAAAATACAAGTAGAGAATAAGTAAATGTGTAAAAAATAAAACTGGTTAAAATACAATTGAATTAGTAAATTGTAAATAAAATAGATTTACATATCTGATGAAAACAAGAAAATTATGGTATTGTATGGTACTATATCAACAGTGTTGTCCAGATGGAGAATGGGACCATATCCAAGCCTGCACAGATGCAGTGTAATGGTAACATAAAAGACAGTATGGTACTGTAGCGTAATTTGAGTGTACATGAGTGTGATATTTATAATTCTTTCGGTATACAATACAGTGAGAGTTTGGCTGTGTACATTTTGAATTTTTAAACTTATTGTATGCTTTTACTCCACATATGAAAAAAGGAATAATTTGTTTTTGAAGCTTACCTGCTTGATAGAACATGTTTCTGAAGTTCTTGTCTATCAAATGATGCCAAAGCACAGAGTGTTCCATAAATTGTGACATTATTGGCAGACAGCAACTACAAACAAAAATAAAGACATAAAGTATGTAATCTAAATCTCAAAGTCAATGCTGCACAATAAATAAAATACATCACTTTTTCAGGTTTCATTCTAACTACACGATGAGATGATTGCAAAAGAGTCCAACATGATTCAGTTATTATTTTTGGGCTACCCGTATTTCAAACCTGGCCTAAAGGGAGTAGATAGTTCAAGTGATGGTGAGGTTATTAGACAGAGGACTCATAAAACCTTTAAAGTGATCGTGTAATACAAAAATTAACTGAAATGCAAAATGTAAAAGTAACGGAGCAGTCTTTGCAGACAGCAACTAATTAGTGTTAGAAATCCCGCAATATCATTTTTATGTGCTTGGTTGACAGAGCCCTTAGTTTATAGTATGTATCAGGTGACATAAATGATAGCCTTTGGTTAGGATTAATGAGTATAATTTACTGCAACAGGTTAAATAAAGTTTTCTAACAAGGCCCTTGAGAAGCTATACCTATAGCAGGTACATCACTTATTGAATATATTGACGTGAAATGATAAGAAGAAAGTGCACTAAGATGCCTTGGGAGGTTAAAGCTATCTTAGATATCTAAATACATAGTCTTGAAAAAACATTTTTCAATAATTATAAACTAGTTTGGTCAAATATTTGAAGTCAAATACATGGTACTGATATGTTTCAAATAGAAATACAAACTGGCATCTCCTGCAAACATAGTAGTTTTTTAAATTTGAAATGAATGAATGAAGATACCCTATAGAGCCCATGTTCTAAAATCATAAAACTTGAAATATCTTTTGTTTTATTTATCAATAATTCCGATTGTGGAACATAAAATATTACTTGATTCTTGTATCATAGTCCAAAAAGTGACATTGAATTGGTCCACTGAATTAATCGCTATTCAAGTTTTTGAAATATTTTGTACGTCCTGGTATGTTATCGCACCTGAATTAAAAAAAACATGGTGGTGAAACTAGTATAAACTGTAGGCATCGAGGTTATTGTTCAAGGGTTCAAAGCATGCATGCAACATAAGCTAAGAATAAGAGTTTGGTGTATGATGGTTAGAGAGTCAAAGATTGACTATACATTTGGTTTTGAAACAACTTACCTCTGGAAAATCACAATGATCAAAGTTGGCTTGTAGAAAATATTTTGCGGCAGATTTGTATTTTTTGGTTGCAAGCTCTGCAAGACCCGCTGCACACTTGAGCTTTGTCATAGTAGCTTGGCTACCCTCCTTACCAGGGGTCTAAAAATAAAGGGAGGAATATTGCCATATTTAGCTATTCTCCTTGCAAGGGGTCTACAAACAAACAGTGGATTATTGTTCTTTTTTATTCCCCAGAACATATATTTTTAACTAATAAGTACCTGGTACATGTATATGATTCATTTACTTTACTTGAAAACTGGGAGGAGTATATCAGAGTTACTTCACATTTTTACAAAATTTTGATTTCAAAGCAGCCAGCTTGATATTTATATGAAAACTACAGGTGAGTTGGGTTTGAAAATTGTGGGCATATGGGTCCTGATTATGAAAAATGGAAGATTGAAAACCAACATAATATTTCTCTGGCCGAACTCAGAAAAGGTCAAGAAGTTCAATTAAAGTCTGAACTAATCTTGATTCTTTGGTCGTCAACTTTCTCACCAAGTGACTGGCATTACTAAAATTAATGCAATCCTTGTATTCTGTACCTGGCCTGGCAAAAATCAAAGACAGACACCATCAGTCCTTGCTCTGCTCTAATTAACACGATCCACACATACAACCAGTTCAACTATAAGAACACTAACTCACCTCTGGGGTTGCCTCTGCCTTGTTGACATAGCTGAGCACATGGGACCAGTTCTGCAGGAACACACTCACCTAAAAAGAGAAAATGATGGTACAATTTTTAAAATTAAATTCATTTGACAATTTTCTATGGCACATTTTTTAAAGACAATTCTAGGTCTGAGGATGTAATTTACTAGTTGGTTTGGAAACAAATGGATCTTACACTGTGTTTGCTCTACAATTTATTGTACATACGGCAGTTAACACCTTTTCTGAACTTGGAACAACATTTTCATTTTACATTCAAACAAAAGAATGTCCAAAAGTTCTAATTTTTCATTAATCTAACGCAAAATCTCAAAAGAAATGCAAATAGATTTTCAACTGAGTGTAATTTTCAACTGGCTAAAGCTAATTTAAGTTAATAATTATAACTTACTTTAATGACATTGAGACACATGTTGACAACATGTTTAGCACTGGTACAATAATCCCTAGACCTGGAGTAACACTTCAGGGCATTGCTCAGGTCCCCACAGTCCATGTAATGGTCTCCCAAATCATCATGACCTCGCCTGGAATATATAATAATGACATTGAGACGACATGTTTTGCACTGGTACAATAATCCAACATGTTTTAGTAAAATAAAGGTTGTGAAAAGAAGAAAAAATACTTTTGTGATAAGATAAACACTCTATTAACATAGATGCTTTACATAAATTGTAGCATTACCCTTGTATTTGTACACTATTAATAATGGAGAAGAGGCATCACCCGTATGCTACAAAATTATGAATATACTTTGACTTTACTACATGTAATTATTGTACATGAACATAAAATATACATTTACAACTTCAAGTTTACAATTTACCACCACTTCTTGGTGTTACAAAAAACTGCTATATCATAATTCTTTTACAAATATAGTACTAATCACAAAAATACCAATTTAAGTGACATTTTTGTTGGTTTAATTCAAGAGCTGTCTATAGGTTGTAAAAGTCAATTGACAAACGGTTTTCACATGATTTATATTTTATTTTCAAAAGGAGTTTAGACTTCGTTAGACTTTAAGCTAAACCTTATCTGTGCTTTAAGTATCAATATCAAGGGGCGTAAATGTGTGTCTCATTTTAGCACATAGTTGCGACACCATTGTGAAATGTGGAAATTTCTATTTCCTTTATAGGAGCTTATGTGGTTTATGCAAATATTAGAACAGGCTATTGAATCAATGCCATGCAATTCTTCTAAAAGGATGTATTGAATTGTTGCTACATAGTGACTCAACAAAAAATGTTCATTGATTGAACAGTATGAATGGATCGTTAACGTTATACTTGAAACCTTTTTAACTGGGAAACTATATAAGGACTACAAAGATGTCGGGTAAGTTATTAAATTCAGTAAAAACTATCATCACCAAACTTACCATCATATAATGTATTGATGAAATGGTTGAACATATTTCAATTTGTATTAATAAATCTTTTTGGGTACTTTATATAAAGAACAAACACAGAACAGAGGTTGTAAAATGTGACCTATAAAAAGTGATGAAGGTTGTTGCATTCAAAATGCTTTAATGTTCAGAATACATACTTTGACAAACGAAGAGCAAATCTTGATAAACAGGATTTAAGTCAAGATTTGGAGAGCATACATACATGAACATACCATAACTATGCAGCATTTCAAATCCTGTCTATTGTCAATACACCACACACATATATTTTTTATTTTTCAGATTATTTTACAAAAGTGTTTCCCCATGATGTTTCAATAATATGCAATGAGAACTCGATTGAATCTATAGAAACAGCAAGATCTTTAGCACACATACTAGACAAGAATGGATTAACTGTGTACTTCAGACCAGAAAATGCTCCAAATGAAGAATCATTAGACAAGCACTTTGCGGAACTCCACAATGGCAAATATATCTTAACAATATTTGACAAAAACCTCTTAAAAGATGACTTCACAATGTACACAATGAAGTCTGTATACAGGTCATTGATAGATGCCAAGGAGTTGACCAGGTTCATTCCAGTCCTAATAGGGGTTGAAGTAAAGGATGTGGTTCCCCAATATATCTCCAACTTTTGTCTGGAGTTCTCTGAGAACTGGAGGGAGGAAACCAAACAGATGGATAGGCTTGTAACAACTCTCCAAGAAGATGTACCTCCTTATATGGACTAATCCCTGAAATGTTTCTCTCAAACATTGAAAAATATTGAGAAATAAACAGTCATAAAAATGCATCTTTCCAGGTGACCAGAGCTGATAGTACCATCTGACAAGAAATCTGTAAATAGTGACCGCTATCACATAAATGAACAATGACTTGCTTCATTGTGACTTCATTGCACAAACTTCTATAGATGACTCAATACTGAATGAGTCTGTTAATATCAGTCATTAGCATTTTTAAACTCTGCACTGATTCATCATTTGATCATTTCTGCTTTGTATATTATTCAAGAAGAACAATGGGCAACATTTGGTCAACCAAATAATGCAAATAGATGTGTATTTGTATTTTTATCAGAGAACAACCCATAGTGAAATAAAGCAAACAAGCCAGTATTTTGAATTTTTAACTGATTTTCACATGTATTTTTAGGTCTTTGTTATTGCGCAGTAACAGCAGATTTCAAGAGTTGAAAATTTATGGTTTAATGTTCAAAGAATAAAAGTTCAATACTTTCAAGTTGAAATGTATGTTATTTCTGATATGAACAGTCACATTCTCAAGTACCTTAATCAAAACGTTTAACATTAACTAAGGGATAATGTCAAAAGCAAATTATTCAATTCAACAGAAAATAATTTTTGATGCGGACATAAAAGCCAGTTTTTGGTAAAAAAAGCCATTGGACAGGGGAAATCCCACCCAGTACAAGTGCAAAGTTGTAAAACCACATAAATATAATATAAAGTGCATTTCATGGGTAAATATTGATTACAAGTAACAGGATATTTAGTGCTTTTATTATGAATTTATGATCATTTTTTTGTCAACAAAGTATACAACTGGAGTCATAACATTAGTTTGACGTACATTCTTGAGAAAACTCCCAATTTAAAGTACTAGCGTGCATATTTCGCAATTAACTGTACATGTATTTTATATGAACCGTGTACTAGACTGTATATCGCTTTACCAATGTATCATGACTGCATTGGCCAAGTACTGTAGATGTCAGCATAAATAATGAGCACTTCATATTTACGATTACGACATGACAAATAAAGGTGTCAACACCACCAACCATATATGCATTTGTGTAAATATCTGTGGTCAATTTTGATGTCAGCACAAAAATCCAATATTATTTGAAGGAATTTTATTTTTTTGCTAACTAACCTTCTATGAATCATTTAGAGGGAGAATGAACATTTCATAATTTTTCTTGATTTTTCTATTTCTCTTTTCCATATGTAGTTCCTCTAGATACATGTGCTTCACTTTTAAGTTAACATTCTTTGAATGGATTTATATACAGGGTCGTAAAAAAACGGCAACCATGTTGCTATTTCCATCATATCTTTGTCTTTTTAGGAAGTTACTCCCTAATAAAGTCTAATTTTACAGCACTTTACAACAAAATGCTTCAGTGACCACAAATGTGCTATAGGCAAACCTGCACACATCGTCCAAAATGTCCGTACCTGACTTCTAGCTGTGGGGATATGCCAAAAATAAAGTGTACAAGAATGACCAAAGGACAAATGCAGACCTCAAAAGGGAGATCATCTGTTTCTTTCAGGCCATTTCAGGCTGAGGAATGCAGTCAGGTCATTGACAACTTGTGTAGCTTTGCATTCAGCGCAAAGATGGCCACGTGGGGCATGTTGTTCAAAGTGCTGTAAAATTGTGACTATCAGTCTGATGATCATGAAATATGGTAGGATGGTAGAGAATTGAACGATGTACAAATGTGCCAAATAGCAGGGTAATTCCTTAAAATGACAAAGATTTGACGTAAATACAGGGTTGCGTTTTATTGAACACCCTGTACTATCATAGAAAAATGGATACCGTTGTCTAATGCTTTTTTGTACAATGCCATGTGCTGATGCATGAAAAAATAGAAACTGATAATTAAATTCTCAAAGAGTGATCTAATCTTGATGATATAAAAAACTATTGTCAGACCTCCTTTATCAAATGATAAATTATATCAACTCAATAAAATACAAAAAAATCTATAATATCACATTGTAAACTGAAAATGTATACCGTAAATGTTTATGTTTTGCTACGATAAGCCTATAAGACTATTGCGGGCTCTTAAATAAACTTAAAAAAATCGAAAAAAAAACAACTTAACTACTGATAGTTTGTTTAATTGATTTTACAGTATATAGGTTGTTTATACTCATGTACATATGATATCATCTTAATAAAACTTGTCATATTTATGATGATAAATACTCATGGTCAAAGGTCTAAAATCTATGGCCATTTCACACCTGGTCATAAAATATCACAATGAAGATTTATTTTAACCTTAATGAATTTATAGAATAATATTTGTATATATGTATTATCAACTTGCGAGGTGGCTTTTTGATATAAAAAGCCATAAAATATGCACCTGTTCAAACTCATTTTCATAGGAGAGAGATAATACACATTTTTGCTTGTAAAGCATATATCACAGAAACAGTTTTTCAATGAAAAAAGCGATACATCCTGTTCATAAAATTTCTCTTCACAATTCCATACATTTCCCGGCCCTTCCAAATATGAATAAATGCCCTTTTCCATTTTATAAAACTGAGATGTTTGACTTTCTGGCAGTTCACAAAATTCCTTGGATTTTTATTCTGCCATCAATTAATCATTGAAAACACCATGGTAACTATGGCATTCTAAAAGACAATAGACAACTATAACAAAACAATGAAGAGTATAAAATCAAACAAAACAAACATTTAACCGATAACATCCCTTACTCAAAAAGTACTGCCTTTGTTATATTTACCAAATTTCTCCTCTCTAAAAAGTGAAAGTGTCTATTTGATTGGCCCTCTGAATCGACAGAATGAACTGTCTTTATTCCTTGCTAATTCTTCTCTTCACAACACATCTTTTTCAAAGCTACCATGATATTTGATCAAAGAGGGATGTATTACAACCAAGGGAATGTGCGAGATTCAATATTAATTGTAGTTTACGCAGTTTAGTACAAAAAATGAAATATAAACCTTAGTCCATGGTTGTCTAAATGATGGCAGTATCATGCCCATATTTAGTCATATTATTGCAAATTCTTAGTGGGTATTGCTTTAAGGAAATAACTTCACTAAATGTTAATTTTACGACTAAGGATAGTTCAACCAGTACATTGACAGAGACTACAGGCAGAATACTAACAGATAGGATAACCACTGCATTAATGGAATACAACCCCAGTATAACAGAAATTACAACCACAACACTGAGAGAAAATACAACCAAGACATTGAAAGAAGGTGCAACAGAGACATTTATAGATGGTATGACCAAAACATATATAAAGAACACAACCAAGACATCAACAAAGGGTACAACCAAGACATTAACAGAGGGTACAACCAAGACATTAACAGAGGGAACAACCAAGGCTTTAACAACTGACTCAATGAGAAACACAACAATTATTCCTCACACACATTCATTACATAGATGCTATATTTGTACATGTAAGGTAATAAAAAATTAGACAATGGTTATGCCAGGGCTGCCTAAATCCTATTTAAAAAACTAGCTTTCACATAAGCCATGTGGGCTCACTGTTCACCACCATGTAGCTAATTTTGGGCATCAATTTTTTAATTAATTAATTTTTTTTTTTATTTGGTGTGATGAGGGATATCTTCCTGTAAAATTATTTGTTTTGCCCCTGTGTATCCAGGCCGCGTCCCGCCATCTACCCCAAAGTATTTAAAAATGAAACTTCAGCGAGATTTAAAACCACTATGAATCTCACCCTGTACCTTTACAGCTGCAATTACTAATGCATTGTACCCTTTCAGACCCAGAAATGCAATATGCGAGACAGATGTATTTTGCAGAACTCGTTTCAGTTCTGCCATGGTGTCAATAAGTTCTGGATGGAGGAATACCTGTGTTACAGTAAGCCACATTTTCAACAGAATCCATAAAGCAATGTTAGCAAAGGATAACAATGTTATTTTAGTACTGTTCTTCTACTTAATTTGGCGGCTGTTTTAATTAGGCAGATCTGCCAAATTGTAAACGTCCACCAAATTAAGTAGCCGCCAAATTCAATATTTCATATTTCAATCGTAAATGTGTATGGTATATACATTTCAATATTGCAAGTCCACCAAATTAAGTAGTTGTCAAATGTTTAAAAAGGCAAATCCGCCAAATTAAGTAGAAGTACAGTACACAAGTCAAACTCATGAGCGACATACATTTCAGTTCCACAGAAAACAAACTGTTATGTTATGGTGAACTGTAGAAGTTGGGGCCAGTGTGCAGGTTGTTCATATTCTTATGTGATTACCTGGAGTCCATTATGTAATGATACAACTTGCACAATTTACATCAATGCAGAGAAACTATACATGTGAGTATTATTATGTAATGATACAACTAGCACAATTTACATCAATGCAGAGAAACTATACATGTGAGTATTATTATGTAATGATACAACTTGTACAATTTACATCAATGCAGAGAAACTATACATGTGAGTATTATTATGTAATGATACAACTTGCACAATTTACATCAATGCAGAGAAACTATACAAGTGAGTATTATTATGTAATGATACAACTTGCACAATTTACATCAATGCAGAGAAACTATACATGTGAGTATTATTATGTAATGATACAACTTGTACAATTTACATCAATGCAGAGAAACTATACAAGTGAGTATTATTATGTAATGATACAACTTGCACAATTTACATCAATGCAGAGAAACTATACATGTGAGTATTATTATGTTATGATACAACTTGCACAATTTACATCAATGCAGAGAAACTATACAAGTGAGTATTATTATGTAATGATACAACCTGTACAATTTACATCAATGCAGAGAAACTATACAAGTGAGTATTATTATGTAATGATACAACTTGCACAATTTACATCAATGCAGAGAAATTATACATGTGAGTATTAATATGTAATGATACAACTTGCACAATTTACATCAATGCAGAGAAACTATACAAGTGAGTATTATTATGTAATGAAACAACTTGCACAATTTACATCAATGCAGAGAAACTATACAAGTGAGTATTATTATGTAATGATACAACTTGTACAATTTACATCAATGCAGAGAAACTATACATGTGAGTATTATTATGTAATGATACTACTTGTACAATTTACATCAATGCAGAGAAACTATACACGTGAGTATTATTATGTAATGATACAACTTGCACAATTAACATCAATGCAGAGAAACTATACATGTGAGTATTATTATGTAATGATACAACTTGTACAATTTACATCAATGCAGAGAAACTATACATGTGAGTATTATTATGTAATGATACAACTTGCACAATTTACATCAATGCAGAGAAACTATACATGTGAGTATTATTATGTAATGATACAACTTGCACAATTTACATCAATGCAGAGAAACTATACATGTGAGTATTATTATGTAATGATACAACTTGCACAATTTACATCAATGCAGAAAAACTATACAAGTGAGTATTATTATGTAATGATACAACTTGCACAATTTACATCAATGCAGAGAAACTATACATGTGAGTATTATTATGTAATGATACAACTTGCACAATTTACATCAATGCAGAGAAACTATACATGTGAGTATTATTATGTAATGATACAACTTGCACAATTTACATCAATGCAGAGAAACTATACATGTGAGTATTATTATGTAATGATACAACTAGCACAATTTACATCAATGCAGAGAAACTATACATGTGAGTATTATTATGTAATGATACAACTTGCACAATTTACATCAATGCAGAGAAACTATACATGTGAGTATTATTATGTAATGATACAACTTGTACAATTTACATCAATGCAGAGAAACTATACATGTGAGTATTATTATGTAATGATACAACTTGCACAATTTACATCAATGCAGAGAAACTATACATGTGAGTATTATTATGTAATGATACAACTTGCACAATTTACATCAATGCAGAGAAACTATACATGTGAGTATTATTATGTAATGATACAACTTGCACAATTTACATCAATGCAGAAAAACTATACAAGTGAGTATTATTATGTAATGATACAACTTGCACAATTTACATCAATGCAGAGAAACTATACATGTGAGTATTATTATGTAATGATACAACTTGCACAATTTACATCAATGCAGAGAAACTATACATGTGAGTATTATTATGTAATGATACAACTTGCACAATTTACATCAATGCAGAGAAACTATACATGTGAGTATTATTATGTAATGATACAACTAGCACAATTTACATCAATGCAGAGAAACTATACATGTGAGTATTATTATGTAATGATACAACTTGCACAATTTACATCAATGCAGAGAAACTATACATGTGAGTATTATTATGTAATGATACAACTTGTACAATTTACATCAATGCAGAAAAACTATACATGTGAGTATTATTATGTAATGATACAACTTGTACAATTTACATCAATGCAGAGAAACTATACATGTGAGTCCATTATGTAATGATACAACTTGCACAATTTACATCAATGCAGAGAAACTATACAAGTGAGTATTATTATGTAATGATACAACTTGCACAATTTACATCAATGCAGAGAAACTATACATGTGAGTATTATTATGTAATGATACAACTTGCACAATTTACATCAATGCAGAGAAACTATACATGTGAGTATTATTATGTAATGATACAACTTGCACAATTTACATCAATGCAGAGAAACTATACATGTGAGTATTATTATGTAATGATACAACTTGCACAATTTACATCAATGCAGAGAAACTATACATGTGAGTCCATTATGTAATGATACAACTTGCACAATTTACATCAATGCAGAGAAACTATACATGTGAGTATTACATACAGTGCCTCCCCAAGGTCGGCCTTTATTGGGAGAACTCAGGCATATTTCACGTCATAGTGACATTACTTCTAATCTAAGTATAGCATGTTAAAGTCATTTATTGAAATAAATAGTGCTAGATTTCAGTAGAATATTTTCTAAAAATTAAGAGGCCATAAATTATTTAGTTTATTATCCTAAAAGTTCATGGTGGCAGACTGAAAATAAGAAGGCACAGGGTGAACAAAATCAAGACTAAAATATAGCAGTGTGGCACCATGTAACATGCGTAAAAAATTTGAGGTGAATCCGTGGTCTTCCTGGATTTACGATGACAAGATTCGTCAAAAAACTTCCAAAATGGCCACCAGAAAGCAAATGAGCAGCCGAAAAGTTAATCAGCTTTGGAACTTCTTATCATGCAACATGTGTAAAAAAAAAGTAATTCTGTTGAGTGGTTTTCCTGTAATCAGATGACAAGAAAATTGAGACACCACCCACCATACACCCATCAAAGTGATGACAATATTGTACCTTTTTTAGGTAGGATAAAAACATTACTACCTGTAACCTATGATACCATGAATCAGGTCAATATATTTCCTAGCTACTTTGGTGTGGCCAAAAGTGGTAGGGTTTATGGGTCCCCTCTTATTCAAAGGTGTATTAAAAATACTTAGGTACTTTAATAAATTCTGTTATAGGTATACTGAAGATGACCAGCACATTTTAACAGTTTTGAAGGAATTCAAACAGTGTTTTCAAGGACGTCAACTGATTAAAGGTACACTTTAAGTAAACCATTGGTTCTTCGGGGGTAGATTATCATGAGGTAACGTTAGGTACATATAATGAAATCACACCATCAAGTAGCCATCCAAAAGATAATGAACTCTTCAAGGAAGAAAATCCAAGAATTCCTTCTAAAATAAAACGGCATGTAAGAATTAGAGAACAAATGAGTCACATCCTAGCCAGCTTATCTAATTATATCTGTTAATTCATCAAAAAAAGTACATTGTATTTACCAGATTTCTGGAATCTGAATTCGTAAATTTTACAGATAAACCAGAGACAACCACGAAAATCACGACACAAACAACACATACAGCAACTAAGACTCCACAAACTAGAAGTGAAGCAAGATATACGACAACATTCCAGCCAAAGAGATCAACAAAAGAACCTAGTATCAAGGAAGTGCTGACGGGGGTGTTTCTATGGATTGTGGATGCTATATGCGCCATCTTTACTCTTGTGGTAATATGGCGTTGCAGAGTTTGGGCAAAAAAGAAACCCGATCTAAGACCAGCCAGTATCAGAACTCTTGCCAAGGCACGAGAGAGGACATTTTCAAATACTGCTTTGTAAAATTAGAATTGGGTGATTGTTTTATTCTTTCAAAAATAAATTTTTAATCAATTAAATAAAACAACTCCTTTTACATCGTATCATATCGTAATTGTACTACTGGTATGTTCTTTTATGACCTAAGCCCCAGTCACATTTGCTCTCTGACGAATGTTACTGCAGCCATGGCTTCACAAAATCGATATAGAAAGTCTACATCGTACTGATTATCCCTATATTTGATGCTGAATTTGGGAAGCTATGGCTGCTGTACGGTCATGGTAGATCAAAAGTGACTGAAGCATTATGACTGATACAGAGACATACACGCACAGTCTTTCATGTATGAGACTACTTAACTAAACATCCTGAATTACTTAATGGAACATAATCTTGCCTGAACATTACTGAAAAGTGTGATTTAATCACGAATGTAACTTACCTGATGCTTTCTTTTATGGAATTACTCTTGTAATTTTTCAGATCTGTATCAAGTTTTTCTAGTTTCATTGCAGCTTTTTTTGCGGTTGTCTCAATCCACTGTGTGTCGAGGGCAGGAACATTGTGAATGACTCCAGCCACTGCATCTGGCAGAATTGATGAACTGAAAAAAATGTTAATTTTTTCAAAAAACAAACATTTTTTATTGTGAATTCAAAAGGGTAACAAAGTATTACCCAGCATGCCATTCAGTAGATTTAACTTATTTGTTCCACTAATAACATTTATCAGACTCTCTTGGTAAAAGTTATTCAGATTTTTTAACTTGTGCCATCAAAGATCATTATCAAAGTCAGCTGATGGAACAAGTTGTTCAGATTTTTATATTTATGGTCAGAAATACGTACTGAACCCATGCAAGTTATAAGACCCTTTCCACATTTAATAGTATTTTACATTAATGCAATGTGCAACTTTAAGCCCAATGGGTCCCTTTAATCATATAGAGTATTCATTCCACCTAGCCAAGCTATCTTAATATACCAGAACAGGTTACACAGTGATAAATACATGTATCACATTTATCACAAAGAATTCAAAATGGCCACCAAGTAATTCACTGTACACGCTTAAAACCTAACCAGATCTTAGTCTCCTCTTGCATCTGTAAAAATTGAATAGGTAAGTGGTTTTCCTGGTATTTGATGACAATATTTATGTGGCACCCACCCACTTGCCCATCAGCATAACACAGCGGCAATAGCCCACTTAAAATTGTTACCTTGCTATCACTATGGCATCTTGTAGCTTCTTGTGGATCTGCTGGTACATGGATACATTGAGAGTAGTCTGTACATAGTCTAGGGCAACTCTGAGTGTCTCAACCCTGTATGTTCTACATGTTCAGAAAACCTTACCTTGCTATGGCATCTTGTAGTTTCTTGTGGATCTGCTGATACATGGATACATTGAGAGTAGTCTGTACATAGGCTAAGGCAACTCTGAGTGTCTCAACCCTATATGTTCTACAATGGTCAGCTACATACACAAGCCTTTAATACACCAGAAACCTTACCTTGCTATGGCATCTTGTAGTTTCTTCTGGATCTGCTGGTTCATGGATACATTGAGAGTAGTCTGTACGTAGGCTAGGGCAACTCTGAGTGTCTCAACCCTGTATGTTCTACAGTGGTCAGCTACATACACAAGCCTTTAATACACCAGAAACCTTACCTTGCTATGGCATCTTGTAGTTTCTTCTGGATCTGCTGGTTCATGGATACATTGAGAGTAGTCTGTACGTAGGCTAGGGCAACTCTGAGTGTCTCAACCCTATATGTTCTACAATGGTCAGCTACATACACAAGCCTTTAATACACCAGGAACCTTACCTTGCTATGGCATCTTGTAGTTTCTTCTGGATCTGCTGGTTCATGGATACATTGAGAGTAGTCTGTACGTAGGCTAGGGCAACTCTGAGTGTCTCAACCCTGTATGTTCTACAATGGTCAGCTACATACACAAGCCTTTAATACACAAGGAACCTTACCTTGTTATGGCATCTTGTAGTTTCTTGTGGATCTGCTGATACATGGATACATTGAGAGTAGTTTGTACATAGGCAAGGGCAACTCTGAGTGTCTCAACCCTGTATGTTCTACAATGGTCAGCTACATACACAAGCCTTTAATACACCAGGAACCTTACCTCGCTATGGCATCTTGTAGTTTCTTGTGGATCTGCTGGTACATGGATACATTGAGAGTAGTCTGTACGTAGGCTAGGGCAACTCTGAGTGTCTCAACCCTGTATGTTCTACAGTGGTCAGCTACATACACAAGCCTTTAATACACCAGGAACCTTACCTTGCTATGGCATCTTGTAGTTTCTTGTGGATCTGCTGGTACATGGATACATTGAGAGTAGTTTGTACATAGGCATGGGCAACTCTGAGTGTCTCAACCCTGTATGTTCTACAATGGTCAGATACATACACAAGCCTCTCATACACCAGGAACCTTACCTTGCTATGGCATCTTGTAGTTTCTTGTGGATCTGCTGATACATGGATACATTGAGAGTAGTCTGTACATAGGCTAGGGCAGCTCTGAGTGTCTCAACCCTGTATGTTCTACAATGGTCAGCTACATACACAAGCCTTTAATACACCAGGAACCTTACCTTGCTATGGCATCTTGTAGTTTCTTGTGGATCTGCTGATACATGGATACATTGAGAGTAGTCTGTACATAGGCTAGGGCAACTCTGAGTGTCTCAACCCTGTATGTTCTACAGTGGTCAGCTACATACACAAGCCTCATAAGCCTGGCCAGTCCTGTGTAGTTAGTTGCATATGAGTCCAAGTCCTGGAACAGAAAAGCATACCTTATGTTAAAATCAAATATCAACTAAATAAGACAATTTACATGAGTGTATGGGATTGATGCACATCCTGATTGGAATGTTATTTCCTCTTTTAATCTACATAGCTAAGTGAGAATATTATGTGATGAAATTATATCATAATTTCTTAACATAGAAATATCTTTCATAAACTTTTTGGGGGGAAATCCCCACCTAATATTAATACTAATATCCCCCACAAATATCCTCAAGATACAGTGTATACATTTCCTTCTTAAATGACTGAAGAGAATGGTCAAGGTTATGAAGAGTCATTTTTCTCATTTTAATATATTTTTCAATAAGGGTGAGTTCATGCCTTATTCATTTCAAAATGTCAGTCACAAGAATCTCAAACAGCCTTCAATTTAGACAATATAATACACCATAACCCTTCTGTTAATGAAAACACAGAATGAGATTCTATGCTTAGGGCAGTTGTGAAAATGTCAGTCCAACTCAATGGGGATCAAACCCATGACCCCTCATTTTCTGGATGAGTGCTATACAACTGAGCTATAGGACCGACTGACATCTCCACTGTACATAGTAAGTTAGTATCTAAGTCTATGGATGGTGCATGTTATAGGTTGTTACTAGAGACTAGCCCACTCTAACTTGAGAATACATTGCAAATTAATCTCATTTTGAAAACTAACCAGTGATGTGTTTTCTACATTGAACTGTTCCTCTTCAACATTGTCATTTTCCTCTGGGGCATCCACCTGCATTGGTTCGGCTACCTCCTGCAACACATGAAAACATATATAGGAGCTTTTAATAACACATGATTTCACATTTCAGAAATCTTGTATACTGGGCTTGTACTTGTACATTGCATGCATATCAACATTTTGACTTGTTTGTACAGCATGTGAATCAATATTTTGGGAGATTTTTCGCACCTCACAAACTTATAACCTACCTCAATAAATTCATGAGTACATGTATTTTAGCATTCTTTTTAAATGTAGTTAAATCCCCAATCATAGGGTTCATTGTAGACATTGTCCTCTAGTCTGAAATTTTTTTGAAATTTGGAATGAAAATATTCAGACTATAGCCCACATATGTTAAAACATGGGATTGAAAATGATTTGTTTACATAGGAAGTGCCATTCAAAATGGCCGATTGGGTAAATTAATTTGCATATTTGTTACTTCTCCTAGCTTTATTTCCATTATGCTGTGTTACTTTTTATAGCATTTAATAGTACCTTACTACTTAATTGAATTGTTATAATGCTTATTTTTTGGAAGTGAAGTTTCCTAAAATTGATAATTACGTGCTGGAAATTTCCTGTTTTTTCCCACAGGAGAGACATAATGATCAATAGACTGAATTCTCAGGAAGTTCAGTCTATTGGATATAGACTAGGGTTCATTGGCAGAACGAAAAGATTTTCCCTTTTCATCAAGAAAGATCGCACATCTTTTCAAGATGGCAGTAGGTTTTAGAACGGGAATATCCATCCATACTGACATCAGGGTCTAGTGATGCAGAGGCCGTGTGTATCAACAGACAGAAGAATTTTGACCGTTGAAATAAGCTAAATAACAAGCAAAAGTTTAGAAAACGAAAATTTCATCGTTCTGATGATAAACCAGACCAGATAAATTGAGGTGTTATCTCGGGCTTGTATGACTGCCAAATTTGGATCATGATAGAGAAGTGCATTTTTTTGAAAAACATCAATGTCTTTTTCTGAAATAACTATTATGACCTCTTTATCCTTGGCTTCGAGCTGGTGCAATTGTTCATAACTTTATGAACCAAAATGATCATGATTGCATTGAATTTTTTGATTTTATTTTTCCAAAATTTTTCATTCCGTTGATTTTCAGCTAATTTTACAATTCAACGCATATATTTTGAAAAGTTATAATCAATATGAGTAAGTCTACGCATACCACTGTGTTTTATGATGAAATTATATCTCTTTACCTGGAAAATTCCTGCTTGAACGGGGAGAGGCATTTTGGAAATTTATAACCGGAAATGATGCTCTTCAAATAGGAGGTAATAATTTTTAAAATAATTCAGGCTCGATTATTTTCTTTTATTTCACTGTTTTGGGGCATTGGATGTCATTAGATTATATATTACTGTAATCAAAATTTGTATAACATATGATTCATGAAAATAGTCTCAAATAGGATCACAGTATGTCGTACTGTAACTCGTAAATTGAAATCATATTACACACATTTCGTATTTCACTTATTATCGCCCACACCTACATCAAGGAGGATTGGCTCCCCACAGGATCAAGAATGTGTATCAACTCCTGACATCTATTGGCCAACCTTGAACAAAAAATGTCATTTACTCTAACTTGTAGAATAGATTGTCTGTCTTTCAGTTTGTCCAGATGTCAGGTGATTCAACTCAATTCGAGTTTCTGTGTAGCATTCCATCTCAATATTTTCCACTTCCAGTCAGTCATCATATGTCATGATTCAAATTCCACATTTTTTTACTTCAGAATTTGAATCTGGTCTTATTACCAAATTATGAATTTCATAATAATCTTGAAATGATCAAAATATCAGATCTACTTATGGACAGGGTGCATGTTGGGAAATTTTCTGCATTCCTCAATTGAGTCACATGTTATTTTTCAAACATGAATAACTCCTTCCCCACATTGTCTACATCTTCCAAGTTTGCACAAAGAATGCACTTTTGTGCCTAGAAAAGCCTTGTGAGAAGGTTTGTTTTGTAAAATGTATAAAAAATGAGAAAATTCAGTGAAAAAAATTTCTGAAAATTTTCTGATTTTTTTCACTGAATTTTCTTGTTTTTTATACACTTTGTCAAAACATTCTTCTCACAAGTCTTTTCTAGGCACATAAGTGCACTCTTTGTGCAAAACTGGAAGATATAGACAATGAAGGGAAGGAGTGATTCTTGTTTGAAAAATAACATGTGACTCAATTGAGGAATGCAGAAAATTTCCCATCATGCACCCTGACCTTAAGTAGCTTTATCTTTTGGATTGTTTTTCGTCTTTGTCATCACTTTGGACAAACTAAATAAACTACATGTATCTCTAAAATATAGACAGTTTATTCCTTGCCATAGAAATGTTCAAGCACTGAACAAATTGCTTGGAGATAGATGGGGACACCTCGGCTTCGATGAGTTTGACTGTTGTTTCCTCCTACAGCTTAAGGTCTGCTGGTTCCTGTGTTGATTAAAACCTATGGCAGGGAAAATCTGGGTACTTTATGCTCACTTTTCAAGGGTCTGGGCCATTTATTTTCTTTATTCTATTCATATTCTTTATTCTATTTCTTCATTTTCAGAAACATGGTTCCAAATAAACTCTTAACTCTGGTGTTTGTAAGGGAGGCTTCTAGAATCCTCCTTGGGATGAAAAAGAAAGGATTTGGTGCTGGGCGATGGAATGGATTTGGAGGAAAAGTCGAAAAAGGAGAAACAATAGAGGAAGGAGCAAAAAGGTACATAAAGATATGGATTGATTTTCTACACTGTATATTGCCATTATGCAGAAATTACTTTCACACTTTCAAAATACTAAGGCGGGTTCAAACAGAATACATGTGCATATTGTATATACAGGAGGTAGAGATTAAAAGGTGGATTGGATCGAGTGGATTGGATTCATGTAAAAGGTGGATTGGATTGGGAATCTTCAAAATATGGATTTTTAGTTGATCTCCCTCTAAGCAATTTCCTCCGGCCTAAAGTATTTTGTGATTACTTGGGTCCCTTTAAGGAATTGACAAAGCAATGACAAATACATACTTCAATTAGTTGATAGATACTCTAAAGCATTTAACTGCTCTCCCTTGTAAATCAACATTAGTAAGACATAATAAACATAGATAGGTAGATAAAAGCTGTCATTCAAATTGACGTGTGGGTGTTCCCAAGACATTCTGCCATGTTCTGTTTGAATTTAAAACAGATGATATGGATCTTCGACTTGAAAAGTCTGCCTTATGATTTGTGAAATGTCTAAAATTACCCTTGGAATGAATAAGATTATGTATCAGGTCACCTTTCTAGTCTACCCAAGCAAAATGATATAACATCTATTATTTGACATTGTGGAAGTGAGAAGAGCATTAATCGTCTGATGGGAGATCAATATAATTTTTTAAGGAAAATCCATATTTTGAAGAATCCCGATCCAATCCACCTTTTACATGAATCCAATCCACTCGATCCAATCCACCTTTTAATCTTTACCATACAGGATGGGGAAATTTTCCTAAGTGACATCTATATTATTGAGTAGAGTGAATATTTATTCTAAATAGGGAATTCGAAGTGGCCAGACGTACATTCAGCAGTGGTAAGCATATTTTGATTTTCATACCCGAGCAAGGGACGCCCGAGCAAGGGGCTAAAATAAAAGGCTTTGAGGGCCTAGAGATATAATGCCCGAGCAAGGGGCGCCCGAGCAAGGGGCTAAAATAAAAGGCTCTAAGGGCCTTAAAATATATGCGCAAGCAGGGGGCAAAAAATATGAACCTTGAGGGGTAATGAATAAAAGGCCTTGAGAGCCTAGAGATACAGAGATATATGTCAGAGCAAGGGGCTATTAAATATAACTATGAGAAAATATCAGAGAAGTTTTCTGAGAGGCAAATATTTGACAGAAACAAAGAAAAATAGAACATTGATGACATGAAAAATCTTGATAACATGGCCTTATAATGAACACTGGAAATTCAACGTGTTAATAACACAGTAAAATTAGAGGTCATTATGCAGTACGTTATAGTACAGTGTGACGAAAATAATGACCCTCAGATATAATCTGGTAATTGGCAATTGAATGAAAACTGGGGTTTACTCAATAGAAAGTATGTTGAATTGTTTTGACATGACTGGATAACCTATGCAAGTGATTGGTTATCATGTAATGGTTTAATTCCATGTACCCTCTTGTAAACTAATTTGAAAATGACTTGAGTTTGTAACATTTGAAACTAGAGAAGTCTGATAAACAATTGGCTTCTTTTTACATCTAAAGTCCGGGAGCACTGATCTCTTAGTGGTTATAACCACGTGGACTTCGGATGTGAGAGTTGTCTTTCCACAGTAGGAGGTAATTGGCAATTGAGGTTAATTACTCATGTTAGGGGACTGATTTTTCCCCACCAGTAATTCATGAATGAAACATTGATATGAGGTCAATTTTAGGTTTTATTAGCTTCATAATTACATCATGGAAAACCATCTACTAGAACTACTGGGAGAGATTGCTCTCAAATCCGATGTCCACGTTAGTTTTTTGTTAATTTTTTATTAAAGATTTGAGGATTGGGAGTAGTAAAAATTAACAAATCACATTATTCAGGATGTAAATACACCGTAAAGGGTAAAATTAAATGTGTATTTCAACCAATCCTTTAACATGAAATCTACTTGAATGTATGGATGTCACTTAGGAAACATAGATTTCCTAAGTGACATCTATATTATTGAGTAGAGTGAATGTTTATTCTAAATAGGGAATTCGAGGGAGGTAGTCATTAGCAAAGGGAATGGATAATAGTTTACAAATCATAAAATTTGGATGAAATATCATGAAAATGGGAAATGATTGAAAAATAAGTTACCCTCCCACCCAACCCATTTCCTGAGGCTGTACATTCTGGTGGGTTTCACTTAAATATGTATTTCACCCAATCCTTTAACATGAAATCTACTTGAATGTATGGATGTCACTTAGGAAACATAGAAAAGCCTTATTAAATTCATAGGATTCCGCATCTACAGTACTTCATTGGAGTGGTAATTGAGGATCTGTCATAGATTCTAAAACATTTTTAAACCATGGTCATTCAACAACAATAATTGATATGGTATTTTGAAATAATGAATAATGATGTTAGCATCTGCATTTAAACATTTCTGATATTTTGACAAATATAATTATGATATGAACATCTATCAGTTTTACTATGTTAACACATGTCATATCTTTTCCCCCTCCTTCCATTGAAATATGTCATACTAAAGTATTACCTTGTTGACAAAGCAAATATTCCCCCAAATCATAGTATATCCCACTTTTATATTGACCTTTTTTCAGAGAGTTACAAGAGGAAAGTGGATTGGTCGCTGAACAACTCGACGAAGTTGGACGTCTGATGTTTGAATTTGAAGGGGACCCACAGCTATTAGAAGTTCATGTATTCTCCACAAGAAACTACAAAGGTACCCCCACAGAGTCAGATGGTAAGTGCAACTTCAATCCTACCCTCAATGTGGGTCTTAGGATTTTTCTGTCACTCGCAAGTGGCATACAATTTGTGTTTTCACACTCGCCAATGAAAATGTAAACTCGCCACAGCATTGCCACTGATGATACATGTACTACAGTTTTCTTGTGAATAAAAATCTTTAAAGAGAAAGTAATAAGCACTAGAAATTGACTTAGTTCTATAATATTCATGGTGAATTTCATGTTTTTCATGTTCGACAATGTGGCAAGTCACTTCAATTTTACACTCGACTCTGAATATTTACATCCGCCTTGGGCTACTGTCGAGTGGACCCACACTGACCCTTAGCTCAGCACTTCCTATGCTCCTTATTGCTATGTTTCAGAAAATCTGGAACTGCCTGCAATTTAAAGGGCCAGATCAAAAATTTCATGTTTTCACCAAAATGTTTTAATTTCAGATTGAACTCTTCCCTCCCACTAAAAACTATAATTGAGCATGATTTTTTCATTTTGAAAATTGATATGAATAATGCTTTGAAAATTTAACCAAATTCAACCCCTTCCACCAATCATAATTATTTTCATTCGGGGCATATATATAAATACATTAACACTGCCCCTAAAATATTATTGTTTGTGTATTTCCAGAGATGCGCCCAAAATGGTATAATATAAACTATATTCCATACACTGATATTATATGGTTCAATATATAATAATAAATATTATTGTTGTGTTTTTCAAGAGATGCGCCCACCGTGGTATAATATAAACAATATTCCATACACTGATATAATATAGTTCAATATATTAATAAACATTATTGTTGTGTATTTCCAGAGATGCGCCCACAGTGGTATAATATAAACAATATTCCATACCCTGATATAATATAGTTCAATATATTAATAAACATTATTGTTGTGTATTTCCAGGATGCGCCCACAGTGGTATAATATAAACAATATTCCATACACTGATATTATGTAGTTCAATATATTAATAAACATTATTGTTGTGTATTTCCAGAGATGCGCCCACAGTGGTATAATATAGACAGTATTCCATACAGTAATATGTGGCCCGATGACAAATACTGGGTACCTCTATATCTACAGGATAAAAAATTCTCAGGGTATTTCAAGTTCAAAGGACATGATGATATAATTGAACAGACTTTGAAAGAAGTTGATAATCTACAGAATCTGTAGTGTAGTTTATTAGTTAAAAAGTTCCAGGTCAAATCTGGTGCAATGAAGCTTGTGTTTTAAGGGATTCTACATCACATTATTTACATGAGTAAGTTATATGACAATAAGTGGACAGACACACACCAGTATACTACTGGTGGGTCTAGATATGGTGGGGTGGGTTACGTGGGTGTCAATTTTTGGACCTAAAATTGGCATTTTGACCTCAAGCTGAGGCCTCATGTTCGAGTCAATTGTATTTCAAAAATTAACCCAAAATGTGCCCAAATATTCACAAACTGGTGTGTAAGTACAGGGGAAAAAATCTTTTGATTCATCTTTTCTTTTTTGAGTCACATGTCAACAAGGTATTTGATTGTTTCATTAATTTTTTGTTTCTAAAACTTGCTGCCTTCTGAAATAGATTTCTGTAACCAGTTTAGGGCTTATCAATACTTCTTTGACAATCCTGTACAGTAAAATTAGTTCAAGTGAAATACTTTAAACACCTCAAAGTAGTGTTCCACTTTGGATATGATCCATTTTACACTTAAATTGGCCCAATGGGTAACAGGATTTTGAAAGTGTTCCACTTTGGATATGATCCATTTTACACTTAACTTGGCCTAATGGGTAACACGATTTTGAAATGTGTTCCACTTGGGATATGATCCATTTTACACTTAAATTGGCCCAATGGGTAAAAGGATTTTGAAAAGTGTTTCACTTGGGATATGATTCATTTTACACTTAAATTGGCCTAATGGGTAACAAGATTTTGAAAAGTGTTCCACTTGGGATATGATTCATTTTACACTTAAATTGGCCTAATGGGTAACAGGATTTTGAAAAGTGTTCCACTTGGGATATGATTCATTTTACACTTAAATTGGCCTAATGGGTAACAAGATTTTGAAAAGTGTTCCACTTGGGATATGATCTATTTTACACTTAAATTGGCCTAATGGGTAATAGGATTTTGAAAAGTGTTCCACTTGGGATATGATCCATTTCACACTTAAATTGGCCTAATGGGTAATGGGATTTTGAAAAGTGTTCCACTTGGGATATGATCCATTTCACACTTAAATTGGCCTAATGGGTAATGGGATTTTGAAAAGTGTTCCACTTGGGATATGATCCATTTTACACTTAAATTGGCCTAATGGGTAACAGGATTTTGAAAAGTGTTCCACTTGGGATATGATCCATTTTACACTTAAATTGGCCTTATGGGTAACAGGATTTTGAAAAGTGTTCCACTTATAGATGTGTTCCAGTTTTATCTGTGCTAAAACCCTAATGATTGTTTCATATTTCTAAATTTGTATTTTATACAATGTATAATTTTGTGTTAGGCCTACTTGACTTCTCAAAATGATAAATGGTGATTGGAAATGACACTAGAGTTGTTTTGAAATGACACAGTTGGGGACACAGACACACCAAGAGTGAACAAAAATGTTTGTAAGATCATAGAACTGGGATTTTTACAATATGATATTGTTAATGTTCCAAACAACTATAGTATTTTACTGTATTATAACACTAGAACCTGTCTGATTCAAATGCCACGGGACAGCACTGGGACCAGGCAAAAGTGTTCAGATTGGCAGGTTCTTTTACATTGAGAGATATACAGATTAGAGATGTAATCAGGTGTACAGGATTTACTATTTTGTGTTTTTAAATTGTTTTTAGTAATTATCAGACATTTCCCAAAGAGCTACACAAAGCATTTATTTTTTACAAATTGTACAACTATTTTGTAATAGAAAATAAATAAGTAAAAAATTACAAACTTTTCCCATTATATTAGCACTGAAATATGACACCTACAGGCTGTCATGAATGCTATTTATTTGAAATATTCATTGTAAATTTCCATCCATGCCCAAGAGGGGCATTTGTGTATCAATAACACTGTTAATACATGTACATAAAGCCAGACAATGTAATTATAATGTCAATGACACATTACACTGAGATTCTTTGATTTATTGTGCAATACCTGGCCAAAACTTTATTCTGTTCATTGTCTTTGGTAATGGCCAGAATAAAATCTGAGGTCATATGTTTGCCATAAATCAAAGAATCAAGGTCTTTGTTAGATTCTAATATGACAAACAAACCAGAAAACAACTATTTGCTTTTATGAAATTTAGTGGTTAACATACTCAATTATAGACCAGTAATTCAATTGTTCTAGTTATTATGACATCACGTGTCATGTTAGAACTAGTTAGAATGTGAACTATAACAACATATTCAATGAAACATTGCACTGATACCATACACGATGAAAACAATTGAAGACAAAAGCAATTTTGGCGACAAATAAGTCAATGATATATTATGTCAACAATGATGAAAACAGAACCAGTGACTTATTTAATAACTTATGACTAATATTTACAAGGTTACACAGTGAATTGATCCATTACACCATATATAAAGGTAAAACAATCAATAACACATTACACCAGAAGTAAAGACAGCACAATTAATGACATATTATACCATGGACAAAGACAGCACAATTAATGGCATATTAAACCATAGGCAAAGATAGCACAATCAAAGACATATTAGACCACTGATAAAGACAGCACAATCAATGGCACATTGTTACAAAGGTAAGTACAGCTCTATGGCCAAAAAAGACAAGATCAAAGATATATTATACCATAGACAAAGACAGCAATCAAAGACACATCATGCCATATGTAAAGATAACGCAATCAATGACACATTACACCATGGACAAAGACACATACAATCAAAAACATATAAGACCACAAATAGAGACAACACATTACAACATAGTGGTGAAGGCAGCACAATCAATTACACATTAAAGAATAGGTTAAACAGTACAAAGACATATTACACTAATGTTAAATACAATGAGACATTACACCATAGGCAAGGACAGCGCAATCAAAGACAGCACACCATATGTTAAGATATTACACTCAATGATGCATACCATGGGCAAAGACAGCACAAAGACATATTAGACCACAGATAGAGACCATATGACACCAATGGCAAAGCAAAGACAGCACAATCAATGAGACATTACACCATAAGAAATAATATATTTAAATGAAGTTAGAATCAGAATGAAATTTCTAAAAAACAACAATGTATAAGGAACACCTCAAATTAATTAAATGTTGTTTGATTTCGTTTCATCATTTCCTGTATACCATCAAGATGGCCGCTGCCACTAGAGAGAAAAATAAATTTCGGAAGAATACTGCGGACACTTTCTGGTTTAAATACTGTCTTTCTTGCACAGCTGCAACGGTAGCAGAAGCAGGTAATGTTCAAAGATTCCTTGAAGTTATTTTAGATATAAATCAGAGTCCGGAGTAAAACGTTATTACGTTCAAATCTGATCAAAATATCTAGAAAACTTCGTCAGTAAAAGCTAAAAAATAAGAAATCAAAATATCATTTTGCAATAATATATAGAAAAATATATTCCTATTGTACATGAATGACATTTGTATATCTTGGATTGCTTCTAGTTTAGCTTATGAAGTGTGTGGCCTCTTATATTTGGATGCTTCTCTGCCATGTTATTTTCAATAAGATTAACATGGCTGAAATTCTTCAAATTACAAGACGGCACAGGCTTATTGCACAAAAAACTAAAAAATCTGAAATATACAAATGTCATTCATGTACAATATGAATATACTTTTCCATATATTATTTTTGCACAATGGTCTCCCAATTTCTTATTTTTGCCGTTCTACTGACGAAATTCAAAATCAGCTGAGTGAATTCGGTCAATTCACACTCAAGTTTTGAAGCCTTTCTCACCTCTTGACAGGATGCTGATTTGATTATTTTTACTGTTTACGCTTTTCATTCTACCCTATCACTTTTAAATGATGTTTTTGATAAAAAGAATTACTTTTATGAGATCAATCTAAAAAAATGCATTTGGAATCAAATGTACCATTTGCGTACTTCACTGGGACCCAGGTTTTGAGAAACAGGAGCAGAGTGAATGACGATGCATCTCCACAATGATGCCCCTGTTTCATTGTTTCCGTTTACAAACGTGCTATCAATTGTTGTTTGACAGTGTAAACCAAAAGGCCTGCACCCCGTCCCAACTGATGTGAAACGCTAGCGATATGACAGATAAATTACATTTGTCCTAAATTATTCCATGCAAGGGGAGAAAAGTCAACATGCATTTTGACTATTTTTGATAAAAGGTAAACAAGAAATTTATACATCATTATCACATCAGCTGGTCTGCCTTGAGTTGACAAGTTTGTATTACACAGTACATGTAGTACTTGGATATCTAACATTACCCCCCCCCCCCCCCCAGATATCCCCTTCCTTGCCAGCCGATGGTATACATACACACTTTAGTGAGGTTGGGGAAGATACATTGTTATTGCCTAAGGCAAGAGAACTGGCATATGTTGGCCTACGTAAAAATGTGCACTGTACTCATTCAAACCAGCTTTCTCAGATTCACAGAGGCTAGTAGTTATTATAACAACAAAAGGGTATGTACAAGTTCCGTCAGCCCTAAATACCCAATAGCAATTGACATGGGTTGGTGTTTGGCACATCTGTGAACATTTACGAATAACAAATAAATATTTCACAAATTAGGGTTTCAGCGAAGATCATTAATTTATATTTAATGAATCACTCTTGAACTAATCATAATAAATTATCAATTAATTGACTATTGAAAAGGGACTAAAGTTTGAAGGTTGTGTTCCAAAGTTGAAAAATAAATGGTTGTTGTATTAGTACTTTAAGCACAAAATAAACACCAATGTCCTATGGCGAAGTTATGTAAATAGATTGATAAGTAAGAAAACTAACTGTTTAAGAAAACTATGAGCAGCCGGCCTAAATCAATTTGAGAACAGTTTTTTTCAAGAAGTCTATTATTTCTACAGTATAGACGCTGACTAGGTTAGAACAACTTACAAGTCTTTACAGCTGACTGTTGAAAAGTTGTTTACATTTTGTAGCCCCAGATATTTCATTCAAGGTTAACCAATCAAAGTTAACCAATAGAAATTAGATAAATTATACACACCCATTCAACTGTACATCTTATTATCTACATTATTTTATCATTCAAATTTTCTCTATTTGTTGAAATATTTATTCACCGTGATATATTTGAATATATTGGAGATTATTTTTTTATCAGGTAACTTATAGAACTAAATCTGCACTGAATGTACCATTTCAGGATTTTGACCTTTCAAATACAAACAAAAATTAAAAAGATAAAAGATTAATAACTGTATTATAAATAAAATGTGATGCCTTTGTAGCAGTGCTTTTGAAATCAAAATATATATTTTATCAGATATACATCTGCCCACTGGCTGATCATATATTAAAAGGGACGTGTTTGGAAAAAAGGGCCTTAATTTTGCCAAATTGATCCATGTTAAGGCCTTTTCAAAAGAGCACCAAAGTTTCAAGCATTTTTGTTTTGGCATTTGCATTTTGGCCACCCCTTGTGAATATCTGGGACTACCCTTGCTGCAACTTCTTTTTACATTGCTGAACAGGTTCGGTGATAAGATGTCTGGAGGAACAATGTAGGAATGTACACATATAATGTTTATACCGTTATATTGTTGTTTGCTTGCAGTAACATACCCTTTGGATCTTACCAAGACGCGACTGCAAATACAGGGGGAACATGGGTTGAATGGGGAAATTGCTGCAGTGCGGAGGGGAGTCGTCGGCACTGCTGCGGGAATAGGTAAGCATTTAAGAAATGTTTGCGTTTTTAAGGAGAATTTTACTAAAAAAAGAAATTCCAGAAAAAATTAATTGAGCAATAGTTATATTTCTACTCTGTATTTTGTTAATAGAAAATCATGATTACGCATATATTATTTTGCCAAACACAAGTGGTGACATATTGTTATAATCTACAACTTTTTGTGTTTGGTATTCAGTGGGTGGTGGTTGGCGTCTGATATTCGCTGTCTGTAACAAATGGCGGGTAGTGACTAATGCTTTGAATGATTTTGTTTTTCAGTCAGGGAAGAAGGGATATTAAAAATGTGGCAGGGAGTCACACCAGCATTTTGCAGACATTTTGGTAAGTCATAAGTGACACACAATAAAAGTTAAGATATTTCCAAATTTCGATATAAAATAATGAATAAAGAAAAAATTAGATTGTTGAACAAATCTTTATATTTCATAAACCTCTTATGCATATGAAACATGGGCACGCAAAGATGAAGAAAGAAAACACCCTCATTTTACAGTATTTATCAACAGTAATGTGATCTAAAATAAACAGCAACTTGAAGCACAAGCTTCCTTCTCTCAAAGGTTGCTGTTATGTAAAGAGTTGTCTTTAGATAATTGAGACTTGGTGGATGAAACCCAGTGTTATTGAATTTGGCTAAGAACTTTAAATGCAGGTTCTATATTTTTGACAAAAACTTTAAATCAGAGAGATTGCTGCTGTTGCTCGTATTCAAAATGTTAAAGAAATGTGGCACCTTCTATTTATTTTTCTTGCAATTTTCTTCATACTGATTGAACAAATGAGTTTGTGTTTCAGTATATACTGGATGCAGAATGGGATTTTATGAAATATTACGAGAACAAATACTGGGTAAAAATGCTGATGGCACCTTTCCTGTTTGGTAAGTCTAATTGAGAGTATTAGATTCAATGCCAGTATCTGTAAATAGAAGTTTGAGTATGCTACAGGTTTATCTTCAAGATTAGGTATAAAACTCCCAAAACACAAGGTATAACATCCCCCCCCCCAAATTCGATTCTCGCTAGACCTCCCAATATGAATTATTCAAATTAACAGAAACAAATTCTGTAGAAATCATTTATGCTGATGTGAGTAATAAAGCTGAAAATCTGAAAGAATGTTGAAATGTAGTATTGAGGTCTGTTTTTCTATAAATATATTGCAATGGTAAGGGATCATCTTAACAGGCAACTGAAACATGGTAGTTTCGTTTATATGTTTATAAATAGATGCATGTCTGTTCATAATACCCTTTGGAAAAGTTTTGATTTGTTTTTCTAAAAGAGAGATTCATCTACACTCTTTGAATAAGAGGTAATCCTTTGGTTTAGCCTCCAGTCTTAGCCAATCAGATTTGGTTGATCATAAATGACCTAACCAGAGGATTGAAGTCACATAATTTTATACCTTTTTATATAGGTAGTATATCTCATATTTCATAGCCTGACAAAAGTTCATTAAAGCTTTTTTTGGGCCATTAGGTCCTATAAGCTTCAAAACTATTAAATTCTCTGTTTTAAGTCAGAGAGTAGTTATTGTTTTAGCCTCTGGGTTTCAGGGTAGTCTGTTGCATTGATAGCCAGTTAGCTAGACATGATATATCAAATTTCAGCCAATCAGAACACAGTACAATAATCTACATTCTTAAAATTAGAAATTTTTAGATTCAGTAAAATTGATTACCTCCATTAAGTTCAAGTTGACAGTTTAACTTGATAGATTGAGTTTAATATATAAGGGTTATGTACTGGGAGGTTTTGGATATAGGGTATATCCTGGGGGATATGTTTATATCTCCCCGAGGGACCGAAGGGACCAAGGGGAGATATAAATATTTCCCGAGGGATATACCCTATATCCAAAACCGACCGTACATAACTGGTGTATCTCATACTTGAGTGGGTTTGGGGTAGAAATAACCTTTACCATCTTTTTCAAATGACAAGATAGGCCTATACTGTAAAAGCACAATTTATATTTAACATTTTCATAATATTCTCTCGGCTCAATACAATAGAATTGTAACATTTAACATTTTTGAAAAAATTTCTGAAATTAACTTTTGAAAAAATTCCCGGGAGCGGGATGGATATACTGTATTATATCTGCCCGCATTTGGCCTAGAGCGGGACATATACAATATATCCTGCCCGCTCCTCAGATATGATATATATTCCCGGGTGATATCTACCCCAAACCCACTCAAGTATGAAATACATAATTTTATGCAAATTTGTATTCATGTCCAGACTCGCTTGTTTCAGGAAGGCTGTATTAGGGGGCCTTACGGCAGGTGCATTGGGTCAATTTCTCGCCAGTCCTGCAGATCTAGTCAAAGTGCAAATGCAGATGGAAGGAAAACGAAGATTAGAAGGAAAACCTCCAAGGTTTAGTGCTTTTCTCTCTACATTTATTTCCACTTTTTCAATTATGGCAACTTCATTGAAATGCTTCCATAGAGTTTTATTTTGTACAATTTTTGTTTGAGATGGTTTTCTGAAACATTTAGATGCAATCGTGTATTTTTCATACATTTAAACAATGCACTAGAAGATATTATGAAAGAACATTTACAAAGGACAGTTTTTATTAATTTCTTGTTTTAAAACATTTCTCTCCATCTGCTATTGTATGTGTTGTTGTTGTTGCAATGTCCTAACACTCTTCATATTCCAGAGTGAAAAGCGCTTGGCATGCCTTCCGAAAAATTTTACAACAGGGGGGCATCAAAGGACTTTGGAAAGGCTGGGTACCTAATGTACAAAGAGCAGCTTTAGTAAATATGGGAGGCACGTATCTATGACAACTGGCAAATGTCACCATAGCAACCAAATTTTGTATGTCATCATAACAACAACATGTTGTTAGAAACACAATACTCCTCCTAGTTAATATTTAAAGTGAAAGGATGGACTCCTATTCATGGCAATAATACAGACAAACTGCATATACTATTGGGTCCTTCGATATACTAAATATCACATATCGATATACTAAATATCACATATTGTGGGATCCCTTATACACATACTTTTAACAACACAAAAAAATTTCCATCTTAGCGCTGTTATTTTAAGTAATTAAACTGGTATCTTCTCAGCTATCCTTTTACTGATCTATCCCTACAATAAAACAACTTGGTTGTTATTAGACTATAGGTTGTTCTGATCTACTCTCTAGTAATGCAAATGTGTTGAAAAAATCAATTTTGAAGTTGATTAAAGTTTTTGTTTTTTTTCAGATCTGGCCACATATGATTCAGCGAAACATTTTATTCTCAGGAATACACAGTTAGATGATAATTATATAACTCATACACTATCTAGGTAAGTGTTTACTCAATAATTTTCAGGATCCTGAATAAGTCTGTTATAGTCTGAAAACATATTACATATTTGATACAAGGATACATTATAAAGTACGTAATAGAAAATATGTTAGTATCAAACTGGTTTCTTCAGTTTATTAGGTTTAACTTAACATACTTGTATTTGCTGAATGAGTATTTTTAAAAGTAAAAGTGGTACTCATGAAAATATTGAATGTTCACACAGGAAACGATTGTGTTTACTATGAGATATATGTTGTTGTTGTCGTTGATTATTTGTGAAATACTTGTTGGACGGTAGAGTTAGCATATTATTCATATTAGATGAAAGAAACTATAAATTTAGAAGATTCTTTTACATCAGGGGCCCTTTGTAGAAATTATATGTTCTCACTTTTTTCTCATTTTGGTTCACATGGTAAGCCTATGGAAATCAATACTGGATATAAAAGTCAATCAACACTCCTTCCAAACATCCATTAATAATTCATGGACAAACTAAAACTGGCTCAAGGAGGATTGGCTCCCACTGGGCTCCAATTCAATATTTTAATCTCCAAGCAATTTGTTCAGTGCTGGTTTCTTTAGTCAAGGTTTGCATGAATGAACTGCTAGGAGAATGGCCAATATTCTAGCGACCTTATTGTCTGACATTACAACTGGCTATTTATTTATAGCTATAAATTCATAATCAGTGTTCCAAAAGATTTGAACTTATATGGCGGCTGTTTCAAATTTTGTAATCAAGACATACACTTGTATGTGTCATCCAAACTAATATTTATATCCATTTTATTGAGTTCCATTACAGTAACTTACACCATTGGTTTTGGCTCCTACTTTTACCATGTTTTGAAAAAAGACTTTTTGACATTAAAATCTAAAGATCACCATGTGAGCCCATGAAATGGTGTTATTTTTCATACTCATATCATTTCATAATTATCTCACTTGCTGTGTTGTTTGTAGCGCATGCTCAGGTCTCGTTGCGGCCACTCTGGGTACACCCGCAGATGTCATTAAAACGCGTGTCATGAATCAACCTGTTGATAAAAATACTGGAAGGTAATGGACCCCTTCAAACCAGCACAAGCAGACCCCATCAACTCTACATAAACAGAACTTGTAATATTTATGGATGTGTTAAGAGTATATTTCACAAATCCTTTCTTTTGTGGATGCAACATTTAGCAGTTATTCTAATGAATAGGAAGCGTACATAAACTTACAAGCTCTGTTACCTTTACCCTATATTTGTTTTTTTGCTAACTTAGGTAGCATCCGCGAATTCAACTATCAGCTGACGGCTTGACCTCCAACTCAAAGATAATCTGCATATTGATTAAACTCGTTATTTTGAAGTTGCAATAACAATAGACCATCGGTCAACTAACAGTGATCACATGACATTTTATGCCACCATAACATGCTGCATTTATAATAAAGTCTCTCATTGAATGAGTTGGCCATAAAATTGCAGTCAAACCAACAGTCGGCAGTTGACTTCGCGAATGCTATCTTTGTTAGATTTGTAATTTTCATCTTTTCTTCCTTGCTTTATGGGGTCTCTTAAAGCTTTTTATTTCCTCTCCTTTAAGCACAATACAGTGGAGACGATAACCCCATTTAACGTGAAGTACGGCAATTGCCATGTTGCACGACAATTGACGTGAAATTATGACGCATAAGTGCGCATGTCAATAGATAATAACGGCAATTGCCGTCATGTCCGTCAAGTGACGTGCAATATTTTGCACGGCAATTGACGTGCAAACTATTATCTTGTAAAAGTTTCACATATTATCGGCAGGACAACAGGCAGTTATAAACTGGGAAACTAGGCTAGTGGGTAAATCATGATCTGCATCGTATGTAATACAGTAGTTATAATCATAAACATTTGCTATTGTCCGGGTTGCATTTTGAACTAACAACTATTATCATGTGCTTACGTCAATGTTTACTCGAAATATTTATTCAACAGCAAACCGGAAGTAAACAAATGATCGAAACGAACGAACTTAAATTTAATCTACATATCGAAAATAAGAAAAAATCTGCATTCGGTGCTCTTGCGGGCATAAACAATTTCACTTCCAGCAAATCGGGCTGTAGCCAAGAGGTATTCACCATGCTGTACAAAGCGTTGGTGATACCGCACTTCGAAACCAGCATTAGTGCTCTGGCTGCAGTTACCGAGAAAGCTGTTTCTGCCTATGCACCAGTCCAGAGGGCAGCACTACTTAGAGCAACCGGATGCCTCAACTCAACTAGCACTGACTCATTAGAAGTACTGGCTGGTGTACTACCGCTTGATATTTTACTAAGAAGCAGGCAGGCTCAAGAGGGTGTGAGAATAGCTACCCACACTGAGTCAGACCCCATTGCCAGGGAATTTTTGAGATGGGGTGGGTCATCTCAAACTGAGAAGACCCCCTCCTGCTTTAATATCATAACAGCCAGACTGAGACTTCATAGATGCCCCACACAACCTAACAATTATATACAGCACTATTACCATCACCAGGATGTAGACATCTTCCAACCTACGAAGGCAACCATCCATGACGAAGATTTTGCCAACACAAAGTCCGCCCAAAGTGTTCGAATAAGCTCAGTGCTTAGTGAACAGCCGGACGGTAGGACTATAGTCTTCACAGACGGGTCAGCCTATGGGAATCCTGGTCCTTCGGGAGCTGCTGCAGTGGTTTATGTGGGTGGACTTAAATCTACACCTATATGTCTTGAGCAACCAGTCTCCCTCATAGGTAACAACTATTATGGGGAAGTGGTAGCAATAAAGATGGCGGTAGAATATCTGACAACCATAAAGACTAGCAGCAACATCCTGCTCTTGTCAGACTGCCAACCCGCTATAACAGCATCTTTTATTACTACCAAGTGTAAAAGCATCACAGAGGACATCATTGACACAAGGAAAGCCTGCAAACTGCTATCTTTACAGAACAAAACCTTAGAAGTCTACTGGGTCCCAGGACACCAAGGGACAGAAGGGAATGAAGTTGCGGATAAAACTGCCAAGAAAGCAGCATTGGCAGCCAAATCTCTCACTGACTGTAAAACATCTAAGTCTGTAGCTTATAATAATATCAAATGTAACGCTTTAGAGAAATGGCAAAATAGGTATAACAACTCCACCAAGGTGAACTTTGTTCAGGAATTAATTCCTAAGGTTAAATTGAAAAGTCCAATTGTAAAGACAGGAACTAGGTATTATAGAAATATATGTAACCAAATTATTTCTGGGCACACCCGTTTACATGGCCATCACCATAGAATTAACCCCGATATTTTATCTCCCAACTGTGACCACTGTAACATACCAGAGACAGTTGAACATTACATCTTTGCTTGCTCTAAGTTCCAGGAAGAGAGGGAGATTCTATTGGCCAAAGTGCAACAGATACTACTAGGAGCTAAATACAATCCAGCTCTAGACCTACAAACAATCACAGGACTCAACACAAGCCTGGACCATAAGTTAAATAAAGAAATTATGAAATGCCTGCAGGCATTTATACAGAAATCCAAGAGATTTTAATAACTTATTTTTAACTCGAGTGAGATAGTGACTCTATTTTAACATCTCATTTTAATGGAAAAACACTTGCATTTTAGACTACGTTAGATAACAAGTTTTAGCGCTCTCTCTCCCAACAGAAGTAAAATAAGCACAAGTGAAAAGTACAAGTGATATTTTTAGTACATGAGTTTTAAAAACAGCAACAAGTGATCAAAGGCAGCATAATAATGCCAAAGTGATCCCGGAACACCTCATAAGGAACACTGAAAAGGACTAAGAAGAAGAAGAATCGAAAGAAAACTAATACATTCTGATCTAATGAGGATAGGAATTTAAATTGTTCAAAATTCATTTAAGGTAATCATTTGATCATTGTAAAGAAGGTTTAAAACTAAATCCAGCCAGAAAAAACGAAAAAATCGGCAACACACCGAGGTCAGGAAAACACTTCCGGTCAAAAAGAAGAGGGAAAGTAGACCCCATTTTAGTGATTTCCAGTGGTCTTTTCTCGGAATTGGGGCTCACGTTGTGTTAAGAGATTAAAATAACATTGGGTCAGTACCAATTTTGTCATAAAACCCGTCGGAAAGACGATATCTAGACAATTGAAGGAGTATTAGTAATTCCAATATGGCGTTTTTCTAGGATTCGTGAGAGGTAACTTTGATTAGTTCTAGCGCAAAATTCCCACATAGGATCGCGAATTCCTGCATACAAGTGCTAGATTAGATTAATTACTTGAAGAAAATGCAATAAAAAGCGTTCCATCGATCGATTTAGACTTTCCAAGAATGCAAGTTCGGTGGTGACTTCATTGGTTCGTAACATTGACAGAAAATTCACAAGATTGAACGGCATTTTTCTCCACAATTTTGGAATGAAATACTTCCCTGGGATTTAATATATCATTAATGTTTACCAAAGTATATGTACTATAAAAGATATATTACTTAGATTGTATATATATTAAACACTAGGTCTTCTAATTAACCTGGTGTTTAAATTATGAATTACAATGGACATTATGCTTATTGGCGTGATTCACGTCAATTGACGTGCAAAATGTCAATCTCCGTGTTACACGTTAAATGGGGTTATCGTCTCCACTGCAATAACAAACAATGATGACATTTGTTCTGTTTTGTTTTTCAGCCATATTGAATCTCAGAGACCATAATACCAAGAAGTTCTATGATTTTGATGTACAGGATGCAACATAAGGATGCCAGGCCCATTTGGTCAAAACTGAAATATACTTTTTCTGTCAGTCATGCTGATATATCAGTAGTGCTTATTGCTACACCAACAGTTAAATGTACAGTAAATGAAATAAGTGAAGACTAAAATGTCTTCATGTTTCATTGTACATTTTACCCAGGTGATTCTAAAACTTATTTTCTCAATACAGATTCCCTCTGATGAGCACCAAAGACTCAGCTATGTGCATTGCAAATAGGAACACATCCCTTTTGAATAAAACCCATATTTAATCCCTCCCAGTAAATACTATCTATTTCTACCTATTTGCCAGTGCCTGTTCAGGAATGGTGTCAGCAAGTCTCAGTACACCTCTAGATGTCGTCAAAACTCGTATAATGAACCAACCAACAGATGTACACTCCAGGTAGTCGATGCAAACTGATGTTGTAATTGTTATGTACAGGGTGGGCCAAAATGTTCTCCAGATTAATATTTAATATGCTACTTGCTCAGATATAAAGATTTCTTAATAGTTGACTGGACAAGACCCCTTGTTTCAGCTCTGTCCATCTTCAATTTCGAGAATAAAAGAGGCAATTTATAAAACTTCAAAACCCCTCATCATGTTGTTGGACCAGAATTTGAACTGAAATATCTGCAAAAAATTGACTGAATTTCTATTGAAATTCCCAAAATGAGAGGTGTTCTCAACTTTTTGGCCAATCCTGTAATGTTAAGGAAGATTTTAACCCCAGTTAGTTATTTCCCTAGTCCTCTTTAGACTACTTAGCTTCTTTTGTATCCTAAACTTGTACTTCTTCCCATGATTATTTTGTTTTTATAAAAACACACTTTAGGTTAGCCTCTTTGGGCACTTGCTCTGAAAATTTACTTTTTGCATCATCAAATATGGAAATATGGAAAATATTTGATTTTTTAGATCAAATTTGAAAGTCAATGTAACGAAATATATTTCAAATATAGTACATGTAGTTGATAAGTTGAAGCTAAAATTAAAACGTTTTCAATTAGTTTAATTCTAGTTGAAATATAATTAACAGAATCAGTATATGAATATGCTACATGTATGCATTCATTCAAGGGGTCCATATTTACATGAATAAAAGGTATTTTTCTTCTCTTGCAGGGGTCTCTTATATAAAGGTTCAGTGGATTGTTTGATGAAAACAATAAATAAAGAGGGATTCTTTGCCCTTTATAAAGGCTTTATTCCAATATGGGCTAGAATGGTAAGTAATATCTGCAAGCATTAATGATTTCTGAATATTTAAAATTGTAATATAAAATCTCTTCAAGACTCGATCAAGGATCTGTGTCAACTAAAGCAACAATTGGTGTAAGGGAGAGTGTGTTAATGTTGATAGCAATCTTATGCTAATGTTTCACTATAAGCATGGCACACTTTTGGTAGAAGGTGGCCATTTTGAAAAATGCCCGCAATTTTGTTGTATACTTTGTTTGTAAAAATGCCAGCAATGGCTGTTCGATGGGATTTGCTACGCTTTGGCGTTGCTGTTGTCTAGTTATTAAAAATTTATTTACTATTATTAATTTATTTCAGGCACCATGGTCATTGACATTTTGGTTATCATATGAGGAGATACGTCGAATAGCAGGGACGTCATCATTTTGATAGTCATACACGTCCTAATATCATGTAAATCTACAGGGAACATTTAGCTAATAAATGAATGAATCTAGAGTTTTTCTGATATTCAGAAACACACTTAGGAGATATAAACTAGATAAAACAAGGCCCATGCCAAAAGGACATCATCAAAGAAATATGTGCTCACAGACTTTAACAAAAGTTTGAGTGGAAGGAGAAATTCACATAGAAAATTGTTATTGGAATCATCTACACTGTTGCTCATATTTATGGAAATATAGTGAAAATGAATTTATTCTTAAGATGAATCTAATAGTCCATGAATATGAGCTATGGTGTATTTTTTGTAATGTGAATATTGATACCCCCACATTGTATAAGGGCATTTCTGAAAAGGCAATATGGGCATCTTTAAGCAGTTACATACTGAATATGTAGTTTATCACACGGTATTGAGTTTCAAAAATGAGTGTAAAAATTGCCAAAGCACTTAAAATGATACATTGGCAATATACTTGTACTAGTAAAATACTAGCAATATACTGGAAATAGTCTGGTAATATACTGGCAATATATTGGTAATATCAATTAACTGAGGTTATACCAGTAACATACTGACAATATACTGGTATTATACTGACAATATACTGGTATTATACTGACAATATACTGGTATTATACTGACAATATACTGGTATTATACTGACAATATACTGGTATTATACTGACAATATACTGGTATTATACTGACAATATACCAGTAATATACATCTATAGAAAGCTGCCAGTGTCATTTCTCTCTGTGACACTAACTTTTCAATAAATCAGAAATATTTGTGTGCATTGTTAATACTACAGTTAACTAAGTAAAGTTAATACTGATTTATCATTTAAAATAACTGTTTTAAAAATGTTACAGCAGCAGATCTCATTTACTTTCAATTATAATATTGAAATACATAAATGTTTTGTTTAGCAATTTTATTCATTCCTTGTCATATGTTTATGAATTGTAAAATGAAATATTAATATCTCATTTCGGATTTTCAAATGTGGAGCATCGGGTTGCATGGCCTTTTATTCAGTGGGCTGTTTGTCTTGACATTTTGTTTAATCTAATTTCTGAAACGCTGTCTACTCCAGCAGTTTTTAAAGATGGCATTATTTCTAAATTATCAGGCATCAAACAATAAAACTTGTGTTGAAAAAATACAATTGTATCAGTGAAAATATAGCATTGAGATGTGTAATATTGAGATAGACAGGAGGAATTGTCATGGTAACATTAAATAAAACATTTCTACCTGCAAAATACAGTAAAACATGAATTATTAATCTTGCAAATATGTCTTAATTTCTTTGGGTCAGGATTTATTGGAAATGTCTATTCTTTGGGCCTCTCTACCAACTTCAGCCATGATTAGGTGTGAGTGTTTTAGTGGGAAGGATTTACAAGAGGTCATGCAAGATTTTTTCCACTAACAAGATGTGTAAACTGATTTATCGATGAAGTGCCATAAATGCATGTTAAAGCAAAATAAGTATAATGATTAACGCACAGAAACAAATCTTCATTGTAACACTGTATTAGAATTTATTTTCGAAATAAAACTGCAATAAACTTTTTATACTGAAGTTATATCGATTTTGTGTTAATGTCATCTTGGTCTTTGATATTTTGGTTACTATGGTCCCTTATTATATCATTGTTTACAATAGTCCCTATATTTAAATGATTGTTTGCAATCGCCCCTACATTACAGTGTCTAGTTGCCATGGTCACTTAATCACACCAATGTTACCATGGTCACTACATCGCAGTAATTAGTTGCCATGGTCACTACATCACAATGTTAGTTGCCACGGCTCCAAATTATCTCAATATTTTAATTGTTTGCTACTGTGCGCCTGATCCAAGGCATGAAAGATGTAATTCTGGTGTAAACGTTGGGGGCTTCTCTCTCCTGGCACCCTGCTGCTCCAAATGATGTACACCCAGCTAGGGTCCAACCACTGGACTTCTTACATATCAGTGGACCACCAGAGTCTCCCTGTGATACATTGGAAATAAGTCATTAGCTTGTATTCGTGAATGCAACTAACGCCTGTCGGCTACCGGATAAATCTACTATTTTATGGGTAGGCCTAACTCATTTAAAGGGGTATTCCTTGCCAGACCATCTCTCTCCTAATATGGTAGCTATAACCATACATACTTTGCAAGTTTATCAAAAAACAGAAAAATGTTTTGAAATGGTCAATATTGATCACTTAATAATGTAGTGCTCAATTCCAGTAGGCTGCCATCTTTTAAAATTTCACTCAGGAAGTGATGTCATCGACTCTCAACTTTGCATATAACATTAGGTAAGGGGCTATTAGAATTACTAAACCAGCTGAATATTTTTTTCAATTTGGTCTATGATTAAAATCCTTTTGATGATCTCTTCTTTAGTTCTAAGTTGAAAACTCCTGAAAATATTTTTACACAGAAGATAAGGGCTTCTTGTTTAGAAGTGATTTTGTACTTCTTTCCTATACTGTAATAGACAAGGTTATAAAAGGTGAGAGTCGATGACATCACTTCCTGAAAGAAATCTGAAAAGATGGCAGCTTACTGGGAATGAGTACTACATTTTTAAATGATCAATATTGACCATATGAAAAATTTTTCCTGTGTTTTGCTAAAAATGTAAAGTATATATATGATTGTAGCTACCATATCAGGAGAGAAATAGTCTGGCAAGGAATGTTCCTTTAAGTATGAATAGTACCTGCCACTATTCCATTCATATTTGAATGATTTGGCCATAAAATAGTATGTTAATCCCATAGCCAGCAGGTGTTAGTTGCATTTGCGAATACAAGGTAAGTGAAAGTTTACAATACAAATATTATTAAAATAATTTAATATGCATTACTAAAATGGCCTCACATGATGTAAAAAATGAGATGAAGGTTGTAGCCAATGGTGTATCTTTAAACAACATGGACCCACATAAAGTGGATATGATCATTAGTCAAGACAATAGACAGTTTGTATTTGTTTGAAAATTGTTGAAAGATGAATTGAAGACCAGGTTATTCAATTGGATCGCTATGTAAGCTAAAAGTTTGGTACATAGAATGGTAGAAAAGTAATAAAAACGAGGATATGTATCCATGCTAATCACTTTAAAAATAGATTCCTCTTTGTCTGAAGAAGCAACATGTTATACAGTTAATTCACTTCAATGTTAATAATTGTTCTCACCCTACAAGCTCCAGGGACCCCCATTCCTACACAGATGTGGCTTTCCTTGATGAGTCCCACACGTCCAGACCCCTTCTCCCAATAGTAATCACAATCTGCATTAGTTGTAATGTTGAGGCTTACCTCATTCAGTTTTCCCATAGGACCTGTACCTATAAAAGAATCGCAATAAACAGAGATGTACAGATTAACAGAAAGACTTGTCTGATCTGAACGCCACTGGGATCGGCCAAACTTGTTTGGATTTGACAGCTCGAGGTTCCTTAATATGTGAAGGTTCACAATAAGGACCTGTACATATTAAAGAATTGCAATAAATATTAGACATGCAGTTAAACCTGTCTTATCTGAATGCTACTCGGATCGGAAAAGTGTTTGGATATGGCATGGCAGGTGTTTCGAGGTTCCCTATATCTGAGTCAGTAAAAAGGGTTCACATATGACCTGTACATAAAAGTAAATCACAATAAGCAATTGACCTTCAGTAAAACCTGAACCCTACTGGAATCGGCCAAAAGTGTTTGGATTAGCAGGTGTTCACATTTCAAGGTTTCTTTACATGTGAGTCAATGAAAAAAAAGTGTTCACAATGAGGGGTTTGTGTGTACAGTTTTTATTTTTGTAATGTTAAGACTTGCACACTGGGCACCTCATTTTGCATCAGTTGCATAGAGATGAATTTCATAGCTGACTGTGTTAATGATCTAACTTCTGTCTGGCTCTCTCCTTTACTGATACAGTCAGCATTTGATGTATGTTGGCTATAAGACCTGAAGACCTACCCAATGTTTCTCCCCATCCTAGTATATAGCAGGAATCACTAGGTGTGAACTGTTCAGAGTCATCAGGCAAGCAGATTGGTTGTATGTACTGGTTGAATGTGATTGGTTCACTCAGTTTCAAGATGGCGATATCATTGGGGGATCCCTTGATGGTGGTGCTGTAGTCCTCATGCTAAAAAATGTGTAAAATACGCCTGTGAATTGGGAACTTCAATAGAGTGGAACACAAAGCCACAAGATGTTGCATACTTGAAAAAGAAGAATCCTATTCTCCAAGTTACTTTCTTTTTGATCTACTCAAAATATACTATCTAACTGTTAAAAGGAGTGCCACTTACCAAATAGGATTTTCATCTAAATGTCAAAGGGAGTCTCACTGTCCAAAAAATGATTCTCATCAAAATGTTAAAAGGAGTGCCATTCACCACAAATGATTCATCTCTTAATGTTAAAGGGAGTGCCATTCACCACAAATGATTAAAAAAAACTCTTAAAGTTAAAGGGAGTGCCATTCACCACAAATGATTCAACTCTTAAAGTTAAAGGGAGTGCCATTCACCACAAATGATTCATCTCTAAATGTTAAAGAGAGTGCTGCCTACCACAATCCATTTTTCTAGGGTAGCCACAACTTCATTGCCATTCACAGTACTCTGGTCATGGCCTCCTAGCACAACCTTGAAGCTGTTTGTAGTACTCCTGCCAATCAATAAATCAATCAATCAATCAATACAAGTAAGCTGGTGAAATGCAGGGGCTTGTTAGGTTTTTGTCCAAAATCTGTAGAACACCTCAAAGTATGGATCTCTTCAAACTAAGGTTATTGCATTTGTTAAATCATATTGTTATAATGTGACACAGCTGCAGTTAAACTGGTCAAATGGAACACCTCCTAAGTGGGTCATGTTTTGGTAGATCCAAGGGCATTTCACTTTAATTCATAGGTTAAACTGAAAATCTTATGTGTCCAATTGTTAACAGTGATGGCATAATTATGCGATAAATAGGCCTACTAGAAAAGAGTACCTCCTAAGTGGGATATGTTTTGGTAGATTTATTTTTTTATTTATTTATTTATTAATTATCCTCATTCATTACATAACATTTACAAAATCTTCAATCACCAAATACATGCATGGCATTATAGAAGAATTGATGGAACTTAATGAAATATAATATAAGGAGCAATGTTAACAGTAGTTTTGGGGTTGTGTGGGGGGGTGCTTGGCGTGGGAAACAGTTACTGGAGATAAAAGATGTTTAAGGAGGGAAAATCATATATTGGCTTTTATAAAGGAAGCTAGCCTGGTCATCATTTTCGAATTAAGTTCGATAGAGATTTCAGTTGAGCCATATTTCAGAACTTCAAGATATTTATGCTGAGAGATTTGCCTGTCAAAAATTTCAGGGATCAGGTTTTTCAGGTATTGATTAAATTCATCCCTAGCATGTGTCAAAAGAGCACAGTGGAAAAAGAAGTGTTTAACTGTTTGTGGATGTCCACATGAACAGTTTGGGTTGTCAATATTGCTAAAGTTATGAGCATATAGTTGGGCCTTAAATAAAAAGTCGGCCCTGAATTTATTTACTATTATCTCATGGCTCCTTGTGAGGTTCAGTTTGCTGGTTGTGATGACATTTATTGGATTTTTGAAAAGCAGTTTTTGATGTTTCTTGAAATTCTGGATAGTAGCTTTACTCTTTAAAGTATTTGGCAGGGCTAACCAGTTGGAGATTGCAGAGGGTACCGCTGAATTTCTGTACCGTTCAGAGCATTTTGGTATAATGAACTCATCAGTGTTACGCAAGTTTCGAGTTTCTGGTTTTTTGAACTTATCAAATATGTCCTCAAGAAATTTAGGGTTAGGACCATGTACTATTTTGTACATAAAGTTGTTTATAAACATTTTTCTTCTAGTGTCAAGAGATGGCCATTGAAGTAGCGTTAGTACTTTATCTGTGCTGCTCCCGTGAATACAACCTGAGCAGTAGATAGCAGCTTTATAATATAATCTATCGAGCCTTTGAAGTAGATATTTGGAAGAACTATTGTAAATGATGGTACCATAATACCATAATTTTGGTAGATCCAAGGGCATTTCACTTTCATAGGTTAAACTGAAAATCTTATGTGTCCAATTGTTAACAGTGATGGCATAATTATGTGATAAATAGGCCTACTAGAAAAGAGTACCTCCTAAGTGGGATATGTTTTGGTAGATCCAAGGGCATTTCACTTTCATAGGTTAAACTGCAAATCTTATGTGTCCAATTGTTAACAGTGATGGCATAATTATGCGATAAATAGGCCTACTAGAAAAGAATACTAACACTCCACTTTTGGCGATACAATGGGCAGCAACAAACTGATTGTCAATACAGGAATATATAGCCTACCTTCAACTCCATTGAATACAAATGCTTCGCTAGTTATGTAATACTTATGCGATAAATACTAAAAAGAATACTAACACTCCACTTTTGGCAATACAATGGGCAGCAGTGACAACAAACTGATTGTCAATGAGAGAGCCAGTGCAATGATGCTTCCAGTCATTCCAGCCAAAGTAGTCAAGGTAGAGGGACACAGCCCAGGGCCAGGAATGAGGAGTAGCTTCTCTACCTGATACAATGTAGCCCAATGGTGCTTGGCCACAACCTGGAACATTTGGAGCAGTTAAGTTACCGGGGACCAAAACCATAGGTCCCTGATCATTTGTCATTGGAGCATTTATACAGGGTGATACAAAAATGCAGCCATCTGATCTTGGAATATTTAAAATTAAATTATTTAATCTCAATTAAAATGGTATCTGGATGATAAATAAGTGTAGATAGTGTTCAATATGTGATATGGTGGTATACATGTACCATCAACAACTATTGCAATTGAAGCAAATAGTAAGTTTTCTTTCTTGACATGCTCAAATGTAAAATTGTTCAATAATATTCAAAGTGTTATCATTTTCTGAATTTGGAATTTCTGTTATTAATTGGTAAAAGAATATGTTAAAAAAAATATTCCAATGTTTCCTGGATTGAACACTAAAACTGAAAATTCCATCATAATTGAGAGTTGAGAATTGAATTTTTTATTTTTTGTTTTATATATCTCAAATTAAATGGACCATATATTTGGAGGCAGGATCTGGTCTTTTTGAGTAAAACTGAAATGGTCCTTGAGATAAAGACTCCTTGAAAAACATACAGAAGAGTGACTTAGTTTGTACACATACACATAGTTTGTTGATGACTTCTGAAAAGCACATGTAGCCACAGACTAGCACCTTACCAGACTGAATAGCAGGTGTTGTCTTTTCTGTTCCCATGGATGTTGTACCCTCTGTACCCACAGTGGTTGTCTCTCCTCCAGGTCCAGCAGTGGAAGTCTCAACAGTACTGGGGGTAGATGGACTGTCAGTGGCTTCAGTGGAGGTTGTACCTTTTGTACTGGTGGACCCAGAGCTCTCACAACAGGTGAGGTAAGTTGGGTTGCATTTTGTGCGATAATTAAGCCTTGTTGCGCAAGGATCAAAAGCGCCATCTATACAAGTTCCCCCAGATTTACAGCATTCATCTCTGTAGTGACAGCCAGACTCATCTGTTGGTAAAAAGTGAAATTCAGATATAAGAACTACAGACTCAAATTAATTCAAAGTAACGTTAATTCATCTTAAGAAATTGACCCAATTTTTCAGGGATATTTAACTTCAGAAAACAACTTACATAACGATGTGATATCAATTTGACAGGTTGACACTTTAAAAACATCTCAAATAACATATTAACTATTAAAGATTACTATTGTGCCATATAACACATCTATATTGCTAGAAGATTCATAATTGACATTGAAATTCAGATTTGACTTTCAGGGACCTTCAAAAGGTCAAAAAAGGTCAAAAAGGAGTTTTTACAAATCATTTATTTGGAGTCATATTGATCTTTTGAGACATTAAAAGATCCAAAGATCAGCCATCAAATGGTCGATCTCATATATGGTTTGTGTCTCTGATTTAAAACAAATTTAATGTCTAAGTCTTTAAAGGCCCCATATAAAGTTTAAACCACTTTGGCTTATATTGTAGTCTTCCCCAATGTTATCAAAGTGTGATATGTGAAACTTTTTTTTTTAATTTCAAAAATTGGTTTTTGATAGAGTTTTTGTTCCAAAATTTGTGAATTTATTTAGAACCAACTTTTAGAGGTCACTCATATCTTCTAATTAGCCACAATTCATACCAATGTATAGCATTCATCCTCCCATGTTTTTTGCCGAAAAAATTAAGAAAATCGGTTCATAAATAAGCGAGAAATGAACTTATCAGTGCATGAAAATGGTTCTGAGAAAAATACATTTCAAAATTTTAGTTCTCATAGAAACCAATGGTACAATGATATCTAAAACATAATTTATTCTTCCTTTTGACCTGGTCAGACAATCAACATTGGTTTTTTATGAAAGTCTAACATATTTAGAAAAGATTGACATCGAAAAAAAAATTTCAATTTTTTTCAAAAAGTTTTTGGTACCTTAGTGACATCACTAATGTTTCAAAATATTTTTGATATGCTAAAACATTGAAGTGGCCCATTAAATATGGCATTTTATTATAGAAATAGTGTGTCCTTTGTTGAATCTTTGCATTGGTGTTAAAAAGATAATCTTTTTTGAAATGTATTAAGAAATATTTGATGATTAAGAAATTTCAACTTTTTTTGAAAAATGGCGGGAAATTTGAATATTTGAGAAATGAAATGCTCACAACTTTTTTTTCAAAATTTATTTTTTGTTCAGAAATCTCTTAAACCACTTTTTAAGTCCTGACAAAAAATAAATGAATGATAAAAAAATATTTTCAAACTTTAGACGGGGACTTTAAGATATTTACCATCCTGTTTCACTTCGGTTGTAGGTTCTGGCTTGGCTGGAGTTGTTTTGGCTGTGACTGTGCTGGCTTGGGTTGTGTTAGCCTGGGTTGTGCTGGCATGGGTTGTGCTAGCTTGAGTTGTGCTACCCTGGGTTGTGCTGGCTTGGGTTGTGCTAGCCTGGGTTGTGCTAGCTTGAGTTGTGCTAGCCTGGGTTGTGCTGGCTTGAGTTGTGCTAGCCTGGGTTGTGCTAGCTTGAGTTGTGCTAGCCTGGGTTGTGCTGGCTTGAGTTGTGCTAGGCTGGGTTGTGCTAGCTTGGGTTGTGCTCCATTTGACTGTGCTTGATTGTGTTGGTGCTGGTCGAGTGGGAGTTGTTTTAACAGTGGGAGGATCGGTCACTTTGGGCAAGCAACATGTTCTGTAGGATGGCCAACATTTCACACGATAGTTGAGCTCAGTTGGGCAGGGATCAAAAGCTCCAGAGATACAGGTTCCTCCAATATGACAACAGTCATCTGTTGGTCTGCAGAGATCTCCACCTTCAATTAAAATGGCACCAATTTTTTGGTGTATTTAAACTGAGCTATGATTCAAGGGAGGTGGTAATTAAAAATGAATATTCACAACAACGAGAATTTATAACATAAGTATTCTGTATCTATTGGTATATGAATGTGATAGTAATGACCAAACTAAATCACTCTACTATACCTAACACCTAGAAATGCATAAGATACTTTGTTTGTCTAATTGTATTGTTTAGTATATTTTTGAAAGTGCCTTAGTAACATCTAACATTCAACTGATAAACCATTAATAAGGAACAGGCAAATAAAACAAATACATAATCATTACTAATAAGCCAAATGGGTTGCTCATGAACACCAAATGCAAGGTATAGTAGAGTGTAAATGGAAATCATAAATGAAACTCAACTTTTTGACTTTGAAAGTTCAAGCCATTTAAGATTCCCCTAATATACAAGTTTCATTATTTAAGAATATGTTTACAGAATCCGCAAAAGGTACAGAAATAAAATAAATATGAAATAAGTTAGAATTGTGAAGTGGTCTCAAATGACTTCAATTAGGCCAATATCAAACTTCAAAATGTTGGAGCTGGAAATCAAGTCAGTGTCAAATTATGTGTCCATTATTAAGGTTACCTGAAACTCAGTGACTGTTATTTTACCTGTAAAATCCCCATTGACCACATACAAGCTCAGCAACAGAACACACGTCAGGGCCCTCATTGTTCCCAAATTCCAAATACATGATCCACCCAGATGATAGGGTGATATTATTCTGGGTCACAGTTACATAATTATAGTGATCATGCAACATTTTAAGGGATATTCTCATGTTCTATCCATACATTAAGTGGTTTATTTTCTGAATAAATGATGTACACAAACATGGACAGTAAAACTTGTTTAATCTGAATGTCACAAAGACCAGCCAAAAGTGTTTGGAATAGCAGATATTCACATTAAAATAAATGGGAGATTATATTTTTTGTGGATTGGCCAATGTGTGAATATTTAATTACATTGCAAAAGAACTGCTTTGACCTGCCCCCTAATCAGATTAGATATTCCACTATCTGAGAGATAACAGGATCAAAGGTCACACATCAAAATATTGTATAAGTTTTACTGATAAAATCTTGTGATATCGATAAAAAAAGATCCATTACCTTGCATTCATTTAATTTATTCTTAAAGTAGCTTATATCAAAGCCAGATACAGTACATGTATAATGTTTTTTTGCATTCGTCCTTTTTTTGTAATGGTTTAATTCTGGTAGAAGATAGGCATGCTGTGTGCATTATGAGTTAATTAATTGTCACATGTCCATGAATATAGGCCTTGTTCTCCATTCATCATTATCTTCTTTCTAGAAAGTTCTAAAAATACAAAAATATCAAGTTAAGTTCTTTAATTGCTTTTTTCAGCAGATGATTTTCTAATAAATATGGAAGTGAAAAATAGATTATTTATTTTTATCATAATATTTATATATAAGATTTGTGAAATAATTACAATATTTACAGCTACTTGCGAAACAGCTCTTAATCCACAGATAAGTAATCTTAACTCCAAAATCAGAAAATTATAAATAATGGTCTAAATGCATTAAGTCTCTGGCTTGATCAACCCTCCTTCCCACTGGCAGATCCAGAAGTTAACAAGGGGGGGGGGAATTTTGAGTTTGCAAAAATGATCTATTTGAGTTGATAAAAAAGGCCTAAAAGCCCAAAAGGTCCATTTTTGAGGCTTAACAAAATCTTTAGACCCAAAAATCTTTGGGGCCCTAAACTTTTTTTCTGGGCCCACAAAAGGGGGGGGGCATGGGCCCCCTGGATCCGCCAGTGCTTCCAGTTTGCTTATCTCCTGGGATGGGATGTACTGCCCATTGGGGAGGGGGTTTACATGGACTTGATGCAAGAATTATCAACAATTACTGAAAATTCATACCTAATAGTTACTTCTAAAATGTTGGTTGAGGCGCTTGGCTTCCCTGGTGGCATATATGTTTTTCTGGGCACTGAGTGGGTGAGCTTGAACCTTTAGGACAGTAGTAACCTACAATCAAAAATACAATTTATATCATTACACCATCAAAAAAAAAGTATGTGAGGCTTCAGCTGGAGAGAATATTACACTTATACATCCATGGACATAGCCAGGCCTGAGGCAGGCGAGGCAATGGCCTCACTAAAATTGTCAAAATAAGTCAAATGTAGTTATATACCTCCTTTAGTTTGAATTTGCCTCATCTATTAATTTTGCCTCAATTAGTTGAAATCCTGGCTACACCCCCGACTACTGCTTTTACAGTTTCAATGGAATAAATGTCTGGCAGTTTTATAACATCAAAATATAGCAAGCATGACAGGTATAATATGAACATACACATGAATTGTTAGCTTATATTCTCTTTTTGATGTGCAATGAAAAGGCAATTAAAATTGTACAAACTAGAACCAGCAATATTCCTATTCAGCAAGTTTTATGTATCATAAAAGAGCAATGAAAAATACAATGTACAAACCAGCAGGGCATGCTGTAGGGGCACCACTGCCTTGGGGACAGAACGTTCCTGTGGGACAGATGGTGTCAACTGGGTTTGGAACAGTAGAGCCTACTGGACAGTAGTAACCAGCATCACATGATCCAGTTGGGGCAGTCTGTCCCATATCTCTACAGTAGAAACCTAAAAACACATGTGTATTTATTACATTGGTATTTTAGATGTGTATTTATTACATTGGTATTTTAGATGTCACAGTATTTATTACATTGGTATTTTAGATGTGTATTTATTACATTGGTATTTTAGATGTGTATTTATTACATTGGTATTTTAGATGTGTATTTATTACATTGGTATTTTAGATGTGTATTTATTACATTGGTATTTTAGATGTGTATTTATTACATTTGTATTTTAGATGTGTATTTATTACATTGGTATTTTAGATGTGTATTTATTACATTTGTATTTTAGATGTGTATTTATTACATTGGTATTCTAGATGTGTATTTATTACATTGGTATTTTAGATGTGTATATATTACATTGGTATTTTAGATGTGTATTTATTACATTGGTATTTTAGATGTGTATTTATTACATTGGTATTCTAGATGTGTATTTATTACATTGGTATTTTAGATGTGTATTTATTACATTGGTATTTTAGATGTGTATTTATTACATTGGTATTTTAGATGTGTATTTATTACATTGGTATTTTAGATGTGTATTTATTACATTTGTATTTTAGATGTGTATTTATTACATTGGTATTCTAGATGTGTATTTATTACATTTATATTTTAGATGTGTATTCATTACATTGGTATTTTAGATGTGTATTTATTACATTGGTATTCTAGATGTGTTCATCAATAAGTGAATATGACAATTAGGCAGTTAGTATGTATAGTGGAAATGAACCATTGAACCAAACTATTTGTTGATTATGAGAATTTTACATGTTATAGAGTACACACATTATTTCTACATACCTTGTGCACACATTATGCAACTGCCAATACTATCAATATGTGTGTTGTCACTATATGTACCTATAGGGCATGGTGTGGGGGTGGTACTTCCTTGGGGGCAAAAGTAGCCTATGGGACAAGCTATGGGTGAAGCATTACCCTCCCTGGGACAATAAAAACCTGAGGGACAACCTGTAGGAGCAGTGCTACCCTGGGGGCAATAGTGTCCTGAGGGACAGGTTATGAGGACAGTGCTACCCTCAGGGCAATAGTGACCTTGGGGACATTGCAATGGAATGAGTGAACCCGTGGGACAATAGTATCCTGCTAAACATTTTCCTGCTGAAAAAGAAACAATCAGAATTAAATTTTTAATTAATTATTGCAAATATCTATCTTTTAAATTTTTCAACACATTTACAGTTCTGGAACGCTTTTGATAAGTGTCAAATAAAGATAGCATTCATATAATATGGAGTAAAATTTGTTACACGTGAAATAAAATACATGTAACCGCACCTGTATATTCTTCATGATCAGTCACCAGATTTTTCACTGCTTTTCCGTTTACACTTGCCAGAAGCAAAAACATTAGACACAGCATCATCCTTGGCATCATCATGTTTCAAGTTTAGGATTGAGATGAGACAATTTACAAGTGAATATAGACACTGTACATGTACATATATACCGTATATATGCATAAGTCGTGAGTTGATAATGATAAGGACTATCATTCTTAGGACTACCATTCCCAATCTTAATTGTGATAAGACTGATATAGACTGGTATTCCTGGTAGAGGCATCACTGTCGTCCTGTTCTTCTTGGAAACATACAGGGGAGAGTCATTCAAGATAAGGCCTTAACCTCTTGACTACCCAGAATGACGAGATTTCTCGTCACCTCAGAAATGACCTTGAAACCCAGAGGGACGAGAAAATCTGTCACAAAATTGTTCACAAAAATTACTCTTATTTGAACAATTTTCATCCAATTTACACAAAAATTGTTTTAAAATGTGTAGAAATGATCTCTGCCATCTAACTTTACTAAGTTGAGCATCTAAAGTTGTAAAGGTATGTAGTAAAATGTCAAAAGGTGGCAAAAAATGAAAAATTCTCTGGTTTCAACCAATTTTAGAGCCTGGGATTCAAGAGGTTAAACAGCCTTATAAAGCATAATGAAGACAAGGTATTAATGACAGAATGTAACCACCATGTAAGTTATTATAAAAAAAATGGAAAGTTACAGACACCGAATGCTGAACACCATTCACAAAAAGTAGGACTATAACAATGTGTCACTTCTAGTGGTGACACTGCCACTCATTTGTTTCCCCTTGTCAAGTAATGAATTTAGCCTTTAATGGGGGAGGGGGTGTCTTTCAAGGTAGAACAGGTCTAAAAGGAAAATAACCCCTCTATAAAAACTTGTTTTTATCCTACTTGTGAAAAGGAGCACCTCAAGACTAATGTTGTATTTGTTTGTCTATTTAGGTATGTGCATTCCGGTAAATTTATTTGTCAACATTGTCTTTATTTGATTTGGCCATCAAACACCAACCACCAAATGCCAAACACCCTCCACAAAAATTGGAGATTATAACAACATGTGGAGGCGACACAACAAGTACTCAACATTGCTGAAAGTACTCAACATGGCTGAAAGTACTCAACTTGGCTAAAAGTACTCAACATGGCTAAAAGTACTCAACATGGCTAAAAGTACTCAACATGGCTAAAAGTACTCAACATGGCTAAAAGTACTCAACATGGCTAAAAGTAGGCTAAAAGTACTCAACATGGCTAAAAGTACTCAACATGGCTCTTCTAAAATTGAAGAATAGAATTATGAATTAAATTGACGCACTACTTTGATTATTGTCTTTCAAGTTAACAAGAGTAACATTTAACCACAATTCTAACATGATATGTGATGTCACAATGACAAGAACAATTGATTTATTGGTCTATATTGGGGTATGTATGACCTGTAAATTTCAATATAGACTAAAAAATGTAATGACTATTACAATTGCATACTGACATCCCCTCTGAACCAATTTAGTCACAATATAGACATGACACATGTCAATATGTGACGTCAGTTTCATTATTGATATTTTTGCAAACTATTTAGCTTGGAGGAAATCCGGTAAATAGAATGTCCAAAACATTAGAAATTTTCAGATTGAAAATAATCAAATCGGAAGAAACGTAGGTTTTATCATGTTAGAATATAAAAAAGACCTCGATTCTATGATTTATGGCAAATATATGACCTTAAATTTTATTCTGCCCATTGCCAAAGACCTCAAAGTAAGTTGAATCTTGACTTAAAGGACAACTGAAATAGCTTTTCTCAACTTGCAGCTACAAAAATGCGGTTTTCTCCATTGTAAGCCCAACGTAGAGTTCTTGCGATAGCCATTATAAAATAAATGTTAGATAACTGCTAACGGTCATAAATAACGAAACAAAACTAACTGATCAATCAAATTGGCCCCCACGTGATAAGTAACGTCATATACAAAATATAGCTTTGGTTTGTTGGTTCCTTAGTAATCACAACGTCACGGCAACCATAGGATTGTAGTGTAAACCAAAACAAAACATTTAGGAATTATGACGTTATGGGCCACGTGGGGACCAGTGAGAGATCACGTGGGGGCCAATAACGTCACAACCAATTCGAATATTGCTTATTAAGCAGCTATAACGATCGTTAGAGTGAAATAGTTTTCGCACTACTGATGAGAAAACATGTCCAAATACATTTATCAAAAAATTATATTGATTCCTGTAGGTTAAAAATACCATTTCATATCTGCTTTAATTGACAGTCCTAGAAAATAAAAAATAGAGAAAGCTTTTTGATGAATCAAATGAAAGAATTTATTGCTTCAGTACTGAAAACAAATAAAATATTAGACCAACTACATCATACATACATAAAATATAACATAAATAACATAAAGTAAAGCATTTACTCTTAAGGTATCGCAAAAATCATTCAATTGGCCTTGTAGATTCATGTGACAGGCTGATGAGATAACTCATGTTTGTTTTTTTCATGTAACTCTTTCTCTTGTTTATGAAGTGCTTTTGTGAAATGTGGTGAAACATGAGCCACAATGTGCAGTGATCTCCCCAGGATTTTTTCTCAATAAGTGCAAAGTTCACATTTTCACAATTCACGCTGAAATTGGTCAATGCCCATTTTTCATGATTTTTCTCATTTTCAAGTGGGTGCAAATGAATTTTCAGACGAGTGCAAGCCTGTTTTTAAAATCTCAGATGGGTGCTGCGCCCACTTGCTTTAATGCTAGGGAGATCACTGGATGTTATTATATAGTCCAATAATAGCACAAAGCGTTAATAAAATAGCATGCAAAAAATTAAATCAAAGTAGTGTTAAAGAGATGAAAATCAATCTAATTATAGAATGTCCGTTCTAGTTTTTGATTCGCAATTTTTTACATGAATATAACAGTAATTACTATGTGAGTAAATATACATTCTAATATATATATTTTTTATTTTTCAACATCAGTAAACACTACCGTCAAAATTGTTAACCCTTGGAGTATCACAGTATAAAATCTAATATCATCGTGGTAATCAAAGGGTCAATGGCACATTTTTGCAGAATTAAATTCTGACTTCACTTATAGGAGGAAATAACCCAGAATTCAGAAATATAGCCACCTAAAACTTTACATGTGAATTAGATAGGTTCACCATTGAATTATGGGTTATTTCATCCTCTGGACTTCACTGGATGTTGCACTGCGTTTATATTGATATGCCATCTATGACATCTTTCAGTTTGATATAAATCAACAATTATACAAGGGCCAATCCATATATCCCAAAAATATTCTAATTTCTTAAAACGACACCTTTAATGTCATATTGTACAAAACTTTGCGGTATGTGAATATTTGTTTCTAATGTCAGTTAAAAAATGTTCATCATACACCAAATATTTGCCAACACAAAATCCTTGTACAAATATCAAAAGTTCAAAAGGAACTCATGTGTCCTTATTTAAATAATACAAAGGATAGTTTTTGCACAAAATGAGAGCATTTTTGTAACATATATTGTAATTTAGACCACCCTTGATGTTAACATAAGCATTTAAGCACAAACAACCTCAAATAATGAGTTGATGCTTGCGTTCATTTATAGTCATACATCAAGTCTCTAGCCCCCCCCCCCCTCTTGTCCACTTCACTTCTTTTAAAGATGAGGGGTTAAGGTTAGGGGCTTGACACATGACTTCATGATTGTGTACAATAATTTAACTACCTTATTTTACTCATTAATGTATGTGTTCTAGGAGACCTGTGAACGATATCGTTTTCAAATTCTCATGAATGAGCAATTTTATTAAATACCCGTAAACCATCTTGGACTTGACAGTAGTAGAAAATAGTTCATCATGAGAAGATTAAACAGTTTTAAGTGACACTTACATAAAATAAAATACTGATATTACCAACAAAACAGAAATCCCTATTTGTGTGACCTTAAGTCCAGTAGAAAATCGCACTGCAGTAAAACCTGTATATTCGAACACATCTCTAATCAGAACACCTCTCTAATCAGAACACCTTTCAATATGAACACTTTTTCTTGATTCATACTTTTCATACTCTCACATATTAAGAAATCTTCAAATGTGAACACCTGCTAATCTGATCATTTTGACCAGTCCAAGTGGTGTATAGACAAATAAACAGTTTTACTGTACGTGTATTTTCATTCACCGAACTATAACTTTAATTGAGTGTCAAGAAATGATAGCTTCATAATTATATACTCATGTGCTAAATGCAATACTGTTATAATACTAACATAATTCCAAGTCAGAAATTTCTGTTTAACTGCACAAATGATGGATAAGTTACCCCTCGCCTAAATATATAAAGGTCCTAGATATTCATTAATGTACCATATTTTGGTCTACAAGCCATTCCCCCAATTTTCTACCCTGATCTTTGAAATATGGAAACATATCAACAACATCAGGCTCTTGTTCTACTATCATCTCCTTTGAGCCTATGATCCATTTGTTTTGATCTAGCTGATCTTTGTGTAATTCAAATGGATCATTCTTCACACTATCTGCTTTTTCAGAATTGATGTTATCGCTTGATGCGGTATTATTTACCCAGGCAAGCCTAGGGGCGGATTGAAATTGCTTGATCATAGCCAAAGATATCGTGTTTTGATCAAGGGGGGTACTTTTATGCTCAGGGGTGGACTGTAGCCATCTACTAGTTGAAGACCCCTCTTCTGGCTTTAATATATCAAGCTCGGGCTCAGAGGAAGTGGTCTCCATTTTGCTCACATCTGATTGGTTGGCCAGCAGCCAATCAGAGGAGTTTTTAGAGCTACTTTGAAAACAGGGAAACAATGATGTGGACACCTCACTGATTGGCTCGTCACATGTTTCCAAGAGCCAATCAGATTTATTGTTATATACTGCAGCTTCAAATGCCCCCAAATATTCACGTTTCGGCTCTTCCAAGGCTATGTTTTCTTGTGACAGCCAGCGCTGAGGCTCCGTTGGTGTGTATGATACAGGCTTCGACTTCAAAGATGCTGATTTTGACAAAGGTGACACTGTTGTCATGACGTCCATGGCAACCTGGCCACAGTTTTCATCGCAGCGACATTCCATAAAAGACTGACACACTTCGTTAGCACGGCACACATCCTCCAACTCTGGTATCACATATTCTGATTCATCAACATCCTTGTCGCTAACATTTCTCTCACGGAGCCATTTCCTCGAATCTCTCTTCATATCGTTGAAATATTTAGAGACTGCGTCTTGCACACAAGGGGCAACAAGACCCATATCTTCAAGGTCCACCACAGGTTTGGACCTAGTAGAGCATGGCCCACTGCAAGACTTGCCCTGGAAAAAAATTCACAATATATTTACTTCATCAGATCCTGGTAGGCAAAATATAATGCATCCTGTGTAGACACTTAATCCATAACAAGGAGGCTTATTGACCTGAATACACATCCACTCAGTGTAAAAGTTGTTTTGATAAATGAGGACCGCCATGAGTTAAATGTTCACATTTTTCAGTCATATGTTTGATTGATAATTTCTTTTCAATAAAGTAAACTATAGTACATTCATTGCAGTGTATACATGTGATTAACAAGGCACAGACGTGAACAATATCGTACCTAAAACACAGCATTGTGGTCTTGTTGACCAAGAAAGCAAGATGGCCGCAGAAAAGTTAATCAGCTCTAGAACTTATCACTGTGTAATATACGTATGTAAATAAAAATTTGAACGGTTTGGCTGGAAACCTGTAGACAAGCCTCGATAGACAAGATTTTAGGACTGAAAATCTAAAATGGCAGCCTTAACATTTACCCAGAATGCCCAAAAACTAATCAGTTCTTAACGTTAATATGTAGAAACATCCCTGAAAATTTCAGATGAATCCCTCAAATGGTTTGGCTGGAAACCTGTAGACAAGTCTTGAAAGTTAAGATTTTAGGACGGAAAATCCAAAATGGCCACCATAAAATTTACCCAGAATGCCCAAAAACCAATCAGTTCTTGACGTTGATATGTAGAAACATCCCTGAAAATTTCAGATGAATCCCTCAAATGGTTTGGCTGAAAACCTGTAGAGAAGTCTTGAAAGTGAAGATTTTAGGATGGAAAATCCAAAATGGCCACCTTTAAATTTACCCAGAATGCCCAAAAACTAATCAGTTCTTGACGTTGATATGTAGAAACATCCCTGAAAATTTCAGATGAATCCCTCAAATGGTTTGGCTGGAAACCTGTAGACAAGCTGAAAAGTGAGACGCTGCCCGCCCGCCAGCCCACCTGTCAAGCTGACTACAATATGGTACCTCTTGTTAGGTATGATAAAAAGCAATTATAATTACATTAACTATTTGAGGCAGAATTTTATCATCGAAGGGTGGACCATCATAAATCGAAGTGCATTCAAGATAAAATACATTTACCACATACAAGAGCTAATACCTCATAATCAGGCACATTCTAACCAATTGAATATAGCCTCCTTGACCCGAATATTACATGATATAACAACAACTTTACTTGAATTGCACCCAAGGCAAACCTACCTCTTTAGAAGTTACAAGCCACTGCTTCGTGCTGGCTGACATGTCCTGAAAGTACTTCCAAACCTCAAATGGATTCGATTTCCCATCATTCAAACCATTTCTCAGGAGCCACTGGGATGTAGGTGTATTGAGAATCTGCTTAAAGTAGCACCCTCCTGAACCTACAGAGTTGCATGGACCTCCATTGGCACCCTCGGAAGCCTCACTAGGGGGACTAGTCATATTCGAATCAGATTTGGCCAACTGACTGGACAATGCCTCAAAGGAATCAAACGTCCCCGATCCTAAAAATGGAAAATACTCATATTACCATTTTATATCAAAATCCAGGGTTGTTCAAGTCAATTTTAAAATGAAGCAATTGTAAGCGAAAATTGAGATCATTTAAAGGGCAATTTGGGTATATAACCCCTGGTCAAAAAATCCATTCAAAAATCATGCAGTTTTCATCATTTTGTGTACTTTTCGAGTGGTTTTGGGTCAAAAAGTTGAACACCCATGGAATTTTTCAAAAGTTGACCCCCTTGGCAATACATGGCTATGGGCCTGAATGGCATTAGGGACCAGTTGCACTGTTCTTCCCTGAGTGAAAAAATCAGATCCATATCAAAAGTAACCCCCGGCAATGACCCTCGGTTCAAACCAAGGGTGAAGAAGATATGATGGCAAACAGTATAAAAGGCCCAACTTGGCAACAACCAGTGGGCCAGCTCTTAGCTCAAGTTCTATCTATCAACAAGGGTGAAGAGGGTTGGGTGGCAAACAGTGTAAAGGGCCTATCTTACTTGATGGTCCATTACTGCTACTCTCTAAAAGTTCAAAGTCATCTTCTTCCTCTCCTCCATGCTGTATCTGCTGTAACCAGTGCCGGATGCTGTCACTAGGGGCAACCTACATCACATTAAGTACATTGTACTAGAAATAACAGCAAAACCTGTCTAATTTGAACACTACTTGGACCAGCTAAAAGCGTTCACATTGGCAGGTGTTCACATTTCAAGGGTTTTTAACATTGGAGTTCATGGTAAATTAAGAAATCAGACTTAAAATAGCATTCAAAGTGAGAGGTGTTCAGATTAGATATGTGCTCCGATATACTGGTTATACATGTTCTGCATATTATACTGGTGATATAATCGAATGATAATGCAGTACAAGATGAGAGATGTAGGAGGTCGATGAATTGATAAATAACGATTTAATGAACTGAAATCACATGTTTATATTTAGATTCAATGCGGATATATTGAGTCTGTCCTGGTATCACAAATCTGGTCAATATGTCCTTGTTTCTTTCGAGAAGGAAAATATGGCAGTGTTTATTGGAAGGTGTATTTCTTTCAATATGCAAAGTGTATAATTGTTACCTTGTTATCTGCCTCAGTGTTAGTTTGAAACAGCCAGTTGTAGTTCTGACCTTGAAATGGAGGGAAAGAGCAGACGGATTCTGCGACCTTGACATTTGATGGAGATTTTGACAGCCAGTCCTCCTTTTTCAGAGACAACTTTGGGATGTTGACATAAATCTGTAACCAGAAACATATTATCTACAAACTTGTATAAATTACTTAATAAAGTTTCACATTACACATATATAAACAACTTCAAATAATTGTAACTGGAAACAAAAGGTCACAAAATGAAGCAATAACAACTCTCCAAAAAATTTATCTCTAAATCGCCTATTTACAGGGTGTCCGGAAAGTAAAGATACAAATACTCTAAATTTAAGAAATTTTGATTTTTTTAAATGAAATTGCTACAGATTGTAGAGGAACAATATTACAATATATCTATTAACTTTCATCACATATAGTCTAAATGTGTTCAAGTTACGGTTGTTATGGTTACGGATGTGAGAGGTATGCGGAGCAGTTCCAGAACAACGCTAAAAAGTGAAAAATTGCTAAAAGACAACCATTTGAAACAGTGTTCTTTGTTGTATTTTCTATCATTGTTTTGTTTTGTTCATCATTGTATTATTGCTGCAATAGTGTTTTCTTTTATATAATGATGTCATTGCTACATATCAGAACTATGTTATGTCACTAACCAGTATAATGAAAGAAATATTATACATGTGCCTAGAAGAATGGTCCTTGGCCATTAGTAGGAAAGTCAATATTGCATCTCCACGATGCACCAATTCACAAAGCAAAAAACAAATCTTACATTGAGTGTATTGACATTAAACCTTTCTATACAATCCCCCATATTAACCTGATAAAGCCTCTTTAGACTTCTACCTTAATGACCATTTGAAAGCAATATTTGTTAAAAATTCAACATACAAATGAGACTCAGCTGGAAGACAATGTTATCAGCAATCTGAGAGATGGACAGCAGCAGTTTTGTCAGGTCTTTGAATCGCCCATCAAGATGCACCAATAATGTATCGATAATGGGGAAAATAATGGATATTTAATGATAGTAGTAATATGAAATGATCAAATTTTACATTACTAATCCCTATGCTGTTGTGGTACATAATTTGATATAATATAGGAATAGATGGTGGAGTGCTAAGATCATATGAGGAGGAAAGAGATTTTGTAGAACACAGTTGTGACGTTGCTCCACTTACCCTCGACTCCCGTTACTATAACAACCATAACTTTTTCATTTTGAAACTTAAAGTCATGACAGTTGCAGGATATATTGTTATAATGTCATTCCACATTCTGGAGCAATTTCATCTCATAACAGGTAAATCTCTTGAAATAAGAGCATTTGTATCTTTACTTTCCGGACACCCTGTATGTACTGTGTTTTGTGCATAAATTATGAAGTAATACAATAATGTCACAACTTACACACGGATCTTGCGTAAACTGAAGCTGTTCTACTGTTTTATACAAGACATTGTGTTGTAAATCGGCAGTCTCGTAATCCTCAAAGTGACGTGGCAGAGTCGTGGAAGCAGTACCCTCACCAACAAATGCATTCTCCAGAGGGAGGCTCCGGTTATCTACTTTCCCGAAACTATGAATGTTGTCACGGAGTTCAGCTTGGTTGGCATGGAAACTGATGCAGGAAGTTTCGGCAGGGAACAGATCCAGCTTGTTGATTCTACAATGAAAACAAGACACGCGGTGATAAATATTGCACTTCAAAGTACAAAACAGCCGCCATGTAATTTTCTAGTCTGCTCTTGCATCTGTAAAAAATTTCAAATTTTTCTGGAATTTTGGGTGACAAGATTTTTGTGGGGCTCACACACTCGTCAACCCAACAACAAAAGACAATGATTATACAGGACTTTTGTGCGATAGAAATTAGATGATGGGTTTAAAGGTGTGCAAAAGGTATAATTGACCCTTGTAACATAATCAAAATAAATCAGATATCAATATAAAAAGGTATAAAAATACAAGTCTTGATTTTTGGAATCCAGTATAAAAGGTAGCCTGCAGGGAATTAATGATAGTACTTAAGAGTTCCATGTTGAAAATGAAATGCAGACAAGTCAGCTTATACCTATTGCGTCATTTTATTTCTCACCATGCACATGAGCTGAAGAAAGAGACATACAATCTAAGAATTAATATGTTTGAACTTTAGTGCATTGACTCATTTATGTCTGAAGGTCTCCAGTCTAGACCTATCTTATCTTATGATAACCTAAACTAAGTTTCAGACTTGGCATGTTTTATGAGTAAACATGATTGATTTCATGTTCAAGTTGCAATATTTATTTAGAGTCCATTTCACTTCTTCATTGCATCAGCAGAACGGCAAAAATAAGAAATTGGGAGACCATTGTGCAATAATATATGGAAAAGTATATTCATAATGTACATGAATGACATTTGTATATCTTGGATTGCTTCTAGTTTGGCCTATAAAGTGTGTGGCCTCTTATATTGGGATGCTTCACAATGGTCTCCCAATTTCTTATTTTTGCCATTCTACTGACGAAATGAAGCAGTGAAATGGACTTTAGATATACAATACACATATTGCAGTTCATGTATTCAAAATGTTATTCAGAATATTTCTACAAAGCCATTACAAATAGATAGAGAGTGAAACCTGAACATCCGAACATCTGACTAGTCCGAACACCTTCCAATCCAAACGCTTTTTCCAATCCTATTTTTCCTCCAATTGGCTCCCATGTTTAATGAGCCAAAAAACCTCCTAATCCAAAACCCTTTAGCCGATCCCATTTGGATTACATAGGTTTTTCAGTATACAATTACTACATTTACACCCTCTAATCCATTTCTCTCATACCATTCATACCCTAGTACAAGTATTAATACAATGGTAGCTAATTTTTCTCTGATACCGAGACTGTCATTTCAACAGGTTCTCTTCACAAAATAATATTGCATTTTAACCCAAACAAATGACTGTATCAAAAAATGAAACAAAACAATTCGGTTCGGTTCATAACACTTAAAATATAATTGTCAAAATATAAAGTACAATGTTAACATAACATTTGTGGTTCATAAAATTATTGTTTTGTACTCATGTATTCAGCATTCAAATATATCAGAGGCTAAGTTGAACTGAACAAATAACAGCCAAGGTCAAAAAAACAAAATGTTCATAATTTCTAAGCTGATACCAATCTTTGAACCATATCAAAATGGGGAAATTGAAATGACATTTGCGATAAAGATGATTTTCAGCATGATTATGTAAGATGATATTGAAAATCTTATAAAAAAACATATGAAAAGCAATTTATTGGTTTAAGGCCTGTAAGGGGAACTACTGTACTTCAACTTAATTTGGCGGCCGTTTTAATTTGGCGGATCCGCAAAATTTTTAAAGTCAGCTGAAATTAAAAAGTCGCCAACTTCCCCAGTCCCAAATTAGGTAGCTGCCAAATAAACTAAACAGCAAATCCGCCAAAATAAGTAGCGCAAAATTAAGTAGAAGTATAGTAAGTTAAGTAAGCACTGAACCATAACAACTAAGGTGAAGACTAACATAACCTTCACCTTAACGTACATCTTTTCAACTTATCAAAATAAAATTTTCAGGTGCATCTTTATTGATAAACATTCTGAAAAATTCAACATGGGATTACACTACCAAGTTTTCACTCAAAATTTTTTACAAACGAGACACTGCATTATAACATGGAGGGGGGATTAATAAATTAATAGGACTTCAATTCTGAAGTTTCTGTTCATCTTTTCTCAATATCAAATGATGAATCTGCATATCTATTAACTTCATGCAAAGCTCATTTCATGATAAACTTCCCTCTAAGATCAAAAGTACAAACTAAAGAATGTCATCAAAAGTTCAAATGTTCAAGGGGAGGTTATCTTCTTATACATGTACATATCCAATTCACCTACTGAGATAATAACTATACATATTTTACACTCATTTGATGAAATTCACAACATTGTCAAATTTATGAATTTGCATACCACAAAATCAATGACTTTACCATTGATCTCAACGCACAAAAATTTGAAATAGTTAATTCTGCATGATGCGAAACAATAGGGGGGATCACAGATACTGCAAATGAGAATTTTAATATCCTGAACAATATTACTATCCAACAGATGTTGAATACTACAGGTGATAAACTTCAATATCTTTGTAACTACAGTAAAACCTATAAAGTGGAACACCTCTAGAAATGGAACACCTCTGTTAGTGGAACACTTTTTAGAGTCCCAAGACTTAAAGACTTAAATGTTAACTGAACCTCAATAAAAGGAACACCTCCCAAGTGGAACACTTTTTAGAGGTACCATTTAGTGTTCGATTAAGATGAGGTTTTCTATATATCATCGACTTCTCACAAAAATGAGAGTAAAATGTGAAAAGTTGAAAAGGTCAAATAACAATTGAGTACTTACTTATCCAGGCACTCAGAGAGTTTGTAGTCTATATCAGTTGCCGTGTTGTTATCTGTATAGTCTAGACTATTCTTTAGGCCCCCTAGTTCCTGGTTAAGTTCCGCATGTTGCTTCCTGAGAACATCTTCTTTAAGTTGTTGTATGAGCTCTACCTGACTGAGTAACCAGACCTCTCGATTACGTAGCGACTCCAATTGACGACTGATCGTGCTATGGATCTGTGACTTCACCTATTGATTGAAAATTCAATAATCATGTTTCATGGTTTCATGTTACAGTCATCGTGATAACTTAGATGCTTGATTAGAATATCCGACATGCAACGCAAAAAACAGGCAAAAATATTTGAATTTTTTACATTTTAACATTTAAAACAGGTGATTTTAGTAAATGGAACTGATTACATTACATAGATTACTGTGTTTGATTAATGTTGGGCCTTATTACATTTAATACATCTAATATATCCCATTGTCTCCTTAAGGAGAAACATCTCTGCAGCTGTCAGGTCTGCAGTATCTAATTATCTATTTCAAAATACAGCAAGCCACCCTGGAAGCTGTATCCAGTATTATATACAATGTGCTAGCCCCAGACCCCATATTCTCTAAATCTAGAATTTAGACCCATATGTTAATCGTTTACTCATAAACGATTTATGAATAGCTCTTAATCAAATAAATATGGAAAGTGGAATTTTCTTACTTTCCTTTCTCATTTTCTCCTTTATTTTTTACTTTTCCTCAATCTCAATTTTACACTCCCTCGTAATGCATTCAAATGGGTACAAACAAGCCTGAATGTGTTGGCACAATCAAGTTTTATTTCTTTGCAGTTAACCAAATTAAATGAAGACTAAAAATCTATTAGCTGAGATTTATGTAAATTTTAATATGATATACAATTCTAGCGACACTGCTGATGAGAAAATCCGTCACAAAGTTTTTCATTACAATCGCTCTCATTTGAACAATTTTCATCCAATTTACAAAAAAAATGTTTTAAAATGTGTTAAAATGAACTCTGCCATCTAATTTTACTAAAACGAGCATCTAAAGTTGTATGGGTATGTAGTAAAATGTCGAAAGCTGGCAAAAATGATTCAAGAGGTTAAATAAAAAAAAGATTTGCCATAAGAATTTTCACCTTGAATTGACTTTCATAAACAATTTTTTCTTAAGGCTCAAAATCTGTGCAGTAAAAAGTACTTGATAAATATCAATAAAACCCTTTTAGAATACATATGAATGACTATACAAGTATGCACTAAGAGCAACCTTGATAACATTCATACATTATTCATGTTTTGACACTCTGCCAATATTGACTGTAAAGCTTGCTGGCACATGTCAGACAGAAACGTGACCAACACATGTACAGTATATCGTGTGAGGATATACAACAGCTAGTAGACACGTTCATTATATAGGGAAACTCAGGTTTACAGCTTTCTATTTTTTAAATTCAATTCATTACTTGTCTTTACCCATGAAAAGTAAGTGATTTTTGTAAAATTAGTATGATGAACAAATGAACATTCTGGACTTGGTACTTTATATTGGTTTTCCATATTATCCAGTTTGCAAATATACTGTATATTATATAATGATTATTTATCGGTTAATGATAATATACATGAACATTTAACATGATATCAAAGTCATGGCTTACTGTATATACCAGTTTTATAAGCAGTAGGCAAAAGGCAATTTTCTCAGGTTTTCTTTCAAAGAAAGAAAACCACCTGCTGTATTGAGGAAACTGTTTCCATGATAAAATACAATTTCCAATAATTTGGCTTCTATGTTTGAATTCTTATTAGCTGTATATTTATGTTGGCTCTAATACTATTTTTACTCCAAGATTTTTATAAAGTAAAATTTGGTACAAATATAATAATCCATGCAATATGTCACTACCTGCCATTTGTTAAATATACCCACTGCTAAACACCAAACACAGACCATCTTCCGTGAAAAAAGTTGGAGATTGTCACCACTTGTGATGATGTCATGGTAATTATAGAACAGAGAAGCAAGCATACCTCTTTGACATTATCATGTAGATGTTTCTTTACGTTGGTCACCTGGGTAATAGCCTCCTCTAAAGTGTGAATCTTCTCTCTCACCTCCATCAATAACTGCTGCTTATTCCCTATGAAGCTCATCTGAAAAACATTTAATAATATCACTGTCAGAGAAGTTGATCACGCCAGTGGAGAGTAGAAATCTATGTTAATTAATTAATTAGTTCATAATGATCAACTTTATATTAGTAATGAAAACACAGAATGAAATCCTGTGCTAAGGGTTGATGTGAAAAAGTCAGTCCAACCCAGTGGGGATTGAAGAACCCACGACCCCTCGCTTGCCAGACGGTTGTTCTACCACTGATTTTATTATCTTATTGTATAATTTCAGGCTATTGCAGGTCTTGTACTATTTCTGTATGTGATTTTGGCAATCGTTTTCATGCTATCATAAATGAACTAAGAATATGCATTGCTTATTCCTTGTGATTGCTTACCAGTTTTATTTTCAACTTTGAAACGTGAACTCTGAAATCATTTTGACTAATATTACGTACAAGGTTAGGTAAAAAACAGTTTCTAGAAAAATCTATGAATAACCTGATCCAAGGTCACAGAAATCAAAACAAGTCAGACTGATGCCAACTAATTGAAGACAGTACTAAATACCAATTCCCTTTAATTTTCACGTCTGAACAAAATGAAAGACCATTATAATAACATTGATACAGTAGTTCATCTGCATGGCTTTGTAAACACTAGATTGAAGTTCAAAGCCTTTATTATTTTAATGTAATCTGCTAATTGCTCTGACATATTCACTATAGTCAGATAATTCAGCGAGGCCGTTCAAATCATTATGGTCTTTACTCCCTAATCCTCTCAAATGCAATAAGTACAGACTTACATTTAGCATCTCAAAGCAACAATCATCTATTGTAGATTGTAGATTGTTCAGGTATTGATCAGCATTATATGAAATTATAGAAATTACCATCAGCCTCGGGTAAAATGAATATCAATGTCAATAACCTCTGCAGTAATGGGATGGGATGGTTCTGTAAAAGCTTTGGAATAGAATGACAATACATATACAGCCATTCAGTATAATATATTCAGAATGGAACAAAATTCACTCCGTAAGTTCAACAAAAATTATGGTATATTAAAAACTCATATTGACATTATTTGACTAAGCTGTATAATCGAACTAATTAATGGAAAGGGTGAACAACTGTATTCCCTAGTTATATTTTACTTAGTAATAACCTAGACCTGAATTTAAGTAAACCCTAACAGAGAAATGATTTTCTTTTTATATTGAGTAATCACCTTTGCTTTTATCTCTAAAGCAACAACCTTCAATTATGTCTAATACCCTATGGCAGTGGTAAAATGCCCTAAAAATAATAAATAACAACTGATGTAGACAGACATGTGATCTAACACCACATACGATGAAGGTCAATGAAGGTATGTTTATCATATTTCAGCTGTTCGCAAGAGGTTATTATACCGAGCTGGATTGAAAATTCTTGAAGAGAAAAAATCGAGCCCATTTTGACTAAACGCTGTGCTGAGTAGCGTTTATAATACACTATATATTTGAATCAATACATAATTTATTTGTTATCTTATTTTGATCCTTCAACAGTCTGTTGTTGTAGTAAATCAATGTTCTATTAGACAACAAAACTTTTGAATTAAGATTGCAGCCATTTTAGGTCTCGAGAGATCAATTGACTTTCGAAAGCAAAGATTTGCTATAAAATAACTCGCGCTAGCTAAATATGAATGGCCACGTGATCTTTTAGCGGCAATGCCCATGTAAAGTACAAAGTGCATGCATGCGCAAAAGTTAAAAAATGGTGCGCACCAGGTCTGGAATTTCTCCACTTTAATTGCAAATTACACAACAAGTAGGACTTATTGTCACCACTCGTCATGAAAAGGGCAAGTTACATTCAATTATCTTCTTAAATACCGTTAACTTATTCCAGCACGCCTGCTGGAAATTGGAGAAAACCACTTCACAAGACGGTATATTTCAACATTTCCTCTGGCTTTTGAGCTGACTTTGTTCAGTAAGCAAGAGGTGGTAATGATCAAGAAAACCTCGGATAAACCCTTACTTTTGTGAGAGTATCGTATTTGAATGAAATGGAGACTAATTGTGTCAACCTACAGAATGTTTATCTGGGCATGTGTTTCATATTAAATACCCATACAACAGATAACTTGGAATAAATATTCAAATAACACCCCTCCCCCTCACCAACCACACAATACAAGGTGAACGTGCAGATTTAAAGATACTCTATTGAGACTTCTCTGTGGCATTTTTTCTTTATTCCTTTTTGTTTTGAATTCTTAACACCATTACATTAACTAACTACTCAATATGCAACTTTTCACCACGTAGAATTTTAAAATATTAAGTTTGAAAATTCCATTTTTATAATGGAGCTCAATGGGAAAAACTACATAATTTGAATTATTTTCAAACGTAGCGGCGCGATTTTGATAAAATTGACAGATATAATAAATATTAGTAAGACGAAATGTTTGATGAAAAATGAAGAAAATTCACCGTCCTGGTTACGCAAACTATAGAAAAATCTGAAATAATCATAAAAACCTGTAAAAATAGATTGAAGGGGGTGATATTCATTTCTAATGTGCCTTTCACTACTACAGGGTAACCATAATTTTGGTACTGATTTGATTTTTCAATGAAAATCATTTCTATAGTGTATAGTCAGTTTAAATAATACAATTGCTTTATTTCTTTACTGAACAGTGCAATCATTTATTTATTCATCAACAGTAATGCAAACTACATATTATACCTGTCAGTTAGTAAAATATTAAAATAATTCTATTAAAATTAAAGCATTGAGATGATACTTAAATAATTACATATTATATTGATAGGCATATTATATTATAGGATTTAAGCCAATGACTCAATGCATTTTAGATGATTAAATTTAACATATGTCCTGATTCTAGACTATGAACGAGGGTGGTAGTCCGAATTCAAAGCCTAGACTAGAAGACATAAGTGAATTGAAGCATCCACTATTCATTGAATCATGTGCTTTAATCCAATTTCACACATTGCAAAATATTTTTTACAATTTCACTTAACAGAATGATATTTTTCAAAGATATCTTGTACTTTTAGAATCATTTGCTTCAAAGAATTGAATTATGGCGGCCTTTACTCGTTATTTTACGATTTTTGCTATAACTCGAAAAGTAGTCAAGCGATTTTGTTCATATTTGGTATATGAATACTATAAGCATGGCACACTGTCTAATGACTCTTCTGGTAGAAGGCGGCCATTTGAACGTATTTTACTATAACACGAAAAGTAGTGGAGCGATTTTGTTCATATTTGGTATGTGAATACTATAAGCATGGCACACTGTCTAATGACACTTTTGGTAGAAGGCAGCCATTTTGAAAAATGGCAGTCATTTTAACGTATTTTACTATAACTCGAAAAGTAGTAGAGCGATTTTGTTCATATTTGATGCGTGAATACTATAAGCGTGGCACACTGTCTAATGACACTTTTGGTAGAAGGTGGCCATTTTGAAAAACGGCTGCCATTTTTGCTGTATACTTTGTTTGTAAAAAAAATGCCAGCCATGGCTGTTCGATCGGATTTGCTACACTTTGGTGTTGCTGTTGTCTAGTTGAAGGATGGATGGACGGACAAATGGAGGGGTCTCTATAGCTTATCCCCTAATCTTCGTTGGATTGAACAATTGTGAATATGGTTTGTTGGACAAATAAAAATTGATTGAATGTCTAAATGCAAATAATGAAGTGGTAATTTATTTAAAATCATTAAAGGGTTCCGATTAGCATCCCGTATAAAAACAATATGGCGGCTCCAGGCGAATCAACTGGATCAGTCCATTTTTAAGAAATAAGGGGAGTTCTGTAAAATCCAGTTTATTGAAATTGTCTTTGAGATAAAGTAATCCGTTTATAATGATTTTGAAAACGTTATCCAAAGAGTGATTGCGTTCAAAGAATACATGTACAACAGCCAATATAAATCCTTGTATTAGAAACCGGTTTGTCTTGCTTTGTTTCATTTGTAGGATATTTCATATGCCAAGCTGTGTGCTATTACGTTATGGGGAAATTTAGATGCCAATCTTTCCTTATTATACACAAATAGAAGATCCTGAAACTTCACCCATAAATGTGGAATTGATTTGTCAAAATAAAAATCACCCTTTTATAAATGTGTGACGATCTATAATATACTTATGCTATATAACAGTTAGAGGTGTTGACACAACGACCTCGAACCTGTGAACCCTTGAGTATTATTCCGGGATCGGGCCTTTTATACTAAACGGTGAGCAACACCAGAAACGAGCGTTCGATTTGCTAAACGATATGCGTCACCCTTTAAAATCTCAAACATGCTTGCTTTAATATTTGGTCTAGTCACTTAATTCCTAAATGTCTCGTAATTAGTATCTATATACCTTATTAGATGCAGTGAAGGAGTAAAATCATTGGGATATGAATAAATCATGCAAAACATATTTTGTACATATTTCTCATCATTTAGGGTTACCCAGTAGTTTACAAGCTGACCTTTGCAAAATATATTTCACTTACTATCCTCATTCGCTATCACGCTATCTAGTTTCTTTCCAAATTGGCCTGAATTGCCTGGTTTATTGGTTTTAGTGAACCGTCCATTTCGTCGAACCATCATTTTGCTAAGGTTGTTTGTGATGAATATACAATATTCAGTTACATATAACTGTACAGCAACTTTATGCAAGGGAAGGTAATTGTGTGAGAGCACATAAAGTACACAAAGTACTGACCCACTTGTCTCAGTGAATCTTATAAACAGTGCATAAAGTTTTTTCTATGCAATGATTGGCTCACAGTTACTTATAGTGTAAGTTATTTTATTTCTATACAGTGTGGAATAGAGTGTATAAACTTTTACAGTTTCAAGCAGGTTTTAGTGTTTTCTGACCAATGATATATTCAGACTTATACATTTAACGGTTATGTAATACTGACCTACATATCTGTATAGCATATCTTTAACCCAGTTTTCTGACAAAACAAAAAGGGAGAGATCAGTACAATTGTCTCCCTAATTCGTATGTCTTATCCCATACCGATGACACTGGTTTTTGTTACACCTACACCTCATATATTAATGTCTCATTAAAATGCTACAAACATATATATAGTTATCAACAAGTACTATAAAATTAACGATAAATATACAGCAAATTTTAGCCTCACCTTCTCTATCTCCCAGTCCCAATGACGTCACTTGAATTCTCATGCGACCAATCAGAAGGATCGTAACAGGTTCTGTCGAAATTCCTCAGAATGAAACGTAAAAGCCCATTGGCTATGCAAACGGAAGTGATAATTTTTAATAATATTTTTATTTTGCCGAAAATATCAAGAAATTAGCTGTTTTTGATCTTCATATCATGCATTAATCCACAATACTATTCTCTCACAAGGTGGGTTCACTTAGGAAGATCCTAGTAAATAATGCAGATGCGAGTAGGTAGTTACCAGTTTGGTGTCTTGATCATTACCATGTTGTTCAGTAGATCTAGATCATGGGCTCCGAGATCTAAAAATTCACAGGAACATAACAAGAGGAGGGAAAGCCCCAGAGTTTCAAGATGACAGACATAATTACCTCTCTTGCTTACCACCTTCGTTCGTTCGAATTTTCATCGGCTAGAGTCCATTTCACTGCTTCATTTCGTCAGTAGAACGGCAAAAATAAGAAATTGGGAGACCATTGTGCAATAATATATGGAAAAGAATATTCATAATGTACATGAATGACATTTGTATATTTCAGATTTTTTAGTTTTTTGTGCAATAAGCCTGTGCCGTCTTGTAATTTGAAGAATTTCAGCCATGTTAATCTTATTGAAAATAACATGGCAGAGAAACATCCAAATATAAGAAGCCACACACTTTATTAGCCAAACTAGAAGCAATCCAAGATATACAAATCTCATTCATGTACATTATGAATATACTTTTCCATATATTATTGCACAATGGTCTCCAAATTTCTTATTTTTGCCGTTCTACTGACGAAATGTAGCAGTGAAATGGACTCTAGTTATCAAATACTACACTTCGATGGGATGTTATAATTGATATAGGCATATTCCGTACACCTTTCTTTATCTTGATGTGAAATGAGAAGCTATGATATTGGTTAACACGCCAGAAATGAACATAATATTATTCGAAGCGTATTTCGAAAATTTTGAAACTGCCATTGATGACGTCATTTGTTTGTCGACTTTTGACCAATCAGCGACCGTGTCATCTCAATACAGATTTACATTATAAGCGTATGTCATCTTTGAACCCTGGTGTTTCTCCCCCTCTGGAACATAACCTAACATTAAACATGTAGATGTACAAAAAAGATACTGAGAAAGGCTGGATCTAGGGCAAAGGGGTGTAATGTTGATGTTTGTGGTAATATGGACATACGAGACAGGGTAACTTAGACACTAACATATTAGAAGTGGAATTTCCATTTTCTGCCATGTTTGATATCTGGAAAAATTAAATTCTTGCAACATCTCGATCCATGCTGAGACAGATCCATGTGAGAAAAAATAATAGCTTCCCCCTAAATCGGAAATGAGAGCAAATAAACAAAAGGTGTTGAAGTTACCCCATATGTTGAAGTTATCCCAAAATGGTGTCGATGTTACACCCCTTTCACCCTGGGGAGATCCATTGAACTTTGACGTATAGGCTTACTTCGTCATGGGGCTATTTCGACTATGGGGCTAATCCCCCCGGGTCTAATCAGTGCTAGCAAGGGTTTCACTATTACCTCACAACAGACTAAATAAATGAAAACAACAAGCAAAATTAATGAAAATCATAAAATTAATATGGAAAGGTTGAAAAGACCCTAAAACATCAGGCGATTTTATGGAAACAACCGGTGAAAATCATCTGTTGTCTGCTGCTAATGAAACCCCTGCGCTAGTGTTAACTTTGTGTTATACTTTGCTAGAAAAGGTGCACACTTCAATGCCTTGTATTTTATTTAGGAAGGAATGGGTGCGTATGCCAGTAACTTCCAGCCTGACACAGGAAGCATTGTATCTGATATAACCGATCCTACAAGGTCAAACTGGATAACAGCCCATGCTGAAGCAACTGGTTGTAAGTGCATTCAAATAGCTATAGTATTCATTTGGAAATTGATGACTCAAGATACATTTATGTGTGCAGTGATCTCCAAGTATTGGTATTGCGTGGCACCAAGTTGGTGCTGCACCCATTTAAGATTTTTGAAATAGGCTTGCGACCATATTAAAATCTATTTCTACCTATTTGTAAATGAAAAAAATAAAAAAGGCATTTTCAACCAACATTTGTGTGAAAATGAGAAATTTTGTCCCAGGATAGAAAAAATTCTGAGGAGAATATGGTGTTTTGTACACAAAAAAATTATTTGACATGCTAAACTGTTGAAATATATACAAAAACAAAATACAACCAAGAAATAGACTCATAAATTCTAAAATATATTTTGGGGTTTTAATATTAATGGGAAATGTCTCCTATTTATCTACATGTGTACAATCATATTGTTTCATTACAGTCTCATTAATGTTAAAATATATTTTGGGGTTTTCTTAAAAAATAATGGAAAATGTCTGCTGTTGTTTCATTACAGTGGCTATTGTTGAAGTAGAGCGCCTGTGGTTGAGGTTCAAGCAGTTAGGATGTGACAAGTATGGGACTCTGCCTGGTAGCAAGCTCAATGAGCCACAGCTCACACAGGATCCCTTCTTTAAGAATGTAAGTCACATGTTTGGAATCAAATGATTAGCCTGCCTAATTTTTGAACCTTCCTATACTCCTGGTATACAGGGTGATCCAGAAGTAACGTCAAAGACATTGTAATTTCAAAAGTATTCATCAGATCTTCATGAAATTTGGTATACATGTACCCACAACATTTCTGAGTTACCATCTCAAAGATTGGAATTCAATTATTTCATTGGTTGAAATTATGGTTGCTATAGTAACCCGATATCGCGTAATCCGGGGCAAATTGAAGAGAAACCATAACGTTTTTGTGAATTTCTCTAATTTAAAAAGTCAGTAACATTTGAAAATGTTCATTGTTTGTTTTCTATGATTTTTATATTTGTTGCCATGGTAACAAATATGTAATAGTTGTGATGTCACAATAGGCATTCATAAAAAGCTTTCAATTTCTTTGAATTGCTTCCATCATCCATGACAAATACTAACATGACCAAGGACACTAACCCACCCAATTCAAGATGGCGCCAAGTCAGAGTAAAATAGAGCAAAGAACAAACATTAAGTTCTGTGTAAAGTTGGGGAAAGGTGTAAAAGAGACTATAAGACAGATAAAGAAGGCATATGGTAAAGCTGCCATTGCTGAGAGAAACATTTACAGGTGGTTTAACAAGTATTCCAGTGGATATGATGAAGTGGTAGACAAGCAGCGAGGAGGCAGGCCAGTGTCGTCATTCGATGATCAAACCATCAAAGCAATTGAAGCTGATGTTATGGACAATAGGCAAATTTCTATCAGAGAATTGGCTGAAAAACACGATCTGAGCTATGGGACTGTGCAACGGATACTGACAAAGAACTGTCTGTTAAAGAAGGTGTCTGCTAAATGGGTGCCGCATGACTTGACACAGGAGCAGAAAGACCGGCGTGTTAAGGCTTCAAGGGACTTTCTTGCAAAATATCGGAGAGATGGAGATGACTTTCTTAACAAGATCATTACGAGTGACGAATCATTGCTATCATTCTACATCCCAGAGACCACGCAACAAAGTTCATCGTGGAAACATGACAACTCCCCAACACCAACCAAGCCTAAAATAGTACCAGGAATTCCACAAAAGAAACAAATGGTTGTGACATTCTTTGACATTAGAGGAATGGTGTTAACCCATTTTGTTCCCATTGGCCAGAGAATTAATGCCGTTTACATTGCAAAGGTAAGATATCATTTGTTCTAATAATACATCATACTGTGAATTTTATTTTTAAATTAAAGTATTTAAATGTTGTTCACTGTCAATATAATTATAACTCCATGGCCATGATTCAAATCCAAATCCAATCAATGAAACAACTGGTTTAACAACCATTAAACATTTGTTTTTCAGGTTCTGAAGCGTGATCTTCAACGTTCCCTGAGGAAAAAGCGTCCCGGACATCTGCAGCAGTTTATCTTGCATTGGGACAATGCCCCTACGCACACTGCAATCCTGACCAGCAACACAGTCCAAACACTTGGATTTCAACAACTTGAACATGCCCCTTATTCACCTGATCTTGCCCCCAGTGACTTTTATTTGTATGGGGAACTAAAAAGAAACCTTAGTGGAAATAATTTTCAATCCTGTGAGGAATTGAAAAATGCCGTAGTACTAGCCCTACAAGGAATGAGTTCTAATGGATTTAATTCTGTGTTCAAGGAATGGGTATCCAGACATGAGAAATGTGTTGCAAATGGTGGCAATTATGTAGAATGAACTATTATTAGTAACTGTGCAATAGTATGATTTATATTGTTGTGAAATAAAATGTTGAGGATATAACAATTTCAGATCTTGTTGATATTTTGAGATTACGCATTACACGTTAAGTAATTTGCCCCGGGTTACGCGATATCGGGTTACTATAGCAACCATAATTTCAACCAATGAAATGATTGAATTCCAATCTTTGAGATGGTAACTCAGAAATGTTGTGGGTACATGTATACCAAATTTCATGAAGATCTGATGAATACTTTTGAAATTACAACATCTTTGACGTTACTTCTGGATCACCCTGTATATGCAGAAATCGCTGTCAAATTGAAAACAGTATTTTGGTTGTTGCTCAAAGTATCCTTCAACCTGCTGTCAAATAAATGAAATCCTCTGAATTCTAATTTACTAGGATCTTCCTAAATGTACAAAAGGACATTAAATACACTGATGCTGCACACAAAATCATAAAATATAATATTTTCCTTCAGAATTATGGCCATAGATTTCCATTCCTCAATTTTCTCCCATATATCACTTATCATAAAAAGGCCCATATAATACATGTACATTATATAATGTTTATGTTGAAAACAGGTACTGAGGTCATTTAGATCTGACGATGGAGACATTGCATTTCAAACATTCCTTAATGCAATGCAATGGTGTGAGGTATCAGAAACAGAAATGAAGCTTAGAGGTAAGTTTATAACTTTAATAGTTCTCAAATGTAATATCAGGGGCAGTGAATTCATAAGATCTGTGATCTGATCCGGTTAAATTTCATTGTAGTAATGATGCATTGTGGGATTAATCTTGAAATTCATCTCAACATTGGGGAATTTGTACAATCTTTAGGATCAATATTATCCAAATCTCACATCAGTGGATTAATCTTTGGATAAAATTTGTCTGAATTCCAATTTAATTTGGATAAATCTTGGGGATTCCGCCCAAAATCCTGGGATTGTACCAATTCACCAAATATTTATCGGGATCAATAATCCAAAATGATAAAATTTATCCGGATAAATTCTCGGATCGTACTAATTCATGGCCCCTGATGTTTGTTCACATTATCCTATTAAATATGAATCTGTCCAAAATTAACTGTAACACATACTGAATATTTATATAGAATTTTTGTATATTACTTCAAGAGTTTTTTACATGTAATTAAATTCCTTAGTCTGACTGAAAGTGTTGGTTTTATGGTTTCCTTTGGTTTATTGGGATTTTAGATCTTAAATTAAATTAGATAGAAATACTTTAAATGTCAGTTTATTTATAGCGATTTATTGGGATTTTACAGCATCCAGATCTTGTCCTTTGTGCTTTAATTATCTATTTTTGTTGATGTGTAATTCTAGCCATATTCCAACTCTTGAACAATGGAGATCCTGTAGACCAAGACCACCTTGTGAGGATTCTCACCAGACTCTATCCTGAGGATAGTGAGGTATGCTGGGATTGCACTAGCCTTCTTCTCATATAAACTTTCCAAAATTAGTCTGCATTCACTCATTTGAGATTTTGAAAAGAGGCTGGCTCTTCCCTGAAAACCAATTTGCACTCACCTAAAATTCCATTTCTTCAAATACTTGGTACGTATTTACGAACTTCGGTAAGCATTGTGAAAAGTATAAAATTCATATTCAAAAATACTCTGAAGGAAACTAGTTCCCCATGTCAAACCCAAAATCTTAAGGGTGTCAGGTTTAAATTGAATTACTGAATTCAAAATGAATACAAATTTCAAGGTATGAAAGCCAGGTGTCAATTTTTCATATCCAAACATAATATAAAGGTGAAATTTTTATGTTTTTAGGAAGCAGTTCAAAGGATTGCTGGTGTTTTTATGGAACAAATGGACAAAAGAAAGAAAGGTAACGTAATGGTTCATCCGACCATCTACCAATATACAAGCCATAGGTACAAGTTTTCCGTCATACTGCACCGCGGATGGAATTAGTCAAAACCTCCACATTTTCACAAACTGAAAGCACTGATTGAGTATCGTGAGATTTTTCTTCTAAGTCATGTTTATTTCAGGATACATCGATGAGCAAACATTTGTACAATGGATCCTAAAAATGCCACGGGAGACAGTGGAGCCTGTGTTAGAGTTTAGTATCATCCCTTCAGATATAAACGCTGATGCTCATAGAGCTTTCTCTACAGCACAACCTGCTTCTCTGGATGAGGTAAGATTTCTTATGAAAGAAAGCTTCTTCCAAATATTTTCATGCTCATATTCTCTATACACATAGATCTGTAATGGTAAACAATTAAAAAGTCAAAAGTTGTTGATTTTCTTTCTCAGAGATATTTCTTTTTCTTTTTGACGTTTCGTAGGATGTCCATCCTACTTCTTCAGAAATAAAATTATATTTGAATCAAACTGAAATAATTAATTATTACATAACAATGAGAAAAAAAAATGATAGAAAAAAAAATAATTAAAAAGTCACGTTAACCAACTTCATTTAAGATGGATGGTCGATTGAATGTTTTACATTAGCATTATAGGTAGCAAGAATCCAACCACCCAATGTATGATTTACCCTCACAAGTATTGCATATGAAAAATAATTTGTGTGTCTTTATCAGAAAATGCAGAATCATGATAAATATGGTAGAATATGGATTATTAGAAAAGAGTATGACCAGGAATGACATGAGCCTAAAAGATTCTTAAATTACAACAAAGAAATAGAAATATATCTATATTCCTATGAGAACTTTTTTAACCTCCTGCTTCATAAATGAGACATCATTATCATCATTCAAAACTTAAATCTTCTGTCTGAATTATTTTTTAATATCAGGTTTGTCATTATTGTATTGTATAGCCCCAAATCCCTAGTGATGAGCTCCTAGGTCATGTCGCACGGAGATGTCACAAGCGAGACTGGAGCCTACTTGCAAACAACCTTGGTTACCTTCAAGAGGATATCGCCAACATAAAAAAGACTATAGGAAATGATTCAGAAAAACAAGTAAGTTGAGAAACCACATAAATGTATTACAATAGAGAACATAAAAATTATATTTGTGGGCATTTGATTCATCTTCGTTCACTCGGCTCCCGTCAGTCGAACGCAGTGAAGACCGGAGCATGCGAAGATGCATTTGATTCCTATGCTTGATATGATTAAATTTTAAACAATATGTTCTGTTTGTTTATTTTTGGTCTGTCTTGGTCTGTCCATCTATATGTCGATTATTATTGTTTTATTTGCATTATTTAATGATTGTGTGGCTTTGGTTTTCCATAAATGGCTTTGTCCCAAATACAAATATTAGCCACCTGGTGTCAGTATGTGCTTTTAGCCATGCAATATTTTTTTATCATTTATCTATTTTGCATTTTATAGTTGCTAGAAATCCTTACAAGATGGCGGGTTCAAAACGGCACTTCTGCTACAACAGATGAGCTAGAAACTGCACTGAGGGAATCTGGATTTGGAAATGTTGCCACTCAACTTTCAATATGATATCTGTTATAATGCAGCCACATTAGAAACTGCACTGAGGGAATCTGGATTTGGAAATGTTGCCACTCAACTTTCGATATGATATCTCTTATAATGCAGCCACATTAGAAACTGCACTGAGGGAATCTGGATTTGGAAATGTTGCCACTCAACTTTCGATATGATATCTCTTATAATGCAGCCACATTAGAAACTGCACTGAGGGAATCTGGATTTGGAAATGTTGCCACTCAACTTTCAATATGATATCTGTTATAATGCAGCCACATTAGAAACTGCACTGAGGGAATCTGGATTTGGAAATGTTGCCACTCAACTTTCAATATGATATCTGTTATAATGCACATTAGAAACTGCACTGAGGGAATCTGGATTTGGAAATGTTGCCACTCAACTTTCAATATGATATCTGTTATAATGCACATTAGAAACTGCATTGAGGGAATCTGGATTTGGAAATGCATGATATCTGTTATAATGCGACCTAAGACTAAGAGACTCAAATGTCATTATATTATCTATCATGGTGTAACATTTGAAAATAGAGACTGCATTGAGGTAGTCTTGATTTGGAAATGGTGCCCATATACCATGTATATTAGATATAGCAGTATTCTAGCTGTAATGTCGGACTGTAGTCCAGAAACATACTTTGACATTATGATACCTTAAGTATTATCAGCCCATTGTAGCTATAAGATTTATTGGTTGAATGGTCATTTAATTGTTAAAATACAAGTCAACAGTGTCATAGGCGTTTGTGTAAGTTTAAACAACAGACAAGAGTAATCGGAATTTATTGGGTTGCAGGCCCGTAGCCAGGGGGGTTTGCAGGGTTCGCAACCTCCCCCTGGCCAAAAATTCTTTCAAAATCATGCAGTTTTTCACCATTTTGAGCACTTCCCAATTGATTTTAGTCATATTTGGGCCAAAATTGTCAAATGTGAACCCCCCCTGGAAATTTTTCAAAACTGAACCCCCCTTGGCAAATCCTGGCTACGGGCCTGGGTTGCAACTGGCCAACCAAACACAAACAATGTGTGACAGATATAAAATCAAATCTTTCTATTACATACATACATGTAATCTTATGTCACAGTCATATTAGCATATGCACAGATGATGTCTTTTCCCTAAGCTTAATGACCTCTAGGTATATGTTCAAACATGAGTGTAGTTGTAGATCTCAAAATATGAGCTATCTTGGATTAACAAATCCATGCAAGCCATATTACCATGGGACCTTATGGCTGAGAAGAAATAGAGATGTCATTGTTTATGATTCATAATTCATAGTACATTTTTGAAATATTTTCACTCATTATGTCGCACTGAAAGTCGTGACATATTGTTTTGGTCTCCATTTTTTGTGATAGCGGTTGGTGTCTGACGTTCGGCATTTGGTGTCAGGTTGTGACATTTTGCATTTAATGCCTTGTTTTGTATATTGTTTTTGAATGTATTGTATTATTTAATTGTGTTGATCACATTATTTTATTCCGTCCTAGAATATAGTAGTTATTTTTTATTATTTTATTATTTTATATTGACAAGAAAAATCTGTAAATGGCTGAACTATTTTTGTTTACATCATTGAATTGTTTACATCACATATCAACAATGTGCTAGTTTTCTTACACATATTTACATAATCTATGTACTGTATAATGATTTTAAGATAGATTAAAATAAAAAAGTTACAAGAGTAGAACATGTTTTTGTCATGGATGTTGAAAGTTAAGTTTCCTTGAAGAATGGAACAGACATTATAGTGTATTTACTGCCCATACATACAGGGTGATCAAAAATATCAAATATATTGTCATTCTAAGACTACTGAATGTTCCCCATACATTAATGAGTTACAACCTCAAGATACTGATTCAATTAACTATCTGATGATTGACACCTTTGTTGCTATGGTAACCAAATGTAGACACCAGCGCCAAAATATTTGCATTAAAAGAAAAATCTTCCTTTTTAATCACCCTGTATATTCCAGGTGCCAGTGATATATGAGGTAACGAGCGCTTAATTTAATTCTGATTCTTAAGCAACCAAAAGTATTTTTAATTGATTCATTTCCTAAGTGACATCTATATTATTGAGTAGAGTGAATGTTTATTCTAAATAGGGAATTTGAAGTGGCCAGACGTACATTCAGCAGTGGTAAGCATATTTTGATTTACATGCCCGAGCAAGGGGCGCCCGAGCAAGGGGCTAAAATAAAAGGCTTTGAGGGCCTAGAGATATAATGCCCGAGCAAGGGGCTAAAATAAAAGGCTTTGAGGGCCAAGAGATTAAAAGGCTTTGAGGGCCTAGAGATATAAATGCCCGAGCAAGGGGCTAAAAATAAAAGGCTTTGAGGGCCCAGATATAAATGCCCGAGCAAGGGGCTAAAATAAAAGGCTTTGAGGGCCTAGATATAAATGCCCGAGCAAGGGGCGCCCGAGCAAGGGGCTAAAATAAAGGGAAATATATACGCAAGCAGGGGGCAAAAAAAAAATGAACCATAAGGGGTAATGAATAAAAGTAAAGGCCTTGAGAGCCTAGACATACAGAGATATATGCCAGAGCAAGGGGCTATTAAATATAACTATGAGACAATATAAGAGAAGTTTTCTGAGAGGCAAATATTTGACAGAAACAAAGAAAAATAGAACATTGATGACATGAAAAATCTTGATAACATGGCCTTATAATGAACACTGGAAATTCAACGTGTTAATAACACAGTAAAATTAGAGGTCATTATACAGTACGTTATAGTACAGTGTGACGAAAATAATGACACTCAGGTATAATCTGGTAATTGGCAATTGAATGAAAACTGAGGTTTACTCAATAGAAAGTAGGTTGAATTGTTTTGACATGACTGGATAACCTATGCAAGTGATTGGTTATGTAATGGTTTAATTCCATGTACCCTCTTGTAAACTAATTTGAAAATGACTTGAGTTTGTAACATTTGAAACTAGTGAAGTCTGATAAACAATTGGCTTCTCTTTACATCTAAAGTCCGGGAGCACTGATCTCTTAGTGGTTTTAACCACGTGGACTTCGGATGTGAGAGTTGTCTCTCCACAGTAGGAGGTAATTGGCAATTGAGGTTAATTACTCATGTTAGGGGACTGATTTTTCCCCACCAGTAATTCATGAATGAAACATTGATATGAGGTCAATTTTAGGTTTTATTAGCTTCATAATTACATCATGGAAAACCATCTACTAGAACTACTGGGAGAGATTGCTCTCAAATCTGATGTCCACGTTAGTTTTTTGTTAATTTTTTATTAAAGATTTGAGGATTGGGAGTAGTAAAAATTAACAAATCACATTATTCAGATGTAAATACACCGTAAAGGGTAAAATTAAATGTGTATTTCACCCAATCCTTTAACATGAAATCTACTTGAATGTATGGATGTCACTTAGGAAACATAGATTTCCTAAGTGACATCTATATTATTGAGTAGAGTGAATGTTTATTCTAAATAGGGAATTCGAGGGAGGTAGTCATTAGCGAATGGAATGGATAATAGTTTACATATCATGAAATTTGGATGAAATATCATGAAATTGGGAAATGATTGAAAAATAAGTTACCCTCCCGCCCAACCCATTTCCTGAGGTTTGTACAATCTGTACATTCTGGTGGGTTTCACTTAAATATGTATTTCACCCAATCCTTTAACATGAAATCTACTTGAATGTATGGATGTCACTTAGGAAACATAGAAACTCTATTTTTGAAAGTATCATTAAGCATGAACAGTACCCAAGTAAGTACTAGTAGTCAACAGTACAGTACTTCAAAAGTTAACAGTACACTGTATTGGTCAAAAGTCAAAATTGTTGATCTTTCCTGTTAAAATGGAGGACTAAGACTGAAGTACAATAGTACATATTTTACCAATGTAAACAAATTGAGACATCTATCTGTTAATTCCAATCTGTTTTTTAGAGAAATAACCAGCTTGAGAATGATTCATTTTTTGATAAATCTATAGCAACATTTTTCAAATTACATGTATTTAAATGTTTTTATGTTATTACTATACCAAGTGTGTGGATGTTTACAAGTCTAAAATCTATCTGGAATAGCATGTTTTTGGACGATGAAGAATTTCAGGTCCGGTTTCTAAATCCAACATTTTTTGGATGACAATTGTCTGAAAGAATATCATATCCAAATGGGGTTGGTTTCACCCCTCAGGATAGGACGGAATGGGGTGGGGGATCATAGTTCCAGAAAACAAGTTACTCAAGAGCAAAATCATTTATTTTATATCAGATATATATTTTAATATTAAGAAAATAACATTTTATAAGAATTCAAATCATCAAGCTATGATTTGATTATCAAATTCATATGAAAGTAGAAAATTTAAAAAATATACTATGGTACATTTACACAAGCGTCACAATATGGAAATCATGGGAGATAAAGGTGTAAGGCTACTGACTACATGAGTTTAATTCTGCATTACCAATAGACAGCTCTTACTTCAAAGCGTTTTGGTTTCAACTGCTCACTGTGTACATTGTCCTCCATCGGGTATCAAAATTAAAAATGGCGGATACATGATCAATATGTTTTCAATCAAGGTTGATCCTTGAATTTTGGAAGGTCGTATTTCTAAATCTAATCTGACTCCCGCCTGTATACTATTGCTAAGGAGGAATACAACAAATTGAAATCATGTTTTTTGTTTGTTTCTTAAACAAAATAATATTTTTATGCAGTATAAACAAAATCCTCTGGAGTAAGAGCCACCTTTGTAACATTTCTAAACCTGGTCAAAGAGCTCCTAATACCTCACTGTCCCCCCATGTAAATACATAATAAAAAAGTCTACCAATTTAATTGTCATACAAGTACATGTACACCCAAAATCCAATCCATATGGAATCTGTATTACATGGATTCAATGTGGATTTGCTGTGTATAATGTCAATTCTATACATTAAAGTCCTCTAATCTGTTCACTCATGATTATTCCACAAGCAGTCAATTAAGTTGTACAATCATCAATTGGGTTGTACAATCTTCAATTGGGTTGTACAATCTTCAATTGGGTTGTACAATCTACAATTAGGTTGTACAATCTACAATTAGGTTGTACATTCATCAATTAAATTGTACAAACTTCCATAAGTTATACCATATTTAATTAGGTTGTACAATCATCAATAAGGTTGTACAATCTTCAATTAGGTTGTACAATCTTCAATTAGGTTTGTACAATCTACAGTATAGAGATCCTATATATTTACCTTTACCCATCTTTTCAATCATTGTTTTTAAGAAAAGTTTCAGTCAATTTTACCAGACAAAATTATCCAACAATAAATGTATTGTACATAAAATACAGCATTACTACATAGTTCACTTATTGCTAAATACCAGTAGTTATTATAATACAGTATTTATATACTTCTGTTTATTTTTGGCGCTGTCCAGAATGGCCTTTTGAACATTTCAAATAGTAATCCAGTTCGAGTTATCCAGATCAAAATGGACATTTTGATTTGAAAAATGTGAACGTTTTGATAATCTGCCATCTAGAATAGCCTGTCCAATGATAGGTCCCACGACACCTACATATTTTGGAAAACTAGGAGTTTAATTTTTTTTAAATTATTATTATTATTTATTTCATTGATATAGGAATGACTCGAACTGGCAGACCTCAATCATTCATCACAAATTAAAGCAAGCGTCAAATTAATTAGAAGTACAGAATTTACGTAACTCAGCATTGTAGTGAATCTCAATTTGAGAAAATAATGAACTCCAATTCTACTTTCAACTACATACCTGACATTTCTTCTGGAATTTACAAAAACATATGAAAAATTGCCTGCGAGTGTATGTTACTCAACACTCGATATTTGAGTAAGTCAAGTCTGACTGACTTAAATCTGGTGCATAAGCACAGGAAGATGGTTTCATCGATTTCGCATGAGGTAAATTGTCATTTGAGTGGGTTACTTTTGATTGATAACATGGGGAAATATGTCCCATTTGTTAATATAAACAGCTTTTCTTTTTTGAACTGAATTCTACACATAATTCATTTTGAGACGGCTTATATGTAGATTACTGTCATCATCGATATAAAGTACATCATTTCATTACATGTTAATCCAAACGTAGTATATGTATATGTATACAAAATGTTAACATATATGAAAAGTTAAAACAAACAAAAGTTATAAATGACTCACACAGGAGGATGTGTCCCATTTCCCATTGCCTCCATCTTTTTGACTCATCCTAAAGTCACATGCCTGAAACTGGCCAATCAGCCAATAAGAAATCATAATCCCTTTCTGAGCATACGCTACAAAAGGATAACATAGTAATATGATACTAGAATAGCTTATCACACATTGGAAATGTCACAAAATGTCTAACTTAACTCTAACTCTACCTGGAAATGTTACACAAAATGTCTAACTTAACTCGTAACTCTACCTGGAATTGTTACACAAAATGTCTAAATTCTGACCCTGTTCACAAGTGGAATGATAAAAGTGTGTCATTTCATCATATTTTTGATCCATGTTCCATTCTGTAAGCATAAATACCCGAAGAGAATCAGACGATCCACTCTAAAGGGCCACATGTGGGAGATATAAAGGTGTACTTGTGAGTGGATTAGTTCCTGGTTTTGGGTCTTTGTCCATTTCATCTAATAGTATATATAATGTTGCTTCACTTTGTATGATTCAACAAGACATTAACATGCAAAATGTCACCACCTTCTATTTGTTACAGACACTGACCACCAAACACCAACCACCGAACACCATCCATATAAGTTGGAGACTATAACAATATGTCACCACTTCTGGCGGTGATATAATTATGTACTGTTTGCAACATTGTAATAATATATCACATTGCCATTTTTAGTTATAATCACATTTCTTGGTCTCATTTTCCACTTTTCGTGAAGTCAATAAGCTGTTGTAATATATCGCAGTCACGTCATATAGCACATTACTTTTATTAACCTGGAAAGTAAAAACGTTTTCAATCAGTTAAAAGTAAAAACATAAAATAGCAAAAGACCAATAAACCATACAAATCTCGTGATTTCTCCACATGTAATAACTATGCAAATTGGCGTAGACGCAAATTAAAAAAAGCGAAGAGGCAGAAACTATTTCTAAGGCTGCCTAATTCTGGCTACATACATGTACATGGGTCTTTTTTGAACAAATCTAATTCAAATGATAATTTTCATTGAATAAAAATACAAAACATGTAGTAATAATAATTCTATTACAGCAAAAAATAATATTAAACTTGTATAAATACCATTAAGGTTCATTTGTGCCTTTATAGCTGCGACCCATTCCTCAGCATCTTCTGCAGTGCTTGCGTATATAAAGAATTTGCGCCAAGAGAACATTAGTCTGAAATTACAAGTGAGCTACCTTGACCATGGACATGTAAATATCTAAACAAGGCATTAACATGCAAAATTTCACCACCTACCATTTGTTACAAGCATCAAATGCCAAACACAAAATTTCAAACACCAAACATCATCCATAAAAAAGCTGGAGACAAGAACAATATGTCCGCACAAAAACATAAAATTGGTCTGATATTAATTGTGATATCAGTAGTCCGCCTATATAGTACTAATAATTCACTAGTTGTTGATATTTGAAATGGTTATATGACAAGTATTGTAACAAAATAGTCTCTTTGAATGGGTTTTGCATTTCTATCATTTGACTGTATGTTCTCCATTTTTATTACATATCTGGAGATGCAATAATGATGATAATAACGTTAGCTCAAAAAACATTAATATGAATTAAATCATAACTAGGTAAGATGTGTTCAATTCCAGCAATTCAGAATACAGTGTTTCATAATATCATGATCTCAAACTGAGAGTTTTTTATTCATCACAGAGGCTTTTCCATATAGCTTTGAAACCTCGTTAGTCTTTTAGTTTACTGTTAATAGTTTTTAATGAGATTTTAGGAGATCTGCACTTTTAACCACTAAAGACAAACATTTTCTTCTATTTGATGGCATATTTGAATTCTTTGTGTAATTTTCTATCAAAACAATTTTGATTTGCACTCTTATTTACCTTTATTCAAATTCTAGAGATTTTCAAGTTTTCTAACTGCACTTCATTTGATAATGTTAGCTCAAAAAACATTAATATGGATTAAAATATAACTCGATAAGATGTGTTCAATTCCAGCCAATCAGAATACAGTATTTCAAAATATGAGCCTGGCCATAGGAAAACCGGTCTTATCACAAAAATTAAAATTGTGATACAGAGCCAAAAATGTGCCCACGATTAAGAGGAAAATGTGCTAAATTCAGATCCGACTTTTTGGTCTATATATGCAAGGAAAAATTGTTAAGACATAAGCCATGGCTCATTTGAAAGGTTTCGTTGTGATTTTTAAGATATAACAAAAAATCAGAATATTGAAAAAATCTGTGATAAGACCCCTTTTCCCGTGGCCTGGCTCATATCATGAAATACCGTCACACTCATGCAAAGGTCTAGAAACAACACATTATAGTGGATTAAATCATCCACAGTGCATCGAGTTCTGGGCTTAAATCCTATAACAGTATTTTACTCCATTCAACAACAACATGATAGAGTATCAAAAAATCCTCCTTACGTGAAACAATTAGGTTTTTCTATTGTATAGTCCATCATGCAGTTTTCACATTCATGTAGATCTAATGTTTTCACAGGTTCTTTGTCGGTCTTTTCTTTGAAGTACTTTAGACGATTTTTTTCTAACGTAAACCAGCGAGTTTTCCAATTCTGAAATGTACAAATAATATAGATTTCACATCGCAAAACAATGTTACTTGGAAATTTTTGTTTCATACAGAACTCCTGGTAATATTCACACAGTTCAAATTTTGGAAATATAAATAGCTATGTAACTCAAGAAGTTTTAATTCACAAATTCTCTTTATGCCCAAAAATAATATTGCAAAGAGTAAATGCAAATCGTAAATCAGCAAAAAAATGTATGGCAGTGAAATTTCAAAATCACAAGAACGTGTAATATTACACCATCAAAAATTACAAGGAGTACAGAGTCAAGTTCATGACATGTGACCAGATTTTGACCAATCACACAATAACAAAATTGACAGTAGTGCAATTTTATACTGTACCTGGACATTACCTCCCCTCTTTGTTAGGAAACCTTGTTTGTACTCGAGCTGGAAAATAAAAGAGCATTATCAAATATATGGGGAGGAGACAAATGAGCTATTTTTATATTCATGTATTCTTAGCGTACAAGGCCTTGTGTAATGGGGGGGGGGGGTATCAAAGGCTAGATACAAAATATAACACTACTAGCCCTGCATGTTATTTTTTTAATTAATAAGTTCTCGAACATTACAAGCATGGTGGCCATCTTGAATTTTATATGAAAAATCCAAAATGGCTGCATTTCATTTTTTATTTTCATCATTTTTCATAGAAACTATGTACTAAAATTTTGACTTCTGTCACAAGTGAAGATGATTTGCTGAAATTTACTCTTACAATTGTATGAGATATGTCAGTGCAATAAAACACTTGAAGCCTGAACACTGAACAACACTGATGAATTTAAACAATAATTCAACACTAATCTCTTAATTTGGTTCATCAGTCATTATCTATCATTGTTGCAATTATATAGTTTGCCTTGTCATTCCAATAAGCTTTGTATTAAGATGGCATTTCCTGATAAACACATAGAGTGATTTTTATCAAACTTTATTTGAACAAATACAGAATCGTAAATACAAAATACAAAACTTTTTTATAGGTGATGATGAGAAGACGAGGTTATCTAGGCCAATATATTCAAGGATATTGATTTTTTTATGATGATTAAAAGTATCTAAAAGTACATGTACTACTTAAAGGCAGAATCAGAGCAATAGGGGGTGACAAAATTGCAAGCAACATGTAAACTTAATCTACAAATATATTCTTTACCATTTCAAATCCAATATCTTCAAAAAGATACGCAGTTTGATATCAATGGTAAAGTTATTCAAGATTTAAAGTTCTCGATTTGCCACAAAAATGTGGATTGCTACTTGTTCAATAAAGTAATTCTCACATATCAGAGTCTCTCTTTATCTAAAACTTGCGAGCTTGTGTATTCCAAGAGACGGTAGAGGCTGTTAAAGGCCCTCTATGAATATATGTGGTTGTAATATTTATAGAGAAATGAACACATTATTGTGAAAGTCTTTAGTATTCCTCAAATAAAGAATACATTACAGAGTCTGGACAGCATAGTTCTTGAATGGTGGGGGAAAGGGGGTATTAGACATTGTTTCTTTTCACGTTAGATCATGGTTCTGGGCTAAATGGGGTTTGTTTTTCTTGACTGGTATGCACTTAGAGTTTGCTTTGTCTTGCTAAGTTCCATTACAACTTTTGGTCCTTTCCCTTCGGCACTTGTGCTTATATATTAAGACTTTGAAGATTTTTATGATATATATGAAAAGGAATGACACGAGCCAAAAATATTCTAAAATTGAGACAATTTTTGTTTAGGTTGCTCACAAGATCTGATACTCCCTTTAAATAATGGTAGTTTATATCAGACTCACCGATTTTGTAGCAGCTAACATTTTATGAGTTTTTTCAGGAAGTGTGCTTGACCTTGGTGGGTTTATTATTTCTGTCAATCCCTGTATCTTCCCTGTAGGTGGCAATGTTGAAGGTTTCGCGATGTCTGGTGGAGCAGGAGGAGAAAATGGTGGTATTGAATCTATTCTTTCATCATCATTATCATTAATATCAAGTCTTTCAAAGTCTTCGTTTTTGGGGCCAGCTATAGGTGGCACTCTAGGAGGTACTCTTGGGGGAGCAACTGGTTTATCAACTGATGTAGACTGATTTGTGGCTTGCGGTTTTCTGGGTTTGGGCTTCATAGGAGCATGGACAGATGGTTTACTGAAGTTTTCTCTTTCAACTGGTTGAGATATTACTGTTGCATTTTCTACAAATAGAAACAAAGTTCAGTCACATTTTGTGTCAAAATAAATGATTTATCAAACATTTTAGCTGTGGAGTCTGGAGATCCGCTGTAAATTTTATTTTTAAGAATGCATAGGCGCAGCCAGTGTGTGATGGGTGCGATCCCCCATAACCAATAAAAATAAGATTATGAGATAGAAGAAAAGAGCTTTAAAATGCTTTTATTTGAAGTCTCTAGTTCAATTTTGAAGGAAGTTGCATCAAGTTTTGTATAAATTCAAAACAGATCTTTTTTAGCTTGCTTATGCCACGATCACACCCCCCCTATCCCTACTGAAAACAAAAAAAATTTGGTGATCGCACCCCCCTAACTGAAAGCTGGCTTAACGCCCATGGGGTGTTATTTTAAGCAATAATCAGCATGTTAGACATTTGTTTTTGGAACAATAAGAAATAACCAACTAACAGTACATAATGAAAATCATACTAACACCTTGTACATGAAGAACTTGAGATTGAACTAAACCCAAAGTTAATCCTAGATGGGACTCGTAATGAGTTATAATTTTCATAGAATAAATATTAAATCTCATTCATTAAAAGTTCACTTATTATACAAAAAAAAATTTTCACTCTTAACAGATTTTTATTGTTTAATCGATTCTTATAAAAAATATTTTGTTGATTCAACAGAGTACTAAATGTCTTTAAACCCTTAATATCAGGGATTTACAATTACTATATGCTGTATTATAAAGAAATTATGTGAAATCAAGGATATGTAGGCAATGAGAGAAAAAATATTGCTTAAGATGTTAACCATAAAGGATAAAAAGTCAAGTACCCTAGATCTCAAGGGATGTCCTTTCATATTTATTCAAGGCTTTAGATGGTAAATAACATACCTGTTCCATGCGCAATGACAGGGTTGGAGGTCAAATATGTTACAAATTCTTCAAATGTTGTATATCTCAGTTTGCCGAATATAATTGTATTGTCCTTCACATCAATGTTATAGTGCTTCACTTTGTTTTTTGTGCTGAAATGAAATCAAAACATTAATACTTGAAAAATGTAGATGTGAATATGTCCCTTATCTCAGTAGCTACATGGGAATTATAAATGAAAAATATCTCAGAGGTTTTTCTATTAACTTTTGCTGATTTTTTAAACTTAAATTGCATTATTAAAATGAAAAACTTCTGAATATTTATTTTTCATATGTTATTCCCAGGAACTTAGACTCAGATTAGAGACATGTTCACATGTGTACAAAAATGAAAAACTCAAATCAAATAAACAGTTTTTAGAATAGTGCATTAATAGTAAATTTATCAACCAAGACATCTGTATAGTGAAGATAAGTTCGTGCTGAAAAGAGAAAATGTTAAAACTATATATACTTTAAGAGAAAAAAACGAAATAAAAACTAAAAACATCAAAACCGTTTTAGCGTTTCTCATCAGCAATAATTTACAGATACACCAACCATTATAAACAAACAAATACAAAGATTGGTCCAAGACGTATCATGGTTCATAATTCATAATTTTAAATAATCTAATTAAATAGAAGAGAAACAAGTCAACAAAGACAAAATATCATCACATACCAAAAAATCAAAAATAAGATATCAAACTATTTAACTCAGAAATAAAATACAATTAAATTGCAATTTTTACAATGTATAACCAAATGCCTTACTGTCTTTCCTACTCAACGATAAACATTTACTTTACGAAACATCGAACTATAAATTCTTTATATATGGTTAGGGCGATGGTGAACATGTTTTCCTACATGCTTAAATCATCTTAAATAATTGCTGTCATCGGTTTCAATGTATACACACGTTCTTCCTGCTCTTTCAATTTCACATCTTAAAAATGTTTGTTTTACTTAGAATACTTCATCAAGTGTTGTTAGGAACTCCTAATTGTACCATATGAAGCACTTTAATTAGTCATTAGACTTAATATACAGTTACAAACAAGGAAGTCTTATTTCTGGAAACGCTATTTTTATAGATTAGGCACTTGTATGTATTTTATAATGTGGCTAGCTAGTTATAACAACCTACACATAGATTTATCAATAGACTTTCAAAGAATGAGGAAGTTGATTCAGAATTCTGTTTATTTGTTTTTACATATTGTATGTATTTATATGTGTTAGATAATCTCTCTATGAACTCTTGAATTAACTGATTAACTGGAAACATATACTATATGTAGTGCTCAATTTTGTAATTGTGAGGAGTATTGATCCTTTTCACAGGCTTGAAAAGCATAATTTGAAAAATTTGATTAGAGCAATTTTAGAGAAATATTCTGTGACAGATTATCATATCGAGTCATTTGGGTTTCAGGGTCAATTCTTTTGACCACCCATCACTCTGTGTGGATGTCCAAAGGTTAATCAATGTAAAGCCGTATGAGAGGGGTCTTTATCAAAAATATATACAATTGTATCTGTGCGTGGCCATTGCCAGACATGAGTCAGGGGGGGGGGCAAGTACATCCCCAAATTTTACAGAAATATATTTTCAGAACAAATCTTGCGGAAATAAACTTCAAATGAAATCATGAAATATCTCCTTCAGTTTAAACTTGTCAGGCCTAGTTTTTGATTCTGCCTTGAAATGGCATTACACTTACACATACAGTACAGTTAACTTATATGTATTTGTACATTTCTAGGTTTAAAACTGTCATAAAAACAGCTCTACTTCAGTAAAAAACATCTACTTAAAACATACATTCAAATCTTATCACCTTACAAGGATAGGAGTTTTTATTTACATATGCTAAAAACCAACAAACTTACATCTTGGGAACAGATTTGTTAAATACAGTAAAACCTGTTTAATCCGATCAGGTGTCCCGATTTCGAAGTTTTTGCATCCTCATGATATTCTGGATTTTGAAGAAATATAAATGCATCGTTAATGATATTAATGTTTCTTTTGATCACAAAGCTTAATAGAATTCCAAAATCTGATTCAAATGAATTTGGTCATGCCAGAAAGACCAATTATGATTGATTTCTTTCAAAAGTTTTGATGTCTTAACAAATCAGTGTTAAAAATATTTGAGTAATATTAGGCTATAAGAAATATGTGATATTTTGTGAAAAGTTTTTTTGTAATTTTTCAAATGTGAGTGTCCATTGTTCAAATTAGGAGATGTTCAGATTTTAACAGGAGAGTCAATGGGAGGAAAGAATTGGACCAGAAAAAACTGTTTGGATTGGAAGGTGTCGGAAAAGCCAGGTCTTCAGATATACAGGTTTTAGTGTACTATAAAAAAAATAAATGCTCTCCTTTGAACATTGTTTTCTACATATCAATTTTGTATTCTTTGTACATGTACATGATTGTTTACAAATACACATATTGTACTAAAACCTTCTCTCACACCAGGAGAACAATACCAATACCAATTTAAAATACCAGCTTTATTAAAGATTTTTCCTTTACCCTCATTACCCTTTGGCATTTTGCTCATAGTCTACTTGACCTAAACATTCACAGTGAACAATGTCAACTCATAACTCATGTTTTATGACCTTTCAGTTGAGTAGCTTTATTAACTCTAAAGAAAAGTGAATAAAAACATTTAAAGATTAATGGGAATAAAAACAAACAGTTTAACACTTCCTAAATGATTCATAAAGAAAGATGATTATAATTCTCCCTATCTCAATTGCACACGCATTTTCTGAATCAAATTAAGATTATTACATCAAAGGATATTTAAAGTAACAATTTATCAGCATCGTGATAAGCGATCATCTTATTTCTTCTCAGACATGTTTCTTGTGAAAAAGAAAGATGGGATGAGTATCAAAATGATTTATCTGAGGCTTGATGTTTATATGGGGAATATTGTCATGATAAATATCATGTAAGTGATAAATGTCATCACCTGATTGCAATTTCAGATGTGTAACCATTTGCATCAGACACTGGATCCAAAATATTGGTCGCAAAAAAATGGTGGCTATAGCAATATATCACCATTCCTTGATCATCTCAGTCCTCAATATAGGATCCATGAGACCTGTGCTCACAGAGTAAATTGATACCAAAATGTGAATTTTTATGTACAAATCGCTGATTTCTCAAAAACAGACAAGACTTTGGAAATGTTTATGATGAGTGAAAAAATATAACTATGGAAGCCAGGGGCCCTATTACTAGGCCTTATTTTTAAATTTTAGGCCATATCAAGAAAATAGGCCTTAAATTTTGTTTTTAGGCCCAACATTTTTCTGAGCCTTTTCATACTTGAAATGTGAGCTCCTCCCCCCCTGATATGAATATCAGCTCTAATTTGTATCATCAATGTTGATGGATGGACGGACAAAATGACCAACAGACGGGTTAGTCGAGCCCTTAGGCTTACTGTGTGAGCCAAAAACACAATAAGAAAAAAATAAAATTCAAAAGGAAAAATAGTTATAAGGCATCAAATCCGAACATCCCAAGCAAGTCTTTAACATCAAATCTAACGATATACAATCATACATATAACGGCTATATTTTTTAAAGTAATATGTGATTCATACCCATACACTTTTCATAAATATTATCTGTATATGAATGTGTTTATCTATTTCAAAATATTTACTTTTAAATTATTTTTCAAATATTTTATGATTTATCTAAATCTGTGTTTATCAATGTTTTCAAGTAATTTAATAAATTAGGTAGGAGTAAACAAAACACTCTAGATTATGATAAATGTACTTCAAACTTTTTTATAGTAAAAATTATCAAAAAGTGAATTTTACTAGAATAGGATTAAAGTGGTTAGATAAAGAGGTGTTCACATTAATAGGCTCTGATAACATGGGATATCATTAGTGTTGTCGAAATTAATTGATACATAGCGATGTACAGCCCCTGAAGTGATTCTGGCGATGCATCGATTTCTGAAACAAAACAGCAGAAAACCTCCAAAAATAGCTTTGGCCAGCAATAAGTTAGATCTGCTAAAAATCACCTTTTCCTATTTGTATTACCTTTCTCATTCCGCAGTTCATTTTCCAATGTTCTCTGATTTGATTCCACTTTATTGCTGATGCATCGATGTACGATAATGACACATTATGATGCTTTATGACAACACTAGATACCATACCATGAATCCCATAAGTTGGGACCAAAAAGATAGTTAAAGATAAAGTTAAGAAATGTCAATAAGTGTTCTGATATACAGGTTTGACTGTAGTTCAATGAAGGTGTGCCTCCTGTGCTGACATTTAGACCTGCTTGAATTAAATATAAATCAAAATATTGCAACATTACCTATTGTATTTGAGCCACTTTAAACCTTTCTTCAAACACTGATGTACGAGGCCAAGAAATAATTCTTGTTTTTGGTCACCAGACTTCCAAAATCAAAAATGACCATCAGACCTCTTTTCTTATTTTTCTGAACAATCTTTCCCTTTAATATCTATGTGAATTACACTCGAAAACTGAACATGAAATGCAAAGACTGATATTTATTTTAATGGATGTGTTTATGGGCATATCAACTGACAATGACAATGGAAAGGATACATAAACTTATAAATAAGACTTTTTGTAAAAAAATTAAATTAATTAAAAAATTAGTACTGACCAGACTGGGTCAACTCTTCTATTCCTTGATATTTCCACCAACTATCACAACGACCAGAAACACATTTTTTCTGCTTTTATAACTGTTTGGATAATGTACAATTAAGGGGTCAACTCAAACATTTTACAATAAACTACATGATACATACGGTACTAATTCACTTTATTAACCACAAGATCATCCACTCAATCCTTTAATAACAAACAAAAATAGAAAACAATACACCGATTAACAATTTATGGACTTTTTACTTCAGAAAATGGAAATTAGCTCATACCTTCAAAATGAAACTAAATTACATATAGACTTTAGAGTGAAACATTTAAGACAGTACATTGCATAGCTTTACCAAATGAACTCAAATAAACCAGTAAAATCATGCCAAGAATTATATAATTTTAAGTTCATATGAAAGCAATGTAAAGGGGAATACGAGCAAGATTACATATTATATCATCAGCCAGAGTAGTGCCTTTTCAAAATGCTTACCTAGCAACATCTCAGCAAGATTTGTGCCATTAATTTTTCTTCAAAAATCACTATTTTATAAATTCGCAAAAAGTGGTTCTTTTGACTTGCCAATATCTCATGTCTCTATATTTTGCATCCTCCTCTAAGCAGGTATCCAGAATCCGTACCTCCTTCTTCCCCCTGCTATAACCAATTTGGAAGCGCTTGATTAAACTGAATCACGTGATCTAATTATGCGCAATGACCTATACATGATTTCTGCCGCAGTGTTGCGACAGCCAATCAGATTGCGAGTTCTTAATCAGAGAAATGCTAACTGCTTATCGCAGGGGGTAAAAAGAAAGAATATATTCTGGATTTTGAAGCCCTGTGATCGGAGGATGTATATTTTGACACTGATGCATTTTTGATGTATTAAATTTCACCTGAATTAGCCAAACCCAGTAAAATTCCTTTTAACAAAATTGCATGTTGCACGACATGTTTGTATGTTTGTTTACAGCCAAACAAGCATGACAACTAATTTCACCAGGCACCTGTTAAAAACTGGGGTAATAACACCTTTTTGCCATCATATCAGTAAATATATATTCAGTTACATAATGATGGCAATTAATGTCTGCCATAGTTAAAAAAAACTTAAAATATTGAGGTAATGACATAAAAAATAGTCACATGCCTTTCCTGAGACTTATTCATTTACCATTTTATTATTAATTGACCTCTATGATTAAATAAACAAGAACAGAAAAATAAATTATTGTTATATTATTTAATGGCCATTAACATGCAAAATGTCACCACCTGCCATTTGTTACAGACACTGAGCTCTGAATGCTCAGACCACCAACCACCATCACAAAAAATTAAAGACCTTAACGATATGTCCCCTATTGGTGGTGGCATTTAATAAGTGCTTGATGTCCAATGGCTCACTGACTTCATATTAATTAAACCTCTCAAGTGAAACACATCCCAAATGAACACTTTAGAGGTATCACTGATATTCCACTTACTCAAGTTTTACTGTACATAACAACCATAACTCTATCCGAGTTACATATTTTTCGTCGAAACTTTGCAGTTTTAGTAACGATACATAAAAGTACATTATGTACAATTTTGAAGACGATTGGTGCATATTTAACAAAATGCCAGCACCAGTCCTGTTACTTTTGGAACACCCTGTATTCAGATACTTTAAAAATTAATACTTACTTGACAGACAATGCAAGTTCTCCGGGTTTGGAACTAGGACGTAATACATAACTCCCTTCTTTGCAAGTTTCTAGTAATGCAATCGTTGATTTACGTGTCGCGTCTGGATGGTACCAACTGAAAAGAATAACAACTTTGTAAAAATATGCCTTTCTTAGTACTATTGTATCTTGGCTATATAACCGTAGTACATAAACTTGACATGGCTCATAGTAATCTGCTTATGAAATCAAATCAATTTGAATATGTATATATAATTGTATCCTGTGGAGTTTTTAGCTGTAAATAATACCAAAGCCAACCCAAATTATGTCACTTAAAAAACTAGTTTAGGCCTAGTGCCAGGGGGACAAGTAAGATAACATCACATAATTTGATCATTGCCATGGTAACCCATAATTTTGTTAATTGCCTTAATTTCATGTGAATAAATAAACCTCTCTCGGTGGAACTTCTTCCAAATTAAATGTTATTTTGAAGAATCAAATGTGTTCCTCTTATACAGATTCATCGTATAATTACTAAATATCTAATCTAAAATATGTGAAGAAATTTTGGCAAAACAAGCATCCATCAAATGGAGAAACATCTCATCTGACTTGATTTATACTTACATTTTCATGTATTAATTACAAAGTATGAAATTTTTACTTGCTATGAAATAGAATAATTTTGATTGGTACATATAATGTTGTAAAATATGTTTCAATATCATATTCAATATTCAAACTCCCCCCCCCCCTCCCTTGGTTTTAAGACCTTATTTTTAAATTTCAGGCCAAATTTTGAAGAAAATGGGCCCAAAAAGTTTTCCATGCAAGTGCCGAATTTTTTTCTCTGACCTGAAATTTGCCCCCCCCCCCTTGTTGGTTCCCAAAACCACCCCTGATATTGCATCCCTAAAGCATTTCCTGAAAAACGAGTTAAAAATAGAACTTACGGCAGTGATTCAAGTGCATCAGCAATCCATAAATTGGTCATCTTCTTTTAGTGTTGCCTCCACAATGTTTTCCAAGTTTCTGAAAGTGAATTCGATGATTTTGATTTCTGTTATTTGTAGGAAAAGGTAAAAATAGACACAGAGCGCTATAAATTAGTGATTATTCATGTTTTTCTTGTGAAACAGCTGTAAGGAAACTGGAAGTGATTGTTTTCTTTACACCAGCCTAAATACTTTTAGTAAAGCTTTTATTAGAAACTCTTCAAAAAGAGCAGCAAAAATCATCTCTGATCTGGGTTTACATTTCGGAAAACCCAGAGTGAATAATATGACCAACTAACCAATAGAAATAAAGAAATAATATACATACTAACCATAGACATTGATGAGTCACTGATGCACAGCTGGGAATGATTATTGTGAGTGATTTCTGTCAGAGTGAAAAAATAGTTCAACAAAGTTTGAAAGAAGTGAATAATGTTTCAATTAGAAAAATAAGATCCATGAAATTAAAAAGTTATATATTCATGTCAACTGTGTAACAATTAATAATTGTAAGCTTTATTATTCATAAGGTTTGTCTTTCCTTGTATTTGATTTTAAAAAATATTTAATTATTCACTCCGTATTTGATAGAACACACTGCTTCCGGTTTAAAAATAAAATTTGTCCCAGTTTTTCCTCAATATCTCTATTATTTGTATACATCCAGGACATTATTTAACATATAATCATGGGTATACTAGAGAAGATATCGGATATTGAAAAGGAGATCAACAAAACCCAGAAAAATAAAGGTAGCTAGACTAAAAGTTGAAGCGCGAAAATATTTCTCTAAAAAAATTGTTCACTGAATCTGATCACTCATCGACTTGTCTGCCTCTGTGGTGTAATGATTAGCATGTTAGTCTCCCAATGCACAGAGAACCTTTAAGTGTATATTTAGATGAAGGTGTCCAAGGATCTCGTCCAAAAAACACTTGCTTCGGGTTCGTTCAAAGCCACCTAGAAAGAAAAATAGCCCAAATCCAGCATTTAACCTAGCTCTCAATTTTAAATATTATGTTTAGATTCAATGATGTAGATGAATCGAATCCATGTTGTCTACAGAGTAAAAAATGAAGAAATAGATAAAATAAGTTTTGCAGCAATTCTGCGCCGATTGCCTACAGAGTAAAAGTTGAAGAAAGAGATAAAATAAGTTTTGCAGCAATTCTGCGCCATTTCAATTTGATCCCAGCATTTGTCATGTCAACTTTTCAAAGTAGATCCTTAGATCCCCTCATCTAAGCTTAAATATACACTTAAAAGAATAGGAACACATGTAAATAGTCTTTCTTATTCTTTTAAGTTACTTTGTTTATGTATCTATTGGCACTGTTATGTTGCCATTGGACACTTGATACAGTCTTCCTCTGGATACTTCTTCAACTCATTTTAATACTAGACTCCATTCCAGAAGGTCTATATAGATATATAATGTGTATGTTAAGCCAATATTGTATGCATACTGCAGAATCTAAATGTATTGCATTTAATTATTTTCAGCTACGGAATATCACTTGGGTTTACTGAAAGCCAAGTTAGCCAAGTACAGATCTCAACTTTTAGAACCCACTGGAAAAGCTGGAGCAAAGGTACATTTAAATCTAGAAATACTTGAACTTAGGTTCTTGAAGTTCATAAAATAAATCGAATATTAAAGACATTTCAATACAAGACTCAGACTGTAAATTTAACAGTGTCTAGTAGTGTTGTCGCGATTAATCGATACATCGCGATATACATCGCCAAAGCTGATTCTGGCGATGCATCGATGTCTGAAACAAAACATCGATGTTTTTAAAAAAATTTAATTTGCTAAAAATCACCCTTTCTTATCTTATTTTGACGCAAATCGCTTACCTATTTCATTCATTTTCTAATGTTTTCTGATATTCTTTCGCTTTAAAACTGTTTTAGCTGGTCGAAATGAACCATTAATCTAAAAAAAAATTACTTTACTTTAATTTCACCGTTATTAGAAGTTCCCGGATGTACCAGCGTAGTCTTATTAATTTGTTCTGTTCGGTATTTTAGTGCATTAGCGTTCGGTATTTCCATGGGCTATGGTATTTTAGTGCACTTTTTTCAGACTTTTTCTCGATGTACAGGGTGTCAAAAAACAACGGCACCCCCCTCTACAGCAAAAAGTCCTTAATGTTACATATTGTGTCATACCTCATTTGAAAGATAATTTAATTCTGGAGTTACTCTTCAAATTTCATTTAATAAAACTTTATATTAAAAAAGCTACATTGTTTCAAAGTTTGCTACTTCGGTACTCTGTTTGCTGCTTTGTTACTGGTTAAAGGTCACATCTTAAGAAAGTAAAACATGAAAGAATTAGCTTAGATTTCAACTACACTGAACACATGGGCTCAGTTCTGCAAAACAGGGTATAGGAATTGATGGAAAAAGAGCCTCTTGAAAAAAGATACAGTAAGGGTGTAATTCTGAAGAATGTGAGGAAAGTGCTAAGAGGATTATGCAATGCTACACCTTTATCTGAATTTTTATTGAAATCATATCCATCCAGAAAAGCTGCTGTTCGAGCAGCAACTGGTAGTCATACCAACTACTGAAAATCAGCTGTAAATCTGTAAAATTATATGATATCGAGCTGATATTTCTCAGGTAACTCCAGAATTAAATTGTCTTTAAAATGAGATATGACACATCATGTAACATTAAGTACCTTTTGCTGTAGAGGGGGGTGTCGTTGTTTTTTGACACCCTGTACATCGCGATGTGCATCGATGTTTACTATTGAAAATTGCCGATGCATCGATGTACGATTATGGCACATCGCGACAACACTAGTGTCTAGTAGTTGCTGAAGGGAAGAATGAGTCTTATTTAATCCTGATCCATATTCAATTTACAATGTGAATAAACAATGTCAAAAATACAAAACTTACAATTATAAATGTTTATTATTCACCACCAGAAGTTGTATTGTTTAGTCTCCAACTTTTTGTAGACAGTGGTTGGATTTCAGTAGTCAGCATCTGAAACAACTGGTAGGTGGTGACATTTTGCATGTTAATGCCTTGTTACAAATGTTACTTATAGCTCATTCATTGGGCTGTTAATGTTATTTCAGGGAGAGGGGTTTGATGTTATGAAATCAGGTGATGCCAGGGTTGCATTGATTGGATTCCCCTCTGTTGGAAAGGTAGGTCAAGGTCATCTAGGTGCAGGCCCTTAACAAGCTTTTTGCCAAGGGAGGCTCAGTTTTTTAAATTCAAATTTGACTGTTTTTACCCAAAATCATTTAAAAAGAGCTCAAAATAACTTGAAAGACTGCATGATTTTGAAAAGAACTTTTGGCCAGGTGGGAGTTACTTTGAATCCCCCTGGAGCCCCCCCCCCCTCCCCCGTCCTGAATTTGAGCCTGAATGAAATTACAATCTGCATCTAAAACCATATGTGCTTTGGGGTTGCTTGATAGAATACATCTTGATAGTCTTGATCCATTAAGGTATTGCATATGTCATTAAGGTGTTGCATTTGACATTAAGGTATTGCATATGACATTAAGGTATTGCATATGACATAAAGGTATTGTATATGACATTAAGGTATTGCATATGACATTAAGGTATTGCATATGACTGAAGGAATACACTGATTTAACAGTATGGATAGAATTTGTTAACTAAAAATTTGAAACAAATTATGTTGAACATCTACATCTATTCTGATACTTAGTAATTTAGTGAGGTCCTTATTGCATGTATGTTACACTGAGTTGAAGAACCATTATAATATTGGTCATTGACTTTCTAATCTTTATTACATTGTATATTTCATTGTAGGTCATATTTTGTGTACATATGTTCTCTTATTATTTCAAAGTAGCATCACTTATTTCACTGCAGGTTTGAAAACTGGACCTCCGATTTGCCCTTGCAAAAGCTCTCAACTTTTTGACCTCATTTTAAAATTCATTCAAGAACAGATCATGCATGAGGAACTCAGTCACCAATGGCATTGGATTAAGTAATAAAGATATTGATAAAAAATTCTTTTAAACTATACCTTTTTGTTTTAGTCTACCCTGTTAAACACCCTGACAACCACACACAGTGAGTCTGCAGGCTACGAATTCACAACTCTCACATGTATTCCTGGCGTCATTGAGGTAAGAAAAATAATCATTTTGTCAAAAAATAACCAGATTGTCATAACTTAGAGGCTTTCTTAAATTTATGATCCCTGAATCATTGTAACCATGGTGATCATGTAATGATGTCATGAAGTAAAAGAACAATACTCTTAATTAGAAATCCTGTGTAAAAATACAGACTGTAAACTTTTAAGTCTATCTCTTCTATGTGGCTTTAACATTTTAATTTTGTATGCATATTTTATTGTTTGCAGTATAACGGGGCAAATATTCAACTGCTAGATCTCCCTGGGATCATCGAAGGGGCTGCACAAGGTAAGTGTATTAAAGGGTCTTGTTTAATGTACATTGTTCATCAGAAACAACTTTTTTCCAAATTATATGTTTTATTAGACACTATCAGTAGAAGGATTTTTTCCTTTAATGATGATAAACAGTATTTATTGAAATTATTTGTTGGAGATTTTGTCAGACAAGTGTATACTCAGATTTTATGTAAATGTTAAAATGAATGAATAACGCAGATGCGAGTAGGTTGTTACCAGTTTCACCACCAGGTGGCTCGTTCGGGTCAGATAGCATGGCGGGTAAAGTAGAAAGTTCCCTTTAACTTCAATTACATCTGTTTTAGTGGTTCAATTTTCATATAACCCTTATGTTTCTAATAGTTATGCAAATCAAAATACGTCCAGTAAATGAAAATGTTATCTGACCAATACAAGAAAAGATATTTCACTTTTTGTGATTTTGTAACGTGGGCTCTATGGAGAATCAACCCGAACTAGAAGTCACACTTTCAAAAATAATTAGATTTTCAAACTTGATAAACAATTTTCGAAACCATATTTCTAGATGTACTTTTACATGTAGATCTCAAATATAACATCGCTTTGATTGAATTTTGAATATTTAATGGTGTAAATCAAGATTTTTTTCTACTCGCATCTAGTCTATTCAAATAAGCACTATCAGGAATGGATATACTATATATAGTACTTATACGAGGGGTGATCCAAAACTCTTGGACGCCCTGCTCTAATTTTCTTGGTTTTTGATAAAATTACTTTAAACTTTCCAATAATAAAGACCAACAACCTAACTACTTTGTGTATTAATTTCATGGAGAAATGATATGTTTTATGTAGTTTCCTAGACAGTTTTTAATATAGGGACCCTGCCATCCGGAACGGTATTCACACATGTCAACTTTCAGCCTTAAATGTTGCTGCCATTTAACTTGTTTCGCAAGTCTTGACCACCGTCTTTCTTTGAATTGTGAATGTTAAACCATGTTAGTTTACTTCCTTTGTTACTAGGCAACCAATTAATTATGTTTTAATTATAATGTCACATATGATAATGGTCATATATGTCAAATTCTAAGAAAATGACATCAGACAAGCAACCCTCATTCTGGTATCATTTTTGTTTCAAGATGGCTGCTGAAATGCAGAACATGAAAGAAATCAAAGTGGAACAAAGAATACTTCAAGATATTTTCACTATTATTGACCTTTAGCAGCTACCATATACACGATATAGTCTAGATATGGCTCCATCTGATTTTCTTCCTTTTCTCGAAGTTGAAAGGAGGGTTGAAAGAAAATGTTTTTTTTTACTGATTGGATGAGGTTTAGCGTGGCACTCCAGCAGCATTTGTATCACATAAGGAATGGCGGTTTCATAAATGTCTTCCATTCATTGGTAAAGCGGTATGAGAGATGTGTTCAAATTCGTGGAAAATATGTTGAAAAGTAGGTCTTAATATGTAAAGATGATGATGGCAGATGACACTCAGATTGAAAGTCGGAAATTCTCTCTTATAATGAGTCTGATGTTAGGTTGTGCGCCCGCACCCAAAGTATTTGCCATATTATAACAGTTGTGACGTGATTTGCTATATTTAAATACCGTTCCGGGTGGCAGGGACCCAGTGTTGAAAAACCTTTACCAAAAAGCTAAAATATACTATGTTCTGTTGAAACTTACACAAAAAGTTGTTAAGATGTTGATCTTTATTATCTGGAAGTTTCATGCAATTATATTAGAAAATAGCAAAGTTAGAGCAGGGCGTCCAAGACTTTTGGATCACCCCTCGTATAGTACTTTTAAGATATATCATCTACAACATCTAGTATCTTAAATCCAATATTATAAGTATATCCCATAATTTTTAGGCAAAGGTAGGGGTCGCCAGGTGATAGCTGTCGCAAGGACGGCAGACACCGTCATCATCATGCTGGATGCCACCAAGAGTGACAAACAAAGAGAACTTTTAGAAAAAGAGTTAGAGTCTGTTGGAATAAGGCTCAATAAAAGAAAACCTAATATATATTTTAAGGTACGTAATTATTTGTACAATTTTGTCTCTATGGAACACCCATTTTCAAAAAGTGGTGTTGTAGTCAGGCATCTAATAATGACACATTGAGATTTGTTTTTTTAATTATATCAACGAGACATGTCATTTTTGACTTATGTACTTTTAGTTCAATGAATTAGGTGGCGGTTTTATCTTCTTATTCCCCAAAATGTAGTCTTACAAGAATATATTTAGTGCCATGGCTTTCATCTGACTCATTAGATAGAGAAAATAAGGAGTAAATAGGATTTTTACTGTTTTTTCGTCACCACCATAAGTTGTGACATGTAGTTATATTCTCCAACTTTTTTGCAAACAGTGTTCAGCATCTGGAAATTGGTGTTTGTCATTCAGCAATTGGCAGTTGGTGTTCAGTGTTTGGCATCTGTAAAAATGGCAGGTGGTGACATTTTGAATGTTAATGCCTTGTTTACTCTTGTATTATGATTCAGTTGGAACAATAGAATACATGGAGCTAAAGTGGAGCTTTTGAACATTATTGATATATATATTACATAGGCAACAAATTATATTAAACTGTTAATTTCTTTTTTAAGCCTATTGAAACTGAATAAAAAATATTTTCTATTTTCAGCAAAAGAAAGGTGGAGGATTAGCATTCAACTCTACTCTTACACTCACAAAATGTAATGAAAAACTTGTACAGTTAATATTACATGAATACAGTATCCTTTAACATACATTATATATAAAGATGACCAAATATGGTATGTTTGCTTGTTATTCGTATTGTTAAACTATAGCTTAGGCCTTGTTTGTGGGAAACTAATCAATTAGCAAATAACAGTGAAATTTAAAAGATGCCCCCATTCCCCAAGCAGCTTTAACAGTCCCCTACCAAAAGAAACAAAATGTGAGGAATATTTTATCTTTGGGCCTAGCATTTGCCTTCATATGATCTCATTTTCAAAAAAAGGCCCAATCTGGAAAAATTGAGCTCAAATTCTCAAAATAACATATTTTAAAAAGGAATACATTTTTTATCTAACAGGCCCCCTCCAATTGGCTTCCGAATCCGCCTCTCTAAAGATCACAATTGTTCTGCTTTATTTTGAGATATTCAGTCATGTACGAGTTCAAGTAAAATCAATTCCTTAACTGTATGCCAGAAATCTTCAATGCTGAAGTTTTATTTAGGGAAGACTGTACTGCAGATGAACTCATTGATGTTATAGAGGACAATAGAGTCTATATGAACTGCTTATATGTAAGTACAGTCTATTATAGAGGACAATAGAGTCTATATGAACTGCTTATATGTAAGTACAGTCCATTGCACACTGCACAGGTCATTAGAGTTTATATGTACTGCTTATATGTAAGTACAGTGTATTATAGTGGACACTAGAGTATATATGAACTGCTTATATGTAAGTACAGTCCATTGCACAGGTCATTAGAGTTTATATGTACTGCTTATATGTAAGTACAGTGTATTATAGTGGACACTAGAGTATATATGAACTGCTTATATGTAAGTACAGTCCATTGCACAGGTCATTAGAGTTTATATGTACTGCTTATATGTAAGTACAGTGTATTATAGTGGACACTAGAGTATATATGAACTGCTTATATGTAAGTACAGTCTATTGTACAGGTCATTAGAGTTTATATGAACTGTTTATATGTGAGAACAGTCTATTGTACAGGTCATTTGAGTTTATATGAACTGTTTATATAAGTACAGTCTACTAGAGGAAAATAAGAGTCTTATGATCTGTTTATATGTATATTTATTATATTTGGTACACGTTATTACATGTACAGTTTATTACAGGTTAAATGTATTACATGACTTGTTCAGTTTATTACATGTACAGAGTTTAGTACAAGTACAAGTACAGTTTATAACATAATGTCCAGTTTATTACACGTACAGTTAACAGTTTGATATTTACTTGCCCATGACATTTAGCATGTTAATACCTTTCTATTTACAGACACAGTTCTATTTTTCAGGTTTACAATAAAATAGATCAGATATCAATAGAAGAAATTGACAGAATAGCCAGGCAGCCACATAGTGTAGTAGTCAGGTAAGCCATATGGAAAACTATATACATGTACATATAGTAGTACACTTGTACATCTAGCAAAACTCAGCTGTGGTACATTACCTCTTGGAGTAGTAACAGGAAGAAACAATCCTAAATTAAAGATACAGTGAAACCTTTATATTCGAACACTTCCAATCCAAACATCACTCAATGTGAAAACTTTTCTCAGTCCCAATTGTGTTATCTCCCATTGACTTTTTATAAAACCATGAAATGTGAACACCTGCAAATCCGAACACTTCTGGTCCCAGAGGTGTTCGGATTTGACAGGTTTTACTGTACATGCTAATGATTGCTGGTTTCCCCTCTAGCTGTAACATGCAACTGAATCTGGACTACCTGTTGGAGAGACTTTGGGAGGAATTAGCTTTAGTCAGAGTCTTCACAAAGAAACGAGGCAGTAAGTATTCAGAGAACCTTGCAGGGGGCAGTTTCATAAAATATTTTGTGAATTTTGATTCATGCAGTTTAGGAGGATTGGCTGGCAGGGGCACACTCGATATTTTCCAACAATGAAAATGTCAGAATGTTGTTATTTTCTGACATATAACTGACTATTAAATGATATTCACACATAGCTAGGCAAAGTGTGTCCTATTCCAGCCAATCCGAACAGAGTATTCACATAATGAACAGTGTGTGAAATATCAATATCACATGCAAGGTCACTAGTTAACAGTTGTCATGGTGATGAATGGATTTTTCACATTGGATTTGATGACTTGCCAACTTGACCCTTGCAAAAAATTTCATTGAAAATATGTTCTTTTAGTGATTTTTTCCTTTTAGATGATTTTATAGATAAAATTTAAGCCCAAGACTCAATGCATTATAGCTGCTTCATTCCACTCATGCGCTGTTTCCTAAACTTTGTATTCCCGCTGCGCGGTCATGCAAAGGTTTGGAAACAACACCTTCATGGTATGATTCAGCAAACAATGCACTGAGTCCAGGACTTAAATCCTTTAAAAGATTCAAACCAACATCTTGATCAATTCTTGCGTGCCTTGGAATTTTCTTTTTGGAAATAAGACCAAAACTCATGATTCATATTCTGAAGTGAACAAAATGACGGCTGCATGGGAGCAATAATAGATGGTCAAATATAGTCAAAATTCTGTTTCCAAGGAATATGCATTTCAAAAGTTGTACACCTGGGATAAAGTATTTTGTTAAAACTCCATGCCTGGGACAACAATGCTTGTCAAATGCCTAAACCTATCAAGTGGGGTCTCATACGTTTGAATGATCCATTTTACTTAAGGAATAAGGACCTCGATTTTATGATTTATGGCGTAATATTATGACCGAAAATTTGATTCTGTTCATTGTTAAAAGACCGAAATCTTGTAACAATTGAGGTCTTTGGCAATGGCCAGAATAAAATTTAAGGTCATATATTTGACATAAATCATAAAATCAAGGTCTTTGCTACGATTCTAATATGATAAACAGACAAGAAACACAACTATTTGCATTTATGAATTTTAGCTTAATTTCTTAGTTACTGTAAATGATGCAATCAGAGATTGTAAAATATTTGAGATAACCATTACCATCTAATACCATTTTTATGTCACAACCACAAGTGGTAAAATATTCTTATAGTCTCCAACTTTATTATTGACAGTGTTCGGCATTTGGCGCTTAATGTCTGTAACAAATGGCAGGTGACATTTTGCATGTTCAAGCCTCGTTCATTTTCTGATTGTCAATTGTCAGTTCATATTTTCTATTCAGTACCGTGTACATATTTTCCTGCACATATTATATGTTTTTACATGTGCTTTCAGGTAGGCCAGATTTTGAAGATGGTCTAGTGATGAGAAGGGGGTGCACTGTAGAACATGTAGTAAGTATACCAAGAAATAAATGTGATAATGTTGTCCTTCATAGTAAACAGACAGACTAATGAGGAAGCAAGAGTATCAATTGATAGATTTATGCATGGTCTCACTTACTCCGAACAATTTCCAAAATTATTTAAGATGAATATAATATTCCTAAATATTTCTGCAAGATATTCAAGGGACTAAGTTTACCCTTTAAAAAGACATAGCTACACATCCAATGTAATTCGGCATCGAAAAAATTTGGCACTATTCCGGCACCGTTTCGACACCTTTCTGCACCGAAACCTTTCGACACCAAAGTTTGCCACCGGACTAGTCAGTCCATTGGGTGCCGAAACGGCACCGAATTTTGGCACCGAAACAGCTTTGAAAATCAGATTGCATTTTGGGGGTGTAAACCACAATCACTCTCCATTTAGATCTACACTTATAGTATTAATATTAATTAACATTATTTTTCAGTGTCATTCAATCCATAGGACATTAGTAGCAGACTTCAAATATGCTTTAGTTTGGGTAAGTAATTGCATAAGGATGCTTGGGATTAAAGAACATAACAATAAAAACATTGGTCTTGTTTACCACTGAATATTATGCAGGAAAGAAAATCAATTGTTCCATAATTCCACTTTGATTGAGCATCGTAGACTTCTCCATGTTTTTCCCTAAGTACCTTTTTCAGGTGTATTCATCAGTCTCTATCAGTTTCTAATGTCGTGAGTGTCAAATTGATTATTTTTGTACAATGTTCTATTTTCCCTAGCTATTTAAAACATATTGTTATATTTTTCTTTCAAATATAATTTTCTTAGATCTTAATGGGAAACATTGAATTAAAAAAACAAAATGATTTCTTTACTCATAGAAACACTCAGTTGTGGGTTATGCATCACATTTTGAAAATGAAATAAAGGTTGAATCAGCAGCCATCACTTTTAATTTTGTCTTGGGGGCATCTTTAAACCACTACGTAAAGAGAGAATCAGATCTAGCAAGCGAGCCCAACAAAAAATTGTTCCAATTTTAGAATATTTCTGGCTCGTATCATTCCTTGTCTATTTTCTAAAAATCTCCAAAGTGCACACATTATTTCAGGAAAACTAAAGATTTTTGCATTAAGGTATTATTTTTCTATTAGAATGGTTACCATTTTTCACCCATTTTGCACTTTGAATCATTAATAACTTCATCAATTTATAGCATGTTGTGAACTTTTTTGTGGATACTGTTTTTGAAATTGTAAGGAATAGATTGGTAGGTAAATTGTACATGTTGCTTGTAATTTTGTCACCCCTATAGATCTGATTCTGCCTTTAAAGTAGATCTTTTTTTAATACAGCAGTTGTTCTTTTTGTATTTTCAGGGGACCAGTACCAAATACAACCCACAACGTGTTGGCCTTTCGCACCTTATGAACCACGATGATGTCATACAAGTTGTCAAGAAATAACCACCTATATGCAATATTAAATGTGAATCCAAGATTAGTTGTAATACTGTAATAAAGATGGCATGTCAGTCATATTGTCTACTCAAGTTATGGTATTTTCTGAATAGAGTTGGACATCAGCGACCATTGGAGCCAAGAAATTATTTTGAAAATCCAGTGGCATACAGTAATTGTATCTTACTATAATTTGCTCAATAATTGACCCCTTCATTTCCTTAAGTACCAATGTGAAACTTTAACTAATGTGATGTCCATAGGATCTGTGAAAAGGAGAAAATGCACAGACAATAAGTGTTTCTTCGAACTGTATGCGGACCTGATGATGATACATAGTGGTACTCGTAAAAACTTGGTTCAGTTTTGCCTCACCTATTTGAATTTGCCTCATGTATTCTTTGATCGCGGCCATGCCTCATGTATATCCATACAGTTTTGTGCCAAAGAGCTGCATATTTGAGAGGCGTGACATTTTCTCTCCAAATTGTTTTTATTATCGCACTTTGAAAGTGCTATATTGTCGTCGTCTTGTGCTGTTGGGCGGGCGGGCGGCACATAAACCAAATCTTGTCATCAAATTTCCAGGATAACTGCTTAACTGTTCAACTTGAAATTTTTACAGATGCAAGAGCAGACTAGTACCAAGATCTGATTAGGTTAAGGGCATGCTGGGTAAACTACGTGGTGGCCATTTTGAATTTTTCAACAAATCTTGTCATCAAAATTCCAGGAAAACCACCTATCCGTTCAACTTGAAATTTTTACAGATGCAAGAGCAGACTATTGCCAAGATCTGATTAGGTTTTGGGTATGCTGGCTGAATTACATGGTGGCCATTTTGAATTTTTCAATTTGGCGGCCATTTTGAATTTTTCAACTTGCTCCAAATTGACCAAATTTTTTTTTAAAAACATCTACAAGTTCTCAGAAGTTCAAATCTGACCTTAGATTTCAGATTTAGATTTTCTAAATTGATATTTTGGATTTAAATTTAGGTCAGCTTAATTACAAAACACCTACTGAGGTCTGAAAAAGTGAAATTTTCAAGGTCGAAGGTCAAGGTCATTAAACTAGGTCACAGATTTGACCTTTCATTCACCTTCAGTGACCTTGAAAAGGTCCAAAAAGTTGATTTTCTAAATTGATATTTTGGATTTAAATTTAGGTCAGCTTAATTACAAAACACCTACTGAGGTCTGAAAAAGTGAAATTTTCAAGGTCGAAGGTCAAGGTCATTAAACTAGGTCACAAATGATGTTATCCAAGTTTCTCAAAGTTTGAGACTACAAATCAATTCTTGTCATCAAAATTGCAGGAAAACCACTAACCTTGTCAACTTGAAATGTTTACAGATGCAAGAGCAGACTAGTGCCAAGGTCTGATTAGGTTTTGGCCATGCTGGGTAAATTGCATGGTGGCCAGTTTGCTCTTCAAAGTGCGATATTTATCACTGTGTGTCTTGTTGTTTATTTTCGAACAGCCATTTTTCCCCATATAAATTGCTTAAAAGAGAGAATGGTTAAATTAAGAGTGAAATAGAGAGAAGTTGATGCATTTTTCTTACATCTCACATTTGATTGCTAATGCTAAGGTCACCACCACAAGTGATGACATATTGATGCTATAGTCTTCAACTCTTTTGTGGATGGTTTTGACGTTCAGAGTTCGGCATCTGTAACAATTTGCAATAACTTACAATGTGGTGACATTTTTTTAATGCCTTGTTACCTTTTATGTCACCACAAGTTTTACTCTCTAAAACTGTGTGTAACCTAGTGGTGACATTGTAAATGCCTTGTTTTTTCATGTGACCAAATGTTAAGGATTTCTAATACAACAAAAATCCAATAAATCTATTTATGTATAATTGTTTTACATTTGTGATATTCTCAGGAATTTATTTACCATGTTACATTTTGTGGAGAATTTTTAATTGATTTGTCATTTTAGATACTGCATACAGGGTGGGCAAAAAATGGGACACTTACATGTATTCTTGAGAGTAGAACACATGGTTTATCTATGTGATCATAAATACTTCCAAGAATGATTCAAAGTTTCCCATTTTTTGTTGCCCACCCTGTATATGATTGCTGTTGTGACAGTTAAATGCCTATTCTATAACTTACTTAAGAGTAACATGAAAAAGTTGCATGAGAAAGTTACATCATACTAAAGTAAAGTAACATGTCCCTTGTCATGCTTTTACATTGTATTACATTAAGTTAAATGGATCATTTGGGGTTTAAAGTGAAAAATAAAAGGTACCAGTCATTTAATGATCTTCCAAATAGATTGTACAGGACAAGAAATTTATCTCATGTTGACCTCCAAATAACCTGTTATACATCATTTTTGCTGGGAATTTGACAAGTAGTATTGTCCCAGTTGGTGGGGTTTTGACATACCAGTGATACTTTGTCCTGGGAGTAGGGACTCTCCAAATACAAATTCCCCTGAGCAGGAATTTCAACTATATTTGACCATTTAATATTGCCCCCAAGGTGGGGAAATTAACTCAATAGGTCACTCCCAAGGTGAAGAATTGAATTTGCAGCCCAATTTTTTTTTATTTATTATTTAGTTGTCGGGGTCTCAAACCTTTTCCACTTTGAATGGTGATGAATCATTTAATGGTTATGAATCATTTAAAACAATACACATGCTTCATTTCTTTATTTTGAGTCAATCGAATAAGGGAGGGGTCTATTCATGAATTTCTCATATCATATATTTTGAGGCCCTTATCTCATTTTACCCCTTCCCTCAAATGGAAAGCTTAGCAATGAACCTTGGATGGCCTAGACATTAAATGACAAATACTAGGGATATATACTTTCTTATGATTGCCAAATAATTATCAGGCATTTTTTATTTATTTAAATATAAGCTCGATTGTATGTTAATATTAGACTGAAAAAGCAATGAAAGTCTAATTTGAGTTGTTTCTACAAGGCAAGTAATCTAATATAGATGTCATACATCGTTCAGATAAGTGCTGCGCTGATTGTGTAGACTCATTTTTTGTTGTTATGTTTTTTCCATTCTGACTTTGTAAAGGTAGGAGGGATATTAAAAAATGAAGTGTAAGAAAAAGTGGAAGACAAATCCTGATTTAAAGCAAAATTGCTTAATATTATTATTTGGATTGAAAAATTACCTATTTTCTAAACTCCAGCCAGGGCATTGCAGTAAGGCATCACCGCTCCAACCGTCCCGCCTAGCCTAGCCACCCGCCAGCTGGCCAGGTGAGACTCCGAGGTGGTCAGAATTGATGAGGCATCATCTAATAAATTCGATATTTGGTATGAATTTGAAGTTTGTGTGGGATTGTGACAGTACTTCATTCCTGGGGTAGCCCTTTTGAAATTCATATTGCCAGTATTCAGAATTTTGACTAAATTTGATCAGCTATTGTTGCTCCTAGGGTAGGGAAATTGAAACACTAGTATGTTGAATGATATAGAATTTGACAGCCCAATTCTACTTTTTTCAAGATTCCCAAACCTTTGAATGGCGCATAACAGAAATGGTGCATATTCACAGCTCATAGTGTGAAAAAATGATAAAATTAATTTGAGACCCTACCTAGTATGAGCTAGTACAGGTGTTTTACTCTCGTCCTACATATGTGAATTAATTGTCAGGCGGCAGGCTGTGTTTTTGAGAGTTTATGATTCTACTTATTAATTAAGTAACTTCCCTTGCAAATTATTTCATACTGCTTATAATATACCTATTAGCTGCCATCCTTTGGTTGATTTAATTTATATTTTAATATTTTCCTGTCTTATAATAAAGGATTTATTATATCATGTAAGATTATAAGAAAGTCCACTCCATGTACAACATTATTTTCTTGGATATTTGATCAAAATTGAAAAATGTCCATTTTTATTTTTTGCAAGGGTAATGATTTTCCATTTAATGAAAATACTACATTCAGTACCTTAAACTTTTATGTTGTGTTGTGTAATGTTGTACAGACAGTAGTTTAGAATAATTGATAATTGTAAAAGTGTCTAAACAAGCTGAGATATGGAATTAATGATGTAAAAATGAAATGGATACACAGTACAAGCAGAGTATTACCTTAAAGGATATGTTTTGGGACCAGTCTATGGATGTAGAATTCATTTCATAGAAAGCTTGGATTAAGAGCTATATGCTGGAATAATAGTGTTATGAAGGTGTATTTGGCACCTATATCGTCATGGAATATTTGAATGTGTAGACCTCCAGTGTTTTGGATTGTATGATAACCTTATATTTGCAACGTACTATGAGGTCTAAAAAGATGGGTGTCTGAATGTAAGTACTGAATATATATGTGTTGCATCAAGTCTTTGTAATAACCCTAGTCTAAATTATCCCCTATCAGATCTGGGAAGAATGGGGATGTGGGATTTAAAATATGAGAATGGGAAGGCTTACAACCGGGCTTACAACAAAGACTTGGTGTACAGGCCCGAAGCCAGAGGACCCCCCCCCCTGGCCAAAAGTTCTTTCAAAATCATGCAGTTTTTCACCATTTTGAGCACTTCTCAAGTGATTTTAGCCATATTCGGGCCAAAATTGTCAAATGTGTACACCCCTGGAAATTTTTGAAAACTGAACGCCCCCCCCCCTGGCAAATCCTGGCTACGGGCCTGGTGTAAGTCAAGTTGAGAATCACATTAATAGTCACCTCCATCAGAATTGGGGAAGAACGGAGGAAGTGGAGATAGTAGAGATTTGAGAAATTGAAAACTGAGGAAATTTGACAACAAAGAGTTGATGTACAAGATAAACTGTGAAGAAAACATTCAAATGTAGGACTTCTGGAGAGAATTCTGAATTAACAAGTTATACTATACTCTGTGAATTCATTCATTTTGTATGACTTACTTGTTGCATCAGGGCTCGGCAACATGTAAGACAAAGCAGGGATATACTTTAAGGATCATTGAAATTGTCCCCGAGAGTAACTTAGAATACTTATTGATTAATTAATGATTAATCCTTAGATAAATGCAAATTAGCACAATACCAGGATCAATCTGATCTCCAATTTACTGGATTACACAATTGGATCAATGATCATATGATCAATTTAATCCAAAGTGCTTGGATCATACAAAACCACAATCCTTGGTTTTGAATCACAATTTTACTACTTAAAGTAAAAAATAGAGGTCTACTTATGAACCATTTAAAGTGTTTCAGAAACTTGTCAATGTTGGTTTTATTTATGTTTTTATTGTTAAGTAAATGCCTGTAACAATGTAAGTGCCCTCCATTACAAGGAACACTTGGACTTTGGGATTGTGAATATATATATTATACAGGGTGAGTCAAAAAACGTGTGTCTATTAACCATAAATTTCTCATCCAGATAGAGATAAATTTGATACCATTTTGGAAATAGTAGCTTGCATTTCCTGCAACTCTAGTGAAAATGCAAGTATTTTTGATGTTAAGGGACTTTAAACAAGTTATATCAAATGAAATATATGCACATTATTTTGGCCCACTCTGTATTATACTTGTGCCAATGATCTGATTGAACCTTTTTTATTACAGGTGTGCTTAGGTATGTATTAATCTGGCAATAGGATTTGAAACTGCTTATGGATTGATCTACATCTTATCAACCGAAATGAAGGTAACTGACCAAAAGTACTTGTTTAGTATTTAATAGGGACGAGGAGACCGTATATGTTAATGAATTACACTGGAGAGGAATAATCTATTTTGCTTTTTAACATGCTACAATTTATCGAATAACCAGCAAGGAACTTTTATTTAATTTTGAAAAATCTACAAATGTCAAAATGATTTTTTGGGAGGGAGGGAGTGGTTAATATAAGATGTTTTTTTAGGACTATTGACATCTCTGATACATTGTACATGTAAAGTGATGATTTTGGTCATGAGTAATACTGTATGTATGGGTTCGACTGAGATATCGCCAGATTTCGCAAAATGACAGTGGGCTTTTAAGGATGTATCCATTTGAGATTATGTTTTATTTGATTGACATTTCAAGGGTAATAGATTATGTGATAATCAATGAGAAAGGTACTATATGAGGTACTATATGAGCCTGGTCATAGGAAAACCGGTCTTATCACAAAAATTAAAATTGTGCTACAGAGCCAAAAATGTGCCCACGCTTAAGAGGAAAATGTGCTAAATTCAGATCTGACTTTTTGGTCTATATATGCAAGGAAAAATTGTTATTACATAAGCCATGGCTCATTTGAAAGGTTTCTTTGTGCTTTTTAAGATAAACAAATAATTAGAAAATTGAAAAAATCTGTGATAAGACCCCTTTTCCTGAGGCCTGGCTCATATTGTGGCAATCCTCCACTCAGCAATCAGGTGTTCAGATAGAGTGTTAAAGAGGTGTTCAGATAGACAGGTTTTACTATCTCGTACAAGTCCCCCCCCCAAAAAAAAAAAATTGGCTAAAATTGATAGATGAGTCAGTCCTCTTATAAGCATGTATTTTTAATGGGCTATACACTCATCTGTACAAACGAGACCCCAAAGATGAAAAGGTAAACATAAGGAAGTACAATGCAATATACTTTATCTCCTGATTCGGGGAACCCTTCAACTTTTCAAGTCACATGTCATTAAAACAATACAACTTTTAGATAACAATAGAATAAAATAGATCAGTCAAAATATAACAGCATTTTTATTGTGAGGAAACTGACTAATGCAAGTGATAACCAAAAAACTTTGGATATATGAATATGAATTTTCAATATTATGCAGTTGGTGGTTAAATATACATGTACTGCTAATACAAGTAACAATTGCGGAATCTTACATCATCGCATGACAATACATGTTATACAGGGACTAATGAAATATTCGAAAATATATGACCTGGGATTTTTTGTTTGTAAGGATAATGTCTGCCTTGGGTGTTTATTTTTTAAACTTGATTGATTTATTGGTGTTTTGTTTGATTAATGGCAGTATTCCCTCAAATAAAACGTCACAATGGCTTCGTGTTTAATTTCAATTTGAAAACAAAATAAAAAGGGGAAATTATGTAATATTAGTCAATGCTGGACACAGGATCTATGGAGGCAATGCAAAATTAAGATTGATTACTACCACTTCATTTCAACACAGTTTCATTTGCAAATTGTGTGAGTGAATATTTTTTCTCTAAAGTTGTCTGAATGCCTTATCGATGCCTGTCTTAATTCCCCTTATAATATGGAAAGGATAAAATCAAATGCCAGAAATTTTGTGATTTATCCTCAAAAGTGTACTCAAATACCAGAGAATGACATTTATTGTATTTTTAAAACACAAACAAGTATTAAAATTAGCATGATTGTTTTACATTTTATTTATAGGTTCATGACAAGTTTTTGTTTAAGCATCATCTTCACATTTTTCAGGTTACCTAGTCTTACTGAATGGATAAAAAATTAAGTCAAGAAAAATCAGAAAGGTGATCAAGCTTACTACAATACTACATGCTTATCCCCTACACATTCATATTGGATACTGGTTTAACATGTCAAGAAAATAACATGGAAGGTAAGCTGATTCTTTAAGGTTATTGCTTTGATTAACGGTTGATTGATTAATTGGAAGTTTAGGGTGAGTATATGGTACATTTGTTTTAGTTAAACATCACAGAATAAACCTTTCTGGGACAATGCGTCAGATTTTTGTCATTGATAATTTTTGAATATTTTGATACTAGATGTTTTAGGCAGTCATTTTTCACTCATGTGCTGAGTCTTCAGAATCACTCACTCATCGGTCTGTCTGTCCCTCCCTCTGTAAACAATTTTTGGACAACTGGATACTGAATTCAAATGAAATAATGCCGATCAAACCAATTGATGGCGATCCATTCTGTTTCAGCTCATAGTTTTGCCTCTTTTTTACCATGTGACCTCTCCGATTGATGTCATTTTTAATTATTTGTTATCTCATCTTATGTGATGTCTTCTTATACCTGAATGGAGATAACAGGGCAATTTCTGCTGCCAATTTGTGATGATATCAGTCAATATCAGCTTATCAACCAAATTATAATTATCTTCAAGTTGAGTGATTTTCAAGCATTTAGATCCTATACTACTTTACATGAATTCTTTTGCAACTATATGTACCGACTTTCTGCACATGTCAGAAAATTGAATGTCTCTTTATAGTTTTGTGCCAATTCTTGGTATAATACCCCTGATACGAAATGGTAAAGAGGGGATATGTTATTTTAAATCATTGGTTTGGAAATGCATAACTGAATGAGTTGAAATGTTACATATACTGATATAAATAAATAAAATAAAAAAGGTTTAAATGCTGTCCAAAGATCTAAATGCTCTCCATCTATCCTCACTCAAACCTGTTTAATTAATTTTTCAAGTACAAGATTTTGGATATGTTAAAATTGTGAGAGTAGATAGAGAGGCCAGCATAAAAGAGCTTCATCATATCCTAATATGTTTAGTAGTACAGTCTTTAACCCATGTATTCGTGTTCATAGTAAAATGCAAACTAGATCAAGACAAGGAATGCCAGGAGCCCATAACAATGCATACCTCGCAAAATATTGACAAATCTGACGATTAAATATTAACTTTTATTTTCTGATATGTACAAGGAAGAATAAAGAATATAAAATGTTGACATCTATAAGTGGCCACTCTAGGCAATGAAACTGGGAGGTAAAATACTTGAAATATGTCAAGTATTCACGAAAAATGAAATGTCAAGTACAAATCAAAAATTCATGATGATTTGAGCCATTGGAATCAATGCAATTGAGGATTTGAGTTCATAATTTTGTAGGTAGCTCTTTGAAAAGGTGTTCTTACAAATGTGAAGTGTGTTATAAATTTTGTTTAGTGTAATTTGTGTTTTGTGTATCTCAAGGATATGTAACACCCAGTTTTATACATGTGTTATATGTGCAAATCATACATGGGGTAGATAACTAGATGGATTAAACCTCATTTCACCTCTCTCAGCTTACCTCTCTCAAATCATCCTTTTAAACTCACTTCCCTTAATTTACCTCTCTCAACTTACCTCAACTTGCCTCTATCAACTCTCTCACTTGAGCTTTTTTCCTTGTAATAACTTTCATTATTTCACCTCCCTCAACCAGAAGTCACCAAAGTTTTGTGGATGGTATTCGGCAGTTGGCATTTGTTGTTCATTGTCTGTAATGAATGGCAGGTGGTGACATTTTGCATGTTAATACCTTGTTTAATTTGCCGTTTTGTCTCGATTCTTTATAATTCATGTTTTACAGTACATGGCAGATTGTTCTTGTGGTTCATCAAATCTTGTATTTATACTCTTAGTTATATCTCTTAGTTATCTTATGATGAATTTGGAAATAAGCTAGCTGACTACAGATGATTTTACGGTTGCACCTGGTAAATTCTTGCATGATTTTGACTTTTATAGGAGATCAAACTTCACATGATTTACAGTTACATGTACTTTAATCGTAGAATATAGTGCTATAATCTATTAACTATTCATTTCTAATTGGCTATAGGTGTAACGACTCTTTGGCACGTCCATCGGGGTTATAGTGTACCGAGCAAGATACTAGACTTGAAAGAGATGTGCAAAATTCAATCCCTCATATGAGAATTGAACCCAGAACCTTCCACTCTTGAGTCAGATGCTCTACCCCTGAGCCATACAGGCTAGCCACTACAGCTGAGACTGTAGTAGCTACTTGGTATCGAAGGTCATCACATAGGCTATAGTTTAATCATCTCTCATTCAAAGAGGACAGACAATGTTAAGGTCTTGTCAAGGGTATATACAGGGTGGGCCAAAAAAACGCCACTTTTTTTCAAAATGCTATAACTTTTTTATTTAATTTTTGATAAAAATCATGATTTGCATACCAAATGAAACTTGAGGTTGTTATCTAGCCATGGATCATGAATTATACACTTTTACTTGAATAAAATATGTCACTAGCGTCTCACTTAAACATGTGTTGTGCCATGAGAAATAAGCATAATTTGCAAAATGTTCCTGAACAAATACGCCCTGATGACCGCAAAGCTAATAGCCCTAATGCAAACCCCAGTGAGTATAGGGTATGGGAAGGTCTCCCGGAGATGGTATGAACTAAAGCTGGCAATTAAGACACATTGAAAAAAATATAGCTAACATTTCATTGATACTGCTATATCAGCAAGGCGGCTAAAACTAAAATCTATCATCAAATAGGGTGGCGGACCAATTGAACTCCTCTTTTAGATCAAATATAATCCAAGTTGAATGACTTGTTACATTATATTATTACTAGGAACCCTTGGCACTATATAACTGCAAAATTTTGGGTATGTTACGTAGGTTGGAAAATAAAAAAGTTATAGTGTCTTGAAAAAAAAGTGGCGTTTTTTTGCCCACCCTGTATATATATATATAGATACATATGATGTTTATGTGCCTGTGTCCTAAACAGATGGATGACTTCTTTGATTAATGATTCAAAGAGATATTAACACATTCCTAACATAGATGAGCCGAACATAAGTTGTCCTAATAGATCATGTAGTCTTTCCTATAAGTGATGATCAGCGTATTTCCTGGGCACATTGATACGATTGTCACCTTAGGGGTATATACACTCTCCTCCAAAAGTCTGGAAACTGCATGTTAACTTTAGAACTAACATATTCTCTACAATGCGCACACAGTGCGGTTTCCAAATTTAAATTTTTAAGGGCAGGATATTGAGTGATTCCAATTAGGGCATTTATACAAAAAAAGTAGAAAAGATATCACTGTTAATCTTTTTACTTGTTATCATTAAGGTTTACATACTCTACAAATCCTGTATTTCTTTCTTTGCGTTAAATAAAATCATCAATCGATATCATGTTATGTGAATAATCGAAACTAATGCATTGAACTTAGTGTTTTCTTGAGACCATATTGGACATAAAAGTTGTATGTACACTCATTGGAAATGTGCGCTCATTAGAGAGAATACGGTTATGTTGTTGAACAACTATAATTAATTCATCAAAGTTATTCATTTCTGACCTGTTGTCATTCAAGAATTAAGATTCAGATATTCACAAATAGACTATGAGACACTATCTGATGGGACTTCCAGGTGCTAAACTTATTGTGGGGGGGGGGGTGTACAATATATACATTACTTACATGTGAGGTTTGAGTGCTTCCTCTAAATCTAATCAGTTCAAAGGGAATTGTTCATTCTTAATCAAAATGTGAAAGAGAAGGAGTTATTGTCATCATAATATAGTTTTTTAGCAGCTTACACTGAAGCAAATCCATAGAAATTGTTCATTCTAAATCAAAATGTGAAAGGGAATGAGTTATTGTCATCATAATATAGTTTTTAGCAGCTTACACTGAAGCAAATCCATAGAAATTGTTCATTCTAAATCAAAATGTGAAAGGGAATGAGTTATTGTCATCATAATATAGTTTTTAGCAGCTTACACTGAAGCAAATCTATAGAAATTGTGCACTCAGTAATATTTCTGTTATCCTTTACATAAAGTGCAGCTGAGGTTTCTAAAATAGTTACTAGTATAATTGAGTTGCATATTGTAGTCACCCCCTGGATGGGATCCATTAATGCATCATTTCGACGTTCTATATCCGATTAGAAATCAACACCTATTGATTCGTCTTGGAACTAATCTATATATGGATGAAGTACATATAGGGAACCTCAAGAATCGAGTAGAATACCTTGAACAATACTATAATACAATCTCATTTCGACTTGTCTCGATTCTATTAGTAAACAAAATCACACCATGGAATGTTTATTGAGTAGAGCATTACAGTGCTGAGTTAAGAAATATACCTAGCTAGAATTATTTATTAATAGTCTATAAGGAATTTTCATTGATTACCTTTCAGTGATTTTCTAAATACAATCAAATTAAGAATGTTGATCAAAAGGTCTACTGTGTTACATCTAGTTAATTTATCTACATATAATATTACCTAACAGCCAAAGATTGATATTTGAAAATTTGAATTAACATTTGGCTTTGTTGTTTGCTATAGGGTGAAAGGTCCAACTGTTGGGTTGAAGGTAAAATGGCCAATCATTTAGGTGAAGGTCAAATATTTGGTATATTTTGATATTTCATAAATATATATCGCAAGGATATACTGTCTAGGATTGGCTGAAGAAACGTTTTAATGATGAAGACTTTAATTGTGTATAACTGACCTCAGATGTGTTTGGAGTTTCAGGAATAAATTGCATACTAATTAAAAAAAACATTGAGCTGAACTGTTGTGTCGTGTGCACTATTGAATAAATACTTTTTGTAAAATACATCATGTGACAGTCACCAACACACAGAATAAAATAAATTAAAGATATGATAACTAAATGAGTGGTAATTGGAAATGAAATGGTACAAGTGTTGTCAGGCACAGCTGTTGGGGCATATGTTAAAACTGTCTGTATCATATACACTCCCCTCCACAAGTTTGGCAATTGGAGGTCAGAATCGGGAAGCATGTTAATTGTCAAAGCATGTTAATTGTCAAAG